ACTTTGAAAATAAGCAGTGAAATTGTTGATTTGGTTCCATGATTCGATGAAGAGTTGATCGAGAAGATGTTTGACCGTTGCATTTTGTTGGAAACGAGAGTGAGCAGAGAGCGGAGAGACGAAGTCTAATCCAGGGAGGTACTCTCGAATTTGACCAATGCATGATTGATTGAAGAAACATTCAAGAGTCGATTGAAGTAATGAGTTGTATGGCAGACAACCGACTTTTAGACCAGATATGTTAAAGAGTCTGATTCCATTATGCACAAGCATCGTTGTATTTACAGTCGCATTAGACAATACTAAATTTGTAATTGCAGCTTGTGTAGTGCAATCAATAGCTTCAAGACAATCGCAGATCCCATTCGAAGAAGAATAAAAACGACTGCTGTAGATTAAAGTACTACTATTCGCGTATCCAACGTAAAAGTTTGTCCTCAATCCCAAGTAAATCGCATTGTAGAACATGTTGAACCACAAAAAATCGCTTATATGTTGTATATTGACAATATTTGTTGTTTTTAGTTGTTCTACAAGATGATTCATCTGAGCATCGAATGTTTCGTTTGAGACAACTTCTGAAGTAGTGTAATGTTGTGAGAGGAATTCACTGAAAGAATCATCAGTCATTTGTCGTACTGTTCGACAAAGTAAAGCAAGAATTTGAAAATGAGATGTTGCCATTATTCGATAATCTTCGCTGGAATACTCACTCACATTCGCAGAAGATAATGATGAAATAAATGATTGATTAACTAATCGACTTGTACAAATGGGATGATACTGAGGATCGAGTGAGAGAACTCGATTATGTCGAACAGATGTGTGTGAACATGGGCATGAAAGTGTGCTTGGATACTGTTGAGACAGTTGTGTGAAAGTGGATTCCGAAGGAGACTGAATAGTCACCGAATGAGTTTGAACACTAAGAATGATATAAACTATAATAAGAAGCAGAAGTATGGATAACAGAATGAGGAATATTCGTGTCGATAATAATTGATCAATGAGTGTTGAATCACTTTCATCGCCATAGATGTTTAGTTTTAGAACATAGTTATGTAATTGTTTGATTCTGTTTGTCGGTCTTTTAGTGGCTACTTTCATTATTCAGTAATATAAAATAGTAGATTGTTGTAGCCGAGTCTCTATCGTCACAACTGAGAATTTAATCTCATAAGGGATGTATAAATTTATTATCAGATAAAAGTGTTGCGCAGGTGACAAAATACATAATGTATTTAGGAAATACAGAATAAATGGAAAGAATATTGACTACTGATAAACACAAATCTAACGCGTATGTTCATAAAATCATAGTCAGAAAAGCTTTTGATAAATGCTAATGTTGATCTCCGTACAGCGTGCATTCCTTCATAAAGAAAAAAAACACCGTTCTAATTTGCACATATTTGTTCTCAAATAAATGAGATTTCCCTTGAAATTTTATTGGTCTCTTCTTATCGACTTCAGTAAAGAAACACTTATGACAAATGGATGCATCAATACAAAACTAAATTCTAAGATGAACCACCATAACAAGCAGAAGTGAATGACAGAGTGTATTGGTGTAGAATTACTAGTTTCATACGAAAACTACCCCATATGGCTTTTAGTCAGTACAAGTATGCCGTGAATGTATAAATGACCTTTTGTAGTCAAGACTGTTGCATTAAAACTAAAACAATATGTTTGAAAGTAGTATTTGTCATTTAATCGTTCACCCTTCGCACCATAGATCTTTACTGATAGGTACTAAAATAATTACTAGAGTTATCGAGTAGCTGCCTAATTCGACTTATAATATAAGTGACCGATTCCTAGCACCCTTAGGAATAGAAATAGATTTTGTTTTACTTGTGTATATTCCTTGCTTATTTGAATATCGAAAATTTACTGATTCGTTCAATAAAATCTATCAGAAAAAGAATTCTTTCATCACAAGTTTATTAAAATCAAGACTGTTTCATAAAATATACGCCGAATCTAATCGTTACAACGAGTTACTACAAGAACAATAGACGACCATGAAGCCTAAACAAAACCAATATCCATGATGTTCTCAAGATGAGAGTTTCATGTTTGAAGATGCAGCACAATCGTCACTTTCTTTGTCATTGCCAAAACTGGCTACTTGACGCGCAAGAAGGTGAACGATAAAATGTCGATAAGGCTTATCCACTCTTTCTCCACTAGCCTTACGCTCATCGGTGCCTTCTATTGTTTCGATATTTGTACATGTGAATTCAAAGCCCGATGGTAAAAGTACTTCTTCTTCATGTGGCATCATTGAGATGGCACTGATATCGGTCCCTTGACTAGTGTAATAAGGATTTGGACCCATATCAATTATAAACAATGTGTTACCCTCAAACATATCAGCTACTTGACGCTTTTTCGATGTTGATGTAAAACCAAGCCACATTAACAATCCATCTTTGTGATTTTTTTCCATTTCTTTTCTGTAACGACCAATCATGCGAGGATGTAGCCAAGCGCCTCGATAAAGGATACCTCGATAAGAACGTCCTCGATGTGCTCGTAGATAAAGATATTTTCTGAGCAGATAACAATACGGACCCAGTGTATCGCGATATTTCCGTCGATCAAATTCTCGCAATGCTTCATTCACGAATTTGAACAGAAACTCCGTTCTTGTATAGCAGCGAACTGCACACTCTTCGATTTCGAGTGACTTTGAGCTATTTCGACACGCTTGGAATGCTTGGCATATTGTTGAGGCTTCTGTCGATTTATTTAACCGATCTCCTTCCAAGCGGATGCCGGCAATAGCTGCGTCGACAACGTCTTCTTTTGTGAAATTCGGTCGTTTTTCAGCGAAGTGCTTCTTCCACTCTTGTATCATAAGATGATCACTGTTTCTGTTCGTCGCAAACGGGTGAAAATATGTATCGTTAGAATCAAAAAGACGACGTTGATGGATTTGCATTAAATTGTGTTCACCATATAAACGACGAATTGGACGTTGTACATCAGGATACTGTTCCACATACTGAATACATTTCGCAATGTCAATACAGTAATGTCCGTTCCGAATAAAAATTTTCTGTGCTGTACGGGACATATAGGCTTGTTCTATCGAAACATTCTCTTCNGTGGCGAACATTGTTCAACAAGCATTTATTGAAGCGAAGCGCGCCCATGTATTTGTGAATTCAAAACTGAAAATCACGTCTATTATGATATTTGCCACGCAAGAAAAAACAGAAAAAAAAGCTACATGCAATGCAATAGAAAGGTTTTTTAACAACTATACTGGTTGAGCAAGCAGGGAGAAAACGAACGAACACTTATAAAAAAGACAAGGGTTTAGTATCAACCAGTTCGTGCATATTTATAGAATAGCACATTTTTTTTTGTTTGTTGCTCTACTCGGATGATGCGCATGTTTTTATTAACATAGACAGTACAACATCGAAATATGCATTTTTCCTTTTCGAACGTCTTATTAACTTTGATGTTTAAGAGACATTCTCATTGCAGTTGGTGCGTGACGAATTAGTTGAGTTTGAATCGGATGATCATACAAATTCGTAGCAAAATCTGCTGTGAACTACGAGCCGCGCCTGTTAAAACTTGGTATGTTCCAAGAATTCGACCGAAACTAACACGTAAATGTTGTGGCATAAAAGACGAGAATACTGGCTACCGTTAGAATTAACATATGCTTATGTAAATGTTTTCAACGTGCATTGTATGATTAAGATGATTGAATACGAGATTTATATAGGCTAATGAATTGCTCGACGAATATCCAAACTGCCAATAAGCATCAAAGTGACTGGGATCAGACAGTTACAAAGGACCTAAAATAGAAATGAAAGATTGACTGTTGAGCAAATCAAATTTGCTGTCTACTTGGATAAAAGTTCATGATACAAAATGTAATTTCGTACATGAGCTAAAAGAATCGACGGATTCACATGCGTAAGCTGTAATGCCCGGGGATGAACCGCTAAAGAAAACGGCATTTAGTATATGACTATGTTAAGCAACGCCGATAATTGTTGTAAATAAAGTGGCTAATGCAACATTTCGATATGTACATCACGTATTGGCTTTGAATGGATATCGCGTTCATAAACCATCGATGAATGGTAGTGAATACTAAATACCAAACTGTCAAAATCTAGAACAGATAGCTTGTTGAAACGGCGCGTAGCGTCAATTGCAAGAACGTTATCACACTCACTAGATTACTTATAGTACCCAGAAGAAATATGAAACTCAATCCTGAACGGTACAGATATACTCTCTTTTATATGATTTTTTTCTGATTAATTTGACTTAACTTTCAAAAGAAAACCATAGACTCTTCTGCGCTGCAGTTTATTCAATTGTATATCTTTTTACTTCTAAGCCTTCATATCAAAGTCGACGACAGATGTGCTGACAAATTGACAAACTAATCTTTAAACGACTAGATAATGCTCCTTAGCTCATCAGCACCATCTCCATTTGTATATCAATACCTTTGACGATCATTAAAAAAAGGAAGTACTTTTATTTGTGAATACCGTCAAATGCTCTTTACTGCAAGTTATGAATATTCACCACATGACTGGATACTCTCAGCTCAAAGTCTTTTGACGAGCAGAAGCTTAAATGCGAAGATTATGCTACTGTTAAAGGTTACCTTAAGCTCTATTATCGATACAGATATAAACGAACAAAGTCATGACATAACGTCATCCTGAAAGAGAAGAACAATAACAAGCTCTGCTCTGATATAGATGCATTTCATTGAAGAACGAAAATATGCATACGTATAGAGACTTGAATCATCACGTATGACAGGATTGTTTTTTTTTCATTTTGTTCTTCTATATTCGTCATGTTATCAGAGAATGAAAAATGTTCTCTCGATCTATCTTACGTTTTCTATGTAAATTATGCTATCTCGTTAGTATATAACAAAAACGTCTACTTTTTCATTTGTCATAAACAAAACTAAACCGTTTCACGTATTTGATACGATAATGAGTAACGGCACGCAGTTCTCTCCAACTAAACAGACTGAGCTTGAACATTTCTGGTTTGATTCAAGGATCTGGAATGACTTTCAATATCGCGATGGTGATATCGTTATTGACACGTTTCCAAAATGTGGCACGACATGGATGCAACAAATCATTGCTCAATTGATATTCAACGGAGTAGAAAACATCCAAATCAATCGTATTTCCCCATGGCTTGACTTTCGTTTCAATAAAGATCTATTCGGTTCAGACGAAAAGCTTCTGCAAGAACTCGAACAGCAAACACATCGAAGGTTCATTAAAACTCATTTACCTTTCCATGCACTAGTCTATTCTCTGCAAGCCAAGTACATTTTTGTCGCTCGAGATGGTCGGGATGTTGCATGTAGTTCTTACAACCACCAAATTAATATGACGGTTACAGATTCAAAGAAACCGAATTCAGTTCATGAAGTTTTTCAGAATGAAATCTTGGGTAATTCAAATATGTCCTTCTTTGCACATTTGAGATCATGGTGGAACATGCGCCATTTAGCAAACATACTTTTCATTCATTACTATCAACTAAAAACAGACTTACCCAATGAAATCAAACGAATTGCAACGTTTCTCGATATCGATATTGATCCTTCGCGATGGAATGATATTTTACAACATTGCTCGTTCGATTATATGCAAGCAAATGCTGATAGAATGGTGGACAATACAATGTATGTCGGTGGTGCGAGAACATTTTTCTGTAAAGGAACAAATAATCAATGGAAAGGTATCCTAACAGATGAGGATAGTACGAATTATCAAAAACGCGTTAGAGAAGAATTAGATGACGAAGGCGCTCGTTGGATTCTGACGGGTGAATTGACAGAATGATGAAATCGTCTTTATCTGTGTATTCGTTCAAAACCAATAAAAAAAATCAGAAAGAAAAAGCAACCATTTTGCAGCTTCTAAATCGATTTTATTTTATGTAGGTGAGCAGAAGTAAATACGAGTTTAAGTAGGGTAGCGGAGCGACAGAAATAGCTGTGATACAATGCAAAACGCAGGTATATTATATTCTTACTATACAAAAAAGAAACGAATGGAATCAGCGGTAGGAGTCTACAAGAAGGCAGTTGAACTAAATGGACACGATAATTGTTTTTCTGCCATTTTATTGATGACGTTGTGTTTTACTGAAGGACTCGTTTGAGTTAAAATTGACATTCGTTCGCTCAGGTCATCATCATCATCATCAAACATGATATCAGGCACTTTCGGATTGGTATGTATAGGAACGTCCGAATCGAGTTTAACAAGTTCTTCCTGGTTTTCTATCTGAGAATTATAAACGTTAATGGACTGTTTTCTGGTTGTTTCGAGAAGTGAAAGATAAACCGGCGTTGGACCGAGGAGATAGTAAGTCTCCATGAAACCTTTGCCCTATTCGAAAGTTTTAGATAAGCGATGTATACCAAGAGATGAACTAACCTTCATTTCAGTTTTCCCTCGGCAAACTGTTTCAAAGTAGATTGAATCCTTCAAGAGTTCGTAAGACGCAGCACTAAACTGGATCTTTCCAATCTGAGTCAGCAATCAGAAATGAAATTTTAGAAGATAAACAGGGGAAAACCTACTTCACCACATGTTGCCACGCGACTAGCCTGAGAAATAGATAGTTACTTTTGTGTCTTTCGGTAAAGCATAGACTCACTGTGTTGACTGTATCGCCGAAGAGACAGTACTGGTAGTTACGATGGCCAACAATTCCACCAACAGCTGGGCCCGAATGAAAACCTGTTCTTACAAATAAGGGACACCTGAGTTTTGATTATATCGTAAAAGATTTACCGAATTTCATTCGAAATGGTTGTCTTGTTAACGGATTGATCATGGATCGTGAAGCAGTCAGTAACTCGAGAGCAAGTGCACAGATAATTTCGGCTTGATTAAAATTGTACGGATTCTTTGAGTTTTGACGAGCGAGGTTACTCTTGCGTGCGCTCTCGACATATTCTTCTCCCACCTCATTCTGTAGATGATTCGTGCTGGACGAACGACTGCGTGAAGTATTGGGATCATCACCGATCGATGAAGACGTTGTATTGAGACTCTACGAACACTACTTTGCCCGATTCCGCGATTAGTCAAACTTACCACGTTTGAATTATGTCGATTGCTATACGCATTCCGATCTTGAATACCAGCTACAATCAAATAACTCGAATCAGCCTTTGTTTCAACCTAAAATGAACACAAAGAGATTGATTCGTTGAATACAATGGCTTTTCGCCCGAGCGAACTTTGTAGACGTCGAATTTATCTGAACATGTGTCAAAGACATTGACTGTTCTGTTGATACAATCCACGACTTGTTCTGGCGACATTTTTTGAATGATTTCTTTCATATCAATCGAGTACCCAAAGAGAACGGTTAACAGTTTGTGTGACTACGAATATCAAAGACAAATTGTTTGCTTCTTTTCACGAAGAACTTACTTCGCAGATGGAATTTGCAAGTACACCTTGCTGTAGCATCTTTGCAATATGCCGCGGCATTAGTGAATAGAGAAGACGTTTCCCCTTTTCACGATATTGACGTAGTTCATTTCTTGAATGTTGTAATTTCGTTATCCATGCATGTTGCTGAAGTAAAAGATCTTTAAATATGGATCTAACGAAAATCGAACGCTCTCTTACTTTGTCGATTGCTGCTTGCAATTGCCTTGCATGCTGAATACCACTGATCAAAATTTCGCTACTACCATCGTAGAAGTTCAAATCGCTGAGATATAATCCAATAGAAAGCATCTCTTCTACTGTACTCAGCCTACAAACAAGAAATATGTTACTGTCGAGCTGGTTACAACGCTGAGTAGCTATCGCAGCTTTTCATCATGTCGTCTCTTCGAACAAAATAGACTTACATTGGGTGACAAAGGAAGGCCAATTTGTTCCATGATGGAATGTATTTCATTTGGCCTTTTAACTTAATTGATCCGGCACTAGTCGATGGAGATTTACCATTATTTGTATTTTGATCCTTTATTGTACGATTCTTTGCCAGCTTGTTCAGTTCTGGTTTCAAAGGAATACAGTTCTGCATAACGAAGATAACCGACTTTCCGTACTTCAGAAACTGAAAATGAAGAAGATCATATAAGACAGGTGATTTCAGAGACAGTTAAAGTGAAAAATGGAAACCTTTTCCCATTCGATGTGCAGAATGTCAGGCCTAACCAAAGTAAAGACATCACTAATGTGTTTACCGACGACACGGCTGTCATCAGTGAACAAACTTTGAAGACGCGGTCCAAGTTGACTGATTCGCATCTCCGAGTCAATCACGACACAGAATGGAAAAATCTAAGAAAAGAGCGCTGGGTTATTGGACGTGACAGAAGAAACTCGTTCAGTCGAAACTTACTTTGAAAAACGTCGAGCCTGTAACGTTTGTCAGCGAAAGCTGTTTTGTTAGATGAGAAGTCGTCTGTTTTATGACGTGATTATTAAAGTCTACTCGGAACATGATCCGAGTATCTAAAATGAAACGTGAACTCTGATTAAGAATGGAAATATGTTTCTTCTGAAATACTCACATTCACTTGTTGACAGATCTTCTTGTGCCGTTACTTGAATATCTTGATCGTAGAATTTCTTCGCACATTCACGGAGTTGCCCGACAACATAGTGTTCAAAACCACGACGGCGTGTTCTTGGAAAAATAAGAGTACAAACAGATGGGAGACTTATTTGAGTGGACTTACTTATACATCATCACAACTCCACGTTCATCTTCCTCTGCAACACTGAACAATGGTGACTTCATTTGTGGGTAGGAAAACCGATTTGAATCATGCAATTGATCGATTGCATGAAGAAAATCTCCAAAATGTCTGCCAGCGACTCGTAAAATCTTATCGTAACCGTAAGTTGTAAAGTATCGAATGAAACACTTGCCAAAGAACTCCATGTAGTAATCAGGCGAACCTTCACGCATAACACTAGTCAAGCCTAAATAGAACAAATCGCCGTCACACATCACGGTGCGTTTTAGACGCTAAATTTTTCTGTTTTTCCTTAATTCGAGTATCACATATCTAGGTTCTCTCCTTTCTTATACGGCCTTATCCTACGCTAGTTTACATAACAGAACAGATTAAGTATTAAATTACGGTAAGACTATAACTTCGAATCTCTACATTATTATTTTTAATTATTCTCTATAATCGACTGAGATCTTTTGCGTGTGATAATTGAAAACGAAACAAATTAAAAAATCATCTTATATTTGAGGGTCTCCGTCTGAAGAAAAGATTTTCCGAAGTCCTTCTTGCAAAGCAACGTTAAGCGTTTCTCACGATCTAAATAGAGTTTGAAAATATATAGATCTTAGATTATAGATTGTTTGTACCGTACAAAACGTAAAGAAAACAAAATGAACTCACATTCCGCGATTCTTTGAAGGGTATCTTCATTGTATCTACCAAGTCTGGTAAATGTTTCATGTTGAAAACCAAGTTCTTGTACGATCCTTTTCCATGTCTCATGTCCATAAGCAACTATAATTCCATCACGGCAACTTTCCAGTAGAAGACCGTAGAGCATCTTCTTTTTCAAAATGATCCAATTGCGCACTGTCTCAACCGGTGAAGGTGTTGGATGTTCGAATAAATTATAGAGGAACGAGAGGAAGACAGATGAAACACAAGACGTTTTATACTTTCCTTTGTTAAGCGAAGAGAGCAGAGTGAGAGCAAAATATAAACAACATTTCCTGCTCTTAAAAGGGTATAATGCAACGATGATCTATCTTTTTCTTTGTTCTGTCGAGCTTTAAGACAAACGGATGTGCTTTATTTCTGTGCAGTTGATAGTGAAGTGTAAAGAGAGAAATTTCCTTCAGGAGAGTATCTTTTTTCCGGAGATGACGTCGGATAAACATAGTTTGCATTTTAACATTTCGATGCACCGATTTCCTGTCGTTATATAATTGTAGATGACATGTCACCTTGTCCCCATGAAAAAAATTTTCGATCGAAACCCCGGTAAATAACGGTGTGAGAGAACATTGGTATTATAGGTTTAATTGAACGCCGAAAGTCAGACTTTTTACTAGGTTTCCTCACACTGGCTGAAGTCGCGGCTTGTGGATAACCTTGTTATTAGCAGTTTAAAAGAAACAGTTCTCCATCATAGTGGTATATTATCTCGGCCATCTATCTCACTATCATCTACTATCTCCGCGCGGTCGGCTCAAATATATAGCATTACATATTTTTTTATTCTTCTTCCTTTCGTTAAATTCGAACTACTTACCTTATGATCGTAGTTCAGTAATTCCCTTGAACGATCTGATGATGATCATATTAAGATTGAATGGAATAGTCTATCCTATCTGTATAGAGAAACTTTCTAATTTCGGTCGACATGTAGCCTTTACTGGTCGATTTATATGAGTCTCACGAGTACTGGAAATGTCTGATAACTTCACAAATTTTCAAACTTCTCCAGATGCTCATATTGACGATAAACTACGAGCGATGTAGCTAGAAGACTTCTATTTATCGCCTATATTGATTGTTAGTAATGTGTAAGTAAACAATCTGTCTTGGTAAATTTTATAACCAGACGAAAAAATCTATTCATTAGAATGTTGTAGCTGAATGATCGTAATACTGCGAGTTGTTAAATGCCCCAACGATTTGAGAGATCATAAATGATTATACCTGAATATAACACATGGATACTATTTAGTACAAGTATCTCAAGTATATCTATCCAAAAACTATTTAAGGCCTTTGTCTGAGTTTCAACTATATCAAATCTGATCAGTATTTTCAGCTATTTTAGAACTAATGTTTTACCAAAATACGTATATAAGACCAAATAAACGTTTCTTATGTCTTTATGTAACTCTAAAGATGAATAGTTTTTAAATAGGTGAATTCATTTGTACAAAAGTCGTTCTTCTTTGAATCTCGTCAAGTTAAAATGCAATACAGATAATAATAGTGAAGAGGTTGCATTTATTATAGTTTGATACAAAACAACAATTGCGTTTGTATTTTCCAATAGGTTTTTCTGATAAAACATGCAATTCACTAAGTAGAGGAAATGAATCTATTTGAGTTTGGATTCTTTTTTTTATCGCGCCGTGACGTCACGTATCAAAGCTTTTGCGATACAATCCCATATCCGAAGTATACGAAAAATCTGACTAAAAATAAGAATCAAATTACTCAGGACACTGATATCTTTTGAGAAAATATGAAGATCACGGTTCACAGTGGAAAGCTCGTAGAATATGAATCTGTGGAAGATGGCGCTTAATCTCAAATACCGCTACCTAGTCTACATTTCATCGGACATTTTCGATACCGCCGACTTGAACGGTGATAATGTTATGAATTATTTTGAATATACCACGATAAATTTATGTTGCGATGCACCACATCGTGACCTTCAACGATATACCCGCAACCATTATGTTGTTTGGATCATCTAGTGTCGCAGGAACATGAACGGGGCGTTGTCAATACAGAACAGGAGTGTTCTATTAGTAACAGTCATGACATGTGATATTTGAAGAATATTTTCCATTGGTTGTGCAATTCTACGTACATATTCTTTTTTCTTATCGAACGAGAAAAAGCTTTCACAAGCACTTCGCAATTCTATTGCTATAAATAATAAAGAAACCAAGTCAGCTTTTTCAATACAATGTCGTCGAAAAGTGTTTCATTACAGAATGGTCCTCTCTATCGTATTCCTCCGTACTACTACATTCATGTATTAGATCAAAATACAAGTGTGACACGATTGGAAATCGGCCCGAAAATATTTTTCAAACAGGATAATGAAACACTTACTATGGGGCCAGAAAAAATGATTACAATACCACCGAGACATTACTGTATCATAGAAAATCCTGTTATTAAAAATCAAACGGGTCAAATTGAATTGGACAAAAACGGACAAGTGAAATTGTCGCATGGGGATGTCGCCATTCGATTGCATGAAGATTATCAGGAACCATTTCCTTTGTATCCTGGTGAAATTTTAAAACAAGTATAATACGACTTTAGTTATACATATATTCTTGATGAATCTGTTTCAGCCGGCGACTGAGTTGAAATACGTAGCAGCGAACTCGGCAGTACGGTTGAAAGCAATTCTCGACTTCGATGACCATGGCGAAGTACGGAAAGCTGGCGACGAATGGTTATTTGAAGGACCAGGTAAATGATCTATAAGAAAGTTTGTGACGATGGAAATACTCTTGGCTTATTTAGGTACCTATATACCACGGAAAGAAGTGACGATTGAAGAACGCATCGGCGCGACGATTATTGGTCCGAATCAAGCCATAAAACTGTGTGCAAAAAAAGAATTGGTCGATCGTCTTGGCCAACGACGCGTGACCGGTGAGAATTGGTTAGTGAAGAAACCGGGTGCGTATTTACCGCTGGCATACGAAACAGTTGTCAACGTCGAAAATGCTCATGTGTTAACAAACAAAAAGGCTTTGCATTTGCGTGCTCTGAAAACATTTACAGATGATTTTAATCAAACCCGAAATAACGGCGATGAATGGCTGATAACATGTGAACAAACAGAAGCACACATATTAAATGTTTACGAAGAACTAATTAAAACTGTGGACATCGTCGTCTTGAACTCGAGACAGTATTGTGTTATTTTAAATCCAGTTGGAGGTAAAATTGTCTTTGATAAGAAAGGAGGTTTCAATTCAGGTTTCATTTTTTTACAGCTGATGGAAAGAATCAGTTGGGAAAAAAGAAATTAGTTGTCGGCGAAAAGTCGTTTTTTCTTCAACCGGATGAACGACTGGAGAAAGGAATTCAAGATATTTATATCTTGGAAGAAGACGAGGGTCTGATTCTCAGATGTACCGAGCCCTTTGAAGATGGTATTGACAAAGTATCGCGAATAGCAGGTAAATCTTTGTTCTGAGCGATCGACTATACCATTCTAATATCAAAGGTGATCGATGGCTTCTTCGAGGACCGAGAGAATACATTCCTCCTACTCAAGTCGAAGTATTACTACGAAGAAAAGCGATCGCACTAGGTAAGTGACTTTTCTTCAAATCAGCACGTATAATCTTCGTTGCTCTCTCTCTCTCTCTCTCTCTCTCCCTAGACGAGAATGAAGGTATCTATGTGCGTGACACGAAAACAGGTCGTGCTCGAGCTGTCATCGGCAAAACTTATATACTAACCGAACACGAAGAATTATGGGAAAAAGAGTTACCTGCAAGAATCGAATCTTTTCTGGAGAAAGAATCATTAATGAATCGATATCTCAGTTCAAAAGATGCAGATAAGAAAACAACAAAACGCGATCGATGGAAAGTAGTTACGTACTGTGTGCCGCAGAATGACGTTGTGCAGATTTATGACTATAAAATTAAAGAATCGAGAATTGTTTTTGGACCGGATTTAGTCATGTTAGGTCCTGATGAACAATTCACCTGTATTAACCTGACAGGATCGGCGATTGTTTCTTTGCTTTACATTGCATCCTTGTCTGTGCTTTTTTGGTGTCAGAAGCTAACAAGAAACAAACCGGTTTTCTTTGGCGGTGTGATTTTAGTTGTTGGCTGGTTGATTTTTCGTCGTTTCTTTCGATTTTGAATAATAAAATATTTATTTGCTTACATTGAATCATGTGTATAGTTGGAAGTTTCATTCATTCATTCCTTGCTCGTCGCGAACGTACATGCATGTGTGATGTCAGAAACTCTAGAAGTAGTTCTGCACAAATTTTATTTTACACAATCAGATCACGTTATCGCGCTCAATGAAGATCAGCTCAAATGCGTTCCCTATTTAAATGCAATGGTGGAAAATGCACAGCGATTTTCTTGGCGTCGAAATCAAGATAATGCATTTATTCTGGATGATTTAATACAATATTCGTCGCTAAAACCTATTTTATCTGCTGTGCACAGTAGAAGTTCATCGCATCTCTTCACCAAGTTACCACGATATGTAGACGTCTTCGACGTCCTTCAATTGTATGAATACATGTCTTTTGATCCCATGCCAGTTCCTTCCTTGAGACCAACATTAGGAATGTATATAGAGGATTTAGAGTTATTTTCAAAAAGACGCCGATACGTTAGTTCACCCGAAGTACAAAATACAGCTGTAGAGTTTATCGTCGCTATTGCTAATGGAAGATATGAAATAGACAATATCAAAACGGTCAAAATTATTTTCGATCTACTTGTGGATATTCTGCATTTTGTATCTGTATTTGGTCCACGTTTACGTTATCACACATTGGTGATAATAGAGAACTGCTGCCCACAAATCTTCACTCGCGATCAACGTGCTATGCTGCTTGCGTATAGGCGAAGTTTAGAAGTATTGGACGATACGGACGATTGTGTCAACGTTGGTTTAACATATGAATACGTATTTGAACGACAATGCAACTATGTTATGAGTCTTGACAGAGGTTGGCTTTCGAAGCCTGTACTAACCAATGTGTTCCCACTCTACACGCGTTTTTTGGGTCGTCATTTTTTGAGACCGAAAGGGCGTCAGAATAAGAACCACTGCTATGCTATTTACCATTACCTTTCATCATGGTCTCCATATATGCTTTCCACATGCGAGCGATGCATAACACAAACTATACTCCAATTTCCCTCCAAGCTCAAGAAAGCACAACCGCTGCGTTCGTGTGGGAATTTACACCTTTGGGCTAAAATGGCAATCAACGCCAATTCTATTGAAGATTTGCCGATCATGGAATTGCATATTTCTGGATACTCACTTGAACTGAAGCATTTGAGTTACAAAGTGAAAACCTGTTTGATGGGATGCTGCACCACTCTTCAAAATGCGAAGAACAAACGCGAAAAACGAATGACTTACTCTGGTCGCGCCTGTCATCTACTCAAAGCACCAGCTGTTGATAAGTTCAAGAATAAATACAATGTCAAATTACAAAAATATCGATGAAAACTGTTGCACAGATTTTGATATACCTTTAATCAAATAAAAAACAATCATTTTCATGTTTTTCTATTTATTTGTGAGCAATATTTTCAATAATGTACACTAATTTGTGTACAGCTAGCGTAGGCTTAGGATTTTTATTCTCATTAAAGTTTGATCTGAAAGATGGATAAGTGGCATGAATCGTTTAATTTCGAAACTAGAACTTATAGTATATAAGACACTCATACGATTATCATCTCTCGAACATGAGATGGGACGAAAAAGACAATCTTGAGCTGTTGATAGCCAATATTTTGCAGAAAAATCATGTAATTACAAAGTTGCATTCAAAACATCTCTAAGGTCTTTACTTAGAAATATTAACAGCACGGAAACGTCTCGGCATTCAATATTAGCTCTAATGAATATTCAGAAACAACAATTTTGCACATCAAATTATAGTCAAACAAAGAATAGAAGAGAATTTCCAAGTTATCATATAAGAAAAAGTTGATTATAACGAAGAAGACGCCAAAATGCTTATTGATTCATTTCCAATGAAAATAAGATATGAAAAAATATATATTTATGGAATGGAGCTGTAATCCGTTTTCTTATTCGTTATCTTTCCGAATATAAATCTCGTTCCTGCCAACGCATAACCAGGTAATGAAATCCAGAAAGTACGGTGTGGAAGCATATCCAATCCAGTAGCTTGTCGTTTGAATTTATTAAACACCATAAAACCAATCAAGTAGATACACAGCAACGCGAACAATACGATGATGAAGACTAAACCTCCACTGATTCCATCATTCGCTGTCGAACCAGAACCGCCTAGATAAAGTCGAATATTGAACTTGAGAAAAGTATTCAACTAAACTAGAACCTTTACATCCATCCCAACAGGCACATTTCGAAGACAATGTCATACTGTAAATGCGTTTGACTGTATCAAGGCCTTGAACGTCCAATCTATTAGATTCCTTTGGGCCGAGACATTTTAAAGTGACTTCTAATGTTCGTTCGGTAGTTTTATACACTAATGTCGGTAGTTCTTGACCTAGATTGGTTCTCCATTGCACACTGTTCTGTGTACCTAATGAATATGTTAGCTTCGGATCGGTCTGATGTGCTAAAAAGAAAAATTAATCTTTGACATTCAGTGCAAATGGTGCTCGCACCTTGACAAGCAGCGACATCTAGGCAATTTACTTGAGTGAACGAATAACAAGGATTGTATGAATAAACTAAAACAGAATATATTTTCTAAGGAATCTTTTGACTGCTCATTACCATGACCGTCACTTATTTGCGGAAGAACGTCTTTCCATGCAGGTGTGCCATCCTTGCGTCCAACGCTTGTTAAATCAATGATACCTTTTGGATTGAGATCATATATACAAGGATCCACTGCACTCGATATGTTTATTCGGTTAAAAATGAAGATAAATGAAAGAAAAACGGCAAAATCCTTTTCAAAACACATCCTTACTGTTGTTGTGAAGCTGAATCAACTTATCTCATCAAAGTATTATACAAAGAAAGTAAAACAAAACTCTTGATAAAATGATAAGTCACTCTGTCAGTGCAATTAGTAATCGTATCTATTCTTTGTTTGCCGAGCGTTTATAACTTTTTCGAATTTCTTCGTTACGTTTCAAAGTAACAACGTGAATTTGAGCTTTAAGATAAGCAATACGATCTCCAATGTGACGATCGTAGGAGCTTCCAGCATGTGAACCTTTTGATCGAAGTGTCTCGAGTTCGGATTGCATCTGACGAATATTTTCGTTATGGTCGTTGATATTCTCCGGTCCTGCCATTGATCAAATCTTTGTCCTAAAAGAAAAACAAATCTTGGTTCGTGTTTTCATCGCTATGAAACAAAGTGAAAAGCACATCTGCATCAAAGAAATGTATTTTAATAACATCAGTTTTTTCTTTGGCGAACGTATGTCGTGCTTAATAGTCAGAGAAAACATGTGTGAATGTTTTGTCGCTTGATTTTTATTTAAGTAATGTTATAGTTGAAGTGTTAATATTAAAAAAAATAGAGAAAATTTTTAGTTTGATTATTTCTTGGGTGTTTTTGTTTTGTTGTTCTTTTTTTCATCTGGACGAATTCGTTCTTGACGCGTTTCTGTATCCGAAGTCAAACCTTGTTCTTTCTTCTCCCATTCAGACCGTTCTTTTTGATTGTGTGGACCAGCCTGCTCCGACGCATCTTTTATCGTATTCGAAGACTTGCTTTTATTCGATACAAACAGCCGTGTTTGAATCAGTAAAGATCGAGATAATTGAGATTGAAAGATAAGTCTAGAAGCCGACGGTAACATATTTTGAGTTTCGAGTATACTAAAAACGAAATTATAGGATCATTGTGACATTGAGAACGAAAAAGAAATGTATGCCTTGTGATACAATTGAACTTGTACAACGAATGAAAATACATACGTTCTTTTCTTTAATCGCATTGTATATTCAACTGTGGTATGACACGACATCTGTAGAATCGTCTCGTTTTTTTTATATAAGCATTAACAATAGATACAAAACTATGATTTAGGATAGAATTAAAAATGGATTTCAAGCATTGTTAATGTACCAAAATGTCAAATTGAATACACTGAAGTGAAATGAAAAGTCTCATTTAGATCGTTTGAGCAAAAAAAATTTCTCATAACCATTGGCAGTCACTTTTTCACACATGTTCAAATAGTTATGAAGACCACCAGCATAACGCATGCAAGAACTTGGTTTGATTAAAATATTCGAGTCATTGCCGGCAAAACTGTCTGCGGAATATGACAGCTGGCTAGCAACTAAATCGACATGGTCCATCCAGGCATTTTGCCCGTCGATTTTAGCTTCTATACTATCAATATTATGCGTGTTCAGATAATCAATACATTTAATTATCCATTTGACGTTTTCCTCAATATGAGGAATCATATTGCTCAAGTTAATAGGACTACCGGGTCCAGTTATAGTAAACAGGTTTGGAAAATCGGCAATCATGATGCCGAGTAATGTCCGTGGTCTGATTGACCATTTCTCGCGAAGTGTTTGTTTTGACCGACCTTGAATATCGATATTGAGTAGAGATCCAATTACTGCGTCGAACCCGGTAGCGAGAACAAGGTCATCAATTTCGTAGAGTTTATTGTCGATTAGAATACCTTTTGCTGTAATTTTATCGATAGTTGTGTGACGGATATCGACCAGTGTAACATTTTTGAGATTAAATGTATCATAATATTCACCAGCAACACAAGGACGTTTCGTACCAAATAAATGGTCGTACGGTAATAAAGCAGCGGCAAGTACAGGATCTCTAACGATTTCGCGTATTTTTTCATGAATTAGACAAGTTATTGTTTGTTTGATAGTATTATCAGTCAACCGACCTTTGAATGCTGTGAAAAACGAAAGACCTCCTCTTTGCCATGCGATCTCAAATCGTTCTCTGTCAGTCATGTTTACGCGCAAAGCGTCATCGTCGTAATCGTAGAAGATACCACCAGGTGACTGCAACATTTGAGATCGACGCTGATTGTAATTAGACTTCCAATCTTTCTCGTATTCAGCATCCACAGGTTTAGTGTCTGTTGGAATCACGAAATTTGGTGTTCGTTGAATCACGTACAGATGAGCAGCTTGTTTCGCAATCATTGGAATGCACTGTACACCTGATGCTCCTGTACCGATAACAGCTACTCGACGACCAATGAAACTGACGTCGTTTTTCGGCCAATTAGTGGTTCTATAAACATTACCTTTAAATTGGTCAAGTCCCGCAATTTTAGGGTCTCTAGCAACTGAAAGACAGCCCGTTGCCATAACACAATACTTAGCAGATACACGATTGTTATGATCGGTTGTTATCGTCCATTTTGATTGATTTTCATTATAGACCATGCTAGTCACACGTGCATTAAGTTGAATATCTTTGTTTAAGTCAAATTTATCAGCGACATGATTAAGATAACGAAGAATTTCTGGTTGCCGAGCGAAACGTTCAGACCAATGCCAATCTTGTTGCAATTCATCACTGAACGAATAGGAATACTGCATACTTTCAATGTCACATCGTGCGCCAGGATATCGATTTAAATTCCAAGTACCTCCAATCTCATCAGCTGCTTCATAGACTTTTGTTGAATACCCTCGTTTACGTAACTCGTGCAACATGAATAAGCCGGCGAAACCACTTCCAACGATAACGACATCGAATGCATCGGAACCACGCGTCACGCCATTAGTATTTTGTTGCATATTCATTGCTTTATCCATATCACCCTACGAAACATAAAAAGCAGACAAGTAAAAACTACTGTTATATATCACTTCCTCTTTCGGACTCTGATTTCTAGTATGTTGGCCAAAGTTCAGTATGACCTTGCACTAAATACGTCGATGAAAAAAAAACGACGAAATAAAATATTCGGTAAAACCGATTATGAACAAAAAAAGCGTATTCTCATCGCGTTTTCTTATCGATAATTATCGAAAAATACAACCACGCGGAAGAAAAATCTATCGACAATAGATTTTGTTTTTCTCCCCACCCTACTCTACAAATATGTATTAATGTTACTAGACTGTGATGAAAATGAGAGTAAATATTTTACCTACGCATATCCTTCTAGCGTGACAGAATAGTGTAAACAATCATATGGAAAAGCAATCAATACGTTATGATTCACTATCAATCAAGCAATTAGATGACTTTTAATAAGTTTTGTTGTTCTGTTGCGTTAATAAGGTGAGTTCTTCATCAGGAAAACAGTCTTGGCGTTCACTTCAATCTATAGGATTTTATTTCAGGAGATTTTCCATAAATCAGAAAAAAGTTCACGATATTAACGTTCGCTATAACAGTACGAATACAAGAAAAAATCTATTGAAACGCTTTAACGTTGTCCTTGATCCATTGTTCAAGTGTGCGTAGTGGTCGACCGGTAATAAGAGCGATTTCAGGAGTAGTAGTATCACAAATATTTTTGGAAGCCACCATTGTAAAGTTATATACAATCGAATGCGGTAGACCCATGCCAGTCAAAAATTTATATAAGTCTTCGTATGATTGTTGTTCATACGTAATAGGTCTACCTAAAACTTTCGTGAAGATGGCTGCTCGCTGTTCATTACTTAAAGCTTCAGTGCCAAGTTCATAGATATTCCGGTCATGTTTGTCAACGGGTTCACTTAGAACGGCTACAGCACAGTCCGCGATATCTAACCAGTGAAAAACAGAAAAATAATAAAATTCATCATTATCTTTGTTTTAACATACCTCTCGTATCGATCCATGTTACTACTGATGACGGTGCTCCACATGAGACGAGCTTGTTCGCTCTCTTGATCTGGTGCACATCACTCATGAAATGATTGCTCATGAACGTTCCAGGACGAAGTACTACAAGAGAACGTTGTGCTGGATTTTCGTCTGCCAGTTTCCAAAGCTTTTCTTCAGCTGCTGTGTGCATATAACCAATGATACCTTTTCGTCCGTAGCTGCTGACAAAAGCCGAGGAGAGATCAACAATTTGTCGAACACCTTGCTCAAAAGCGATCTTCGCGAAGGTTTCCTTCACTTCACTCATATCTGTTGGTTTACTATGAACAGCAGCGAATAGAAGAAATAGACGAGTATGACCTTGAATTGCTTTTGTAAATGCATCAACGGACGAATAATCACCAACGACGAATTTCAAACGTCCAGTGCTGCATTCATCTTTGAACAAATCTTTTGCTTTGTTTTCATCTCGTACAAATGCTGTTGTATTGATTCCTTTTTCGATGAGACCGCGAACGATATCACCGCCGATATTTCCAGTTGCACCAGTAACAAACACGCGTTCTTTGCTTGCTGACATTCTGATGATAAAGAAAAGAAAAAGAAACGTTTTTATACTGTTCGTTCTTCCCTCGATGCGGCCGATGTTGTGTAGAAGAGGAGGAAAAACAACTAACAGCACGAGCGTAACCAAAGTACGTTGTAGTATGCACTCACACATTACGAAACATCATCGATGTTGAGTAAAAATTTTCGTATGGTCATGTCAGTTAATTATATCAAGAAGAACTGATACGTTCATTTTAACGACATGTTTTATTTCTTGTTCGTTTTGGTTGAAGATGAGTTGAGGAGTGTTAATGAGCCGTTCGTGTGCATGTTTTATGCACTTTTTATCGATATGTCAGATCTTTAATTTTCATTGAGATATCTCATTATCAAACATCACGCAAAATAGTTGACGTAACATGAAAGCTGCTTTATGAACAGAAACTGAAATATAATTGCTGGACCGGTCTATATATATATATAAAAGTATAAGTTCTGCTTTTTCATCTGTAAAATAGTGCACATTCCAGATCCAATCGATTCCACGATTGTAGCTGATAAATACCTCACTAATCTCTCAAACATTCTTTTACATCGATTATTATTATTGATGTTTGTGTTCTACTACAAAAAACCTGCTTTAGCATAAATTTACAATACTCATCAACTAGATTTCTCCTTACTGTCACTATTGAATAGTGAAAAGTAGTGCACCGTTTTCTCCAGTACAGGAGTGAAGATCATAATGGATTTCAACACATTTATTGGATAGAAATATTTCATGAACTGTCTTAGGACATTTGATTTGACTTTATTCAAATCAACCATCACTTCATATTTATAATTTTCGAAAGAACTATACAGCTGGAATAAAAAATAAAATATCATCACCCATATCGTCAAAAATTTAACTCAAACGCTGTACAACTTTACTTCAGAATACTGAATGCAATCTGCTTTCCGTCTTTTACCAGAAACTAAGAAACGGTAGCTTGAATATTCGACTATGTTATCAAAATACTGTATTGGACCACACTTTCGTCTGCCAGGATCTAAAAGAAGTCCACTAGGACCATCGTAAAGCAATGTCCAGCTAGCACCAAGAGTAAGATTGGTTCCTGTTGAATTACTTCCTTCCAGTGATACAATAATCGGATCACGTTCTAAGAGATCATTGGCTGTACAAACTCTCAATCCATTGACTAATGTTGAACCAGTTTCTAATTTCAGAAAGAAACCGGTACGCAAGCCACAACCATGGTCGTCGTCATACGAAGTTCCTTCAGAGCATGGTCCAAAGCTTACATACTTAGTGCTTACATTACCATCACATGCTTTGCCTGGTGATTCATGTGTTATGTATTGGCCAATGCCCTTGCCGGGGGTTGCTGCCTTGCTATCGTCACCGACGGATGTGTTGTATACACCATAGACAATCCCTTGGACAGCATCCGTTGGTATTGGATCTATAAACGAATTAGGATTCAATTATCTGAAATATATCTTTGAAACTAAGCTGAGAGAGTGGTAGGAACTCAAACACATCTGAATAATACTGTTAAAAATATAGGTATCTTTTCCAGTCAGAAAGAAGTACCTGGTTCTTTTGTTGTAGTGCTTGTTAATGTTGATGCTGATGAAGTTGAGAATGTTACTTTACTATTTCTTGGTGTTGATGGTTGGTGTTTATTCTTTTTCAAAATCGTGGTTGGTAGCAAAATACCAACGGTGACTATCGCTGCAACTATAACCAATAATATAATGCCCAGTATCTTTCGATTTTGCATTCGACTATATCTAATAGAAAGTATATCTGTATTTTTCTTATTTCATACTATTCCCAAAACTCCTACGATGATTTCACCGATTTGTTCGTTTCCTTTTTCATCAGCTTGGGATTCTTTGCATCAAATCAGAATATACAAATAAAAGAATGATTTCACTTATATGAAGACTATGTTCAAGGACGTCTGTGACATAAGCATAACTCACTCTCGTCGTCGACATGGTCGGTCTGCTGACGAAGCGAATGCTTTTATACAGTAAATTTAGATGGTAAAACAAAATGAAATTCTCTCTTGTTTTCCTGAGGAAAAATCATGCTTTTTTTGACATAAAGATTGAGGATTAGTCTGTATTATTTTAGTTTCTTATTTGTCAAATATAATAGAATTTATTATTTAACAACAATTAATCATTATAGGGCGAATACGTGTGCCTGAAAAGTTATTCGTTATATATATATTTTTACAGTAATACTCTGGTCTTTTTCACCACTACTCCATTAGCAAACACACGTTCTTTATTTATCGATATAACAATGAAGAAAATCGTGAAAAGCAGTGCTCTTTATGACGAGAACATATAGTCACGCAAAGAAAGGTGAATCATAATACTACATAACACTCATCGAATTGTTGAACACAATTAAACAATGGGTGAATTGTTCACTGATAACGCAAGCTACACTACAGATTCACACCAAACAAGCAGTTTCTATTCATCAACATCAACTTTGTTCTTTCCAGCTTTTAGAATAGTTCTCTAAGATTCATCATCTTTCTTAGAACATATTTGTATGTGGTGTCAATTCAACTGAAGCAACAACATAAGCACGGAGACATTGCATATAAGCTAATCTGCATAATCGCAAGTCCGAGTGCAAAATTATAAGCAGATCTGTGACAATGACTAGTGGATGTTGTGTCATCGAAAACCACAGAAGACTTGATACTAAATATCCAAATACCACCTTGGTGTATACAGAAAAATAATAAAATGAAGAAAAAGAGATTTAATACCGATTCTGTTCACTTACAGCTATGCTCTAGGTTAAGTAAAATGTAGAAAATGTTCAGAAAACACAGGTAAAAGGCAACCAGATCGGCATATTTATAGAGTCAGGATCACTTTTGTAGCAGCACCATATAGAGAGTATGAACTTCAAATAAAAATATTTCAGAGAAGAACTTCATTACTAAGTTAAGAATGTTTCGACAAGCCCGATAAAATGCACTAGCTTGACCGATCTTACGAGTAGGCAACGCATTGGTAGTGGAAGAACACGAACCCATTGTGTAGATTATTGTATGATGTCTAAGTAACTTCGATCTAGTGTCAAATTACAATACTTTGTCTAGAACAAATGTTTATTAAGCATAGGTCAAGTTCTCACTGTCTTAGTTCCGGATTATGTGTTCCTGACCGGCGTGTTTCAGTTACACGTATAAAGATATTCGCATTTTCTAGACTTACTTGCTTTTAATAAATAAAACATTCGCAACGGTAAAATAGTTGGAAAAAAAACAAATGAGCTGAATTGCTTACTTTCTTCCTTGCTTATTTGAATATCGAAACTTTACTGATTCATTCAATAATATCTATCAGAAAAAGAATTCTTTCATTACAATTTTATTAAAATAAAGACTGTTTCATAAAATATACGCCGAATCTAATGGTCACAACGAGTTACTACAAGAGCAATAGACGACCATGAAGTCTAAATAAATCAATATCCATGGTGTTCTCAAGATGAGAGTTCTATGCTTGAAGATGCAGCACAATCGTCACTTTCTTCGTCATTGCCACAACTGACTACTTGACGCGCAAGGAGGTGAACGATAAAATGTCGATAAGGCTTATCCACTCTTTCTCCACCAGCCTTACGCTCATCGGTGCCTTCTATTGTTTCGATATTTGTGCATGTGAATTCAAAACCCGATGGTAAAAGTACTTCTTTTTCATGTGGCATCATTGAGATGTCACTGATATCGGTCCCTTGACTGGTGTAATAAGGATTTGGACCCATATCGATTATAAACAATGTGTTACCCTCAAACATATCAGCTACTTGACGCTTTTTCGATGTTGATGTAAAACCAAGCCACATTAACAATCCATCTCTGTGATTTTTTTCCATTTCTTTTCTGTAGCGACCAATCATACGAGGATGTAGCCAAGCACCTCGATAAAGGATACCTCGATAAGAACGTCCTTGATGTGCTCGTAGATAAATGTATTTTCTGAGCAGAAAACAGTACGGACCCAGTGTATCTCGATATTTCCGTCGATCGAATTCTCGCAATGCTTCATTCACCAGTTTGAATAGAAACTCCGTTCTTGTATAGCAGTGAACTGCACACTTTTCGATTTCATGTGGCTTTGAGCTATTTCGACACGCTTGGAATGCTTGGCATATCGTTGAGGCTTCTGTCGATTTATTTAACCGATATCCTTCCAAGCGAATACCAGCAATAGCTGCGTCAACAACGTCTCCTTTTGTATAATTCGGTCGTTTTTCAGCGAAGTGCTTCTTCCACTCTTCTATCATAAGATGATCACTGTTTCTGTTTGTCGCAAACGGGTGAAAATATGTATCGTTATTATCAAAAAGACGACGTTGATGAATTTGCATTGAAATGTGTTCACCGTATAAACGACGAATTGGACGTTGTACATCAGGATACTGTTCCACATACTGAATACATTTCGCAATGTCAATACAGTAATGTCCGTTCCGAATAAAAATTTTCTGTGCTGTACGGGACATATAGGCTTGTTCTATCGAAACATTCTCTTCCGAAGAGTATGAGGTCCATTCTTGATGCTGTGCATCTAAATCCCAAGGATTATCGTCTGTCCGACACTGCCAAACAGCCATGATTGTTCTCAAGTGAAACTTACAAAAATGAATGATGCAAGAATTATGCGTTACTCGCACGAAATATAACGGATTGTTGAAGTATTTGTTTTTTTTCTTTCATTCTTTTAATTCAGTTAAATCGACTACTATTTTCTTCCAACTTACTTTCAATTTATAGAGAAAAAATGAGAGTTTATTTTATCTTGGGATTCATCTACACATACAAATAGGTAATGTCGAAAGAGGAAGTGTTGTTTTGTGTGATGCAATTAATTCAATTCTTTGATCTTCTCGGTGATAATCTTTTCGGAAAAGTCCCACCACTCGCGAGTTCGTTCTGAATCATTCGCATGCGGGTTACCTACTTCTGCTTCGCGGCAATCGGAATAGTATTTTCCTGACACAACATCATCCGACACAGCACAGTAAAGAGTTGTTTGAGCGCCTTCGAGTTGTGTTTTAAGAAGAAGCAATCGAAACGGAGCAAACGCTAGTTGTGACATGGATATATGCCGTTGTAAGCCTGTATCAACTCCACCAGGATGAAGGACGTACGCATTGAGACCTTGTGAATGAAAACGACGATGTAATTCATGAGTAAAAGCAATATTCGCCGTTTTGCTTAGAGAATATGCATTCCAAGGATTGTATGTTTCTTTGTTTAACTGCTGGGCATATGTATCAGATGTGCACGGTACTTTCCATTTAGCATGAACTAATGACGAAACGTTTACAACACGTGATTTTGATTGGAGTAATTGAGGAAGAAGTAACTGAGTTAAATAAAAATGACCAAAATGATTAGTACCCATTTGCATTTCGAAACCATCTTTAGTAAGTGCGTATGGACAGGCCATAACTCCAGCATTGTTAATCAAAGCAGTAATTGGAGTATTCCTGCAAATTAAAATCATACATACATTCGTCATTGAATGTCATTATTGCAATACTTACTGACCTTCACTTTTCTTATACTGCTCGACGCCTGTTCGAATCGCACGTAAGTCACCTAAGTCAATTGGATAACCGCTAACGAGCTTGGAATCTCGAGCGACTTTTTTAACATCACTGATGGCTTCCTGTAAGTTGCTAGGTCGTGCGAAAAGTACAACTTTCGCACCACGCTTTGCCAACTCAAGAGCTGTTTGTTTTCCAATACCACCAGCAGCGCCCGTGATTAAATAAGTTTTTCCACTGAGATCCTTTGTTTTGAGAGCATTATATTGACCGCCACGAGCAATCCATCGTATAAGAACGTAAACACCAAGAAGATAGACTCCAATGAATAAATACGATGATCGGATATATGGCACAATACCAAAGATAATAATCGAGGTGAGAAGCGTGAGCGTAGCTTCTACTTCTGGTTGACATAGAAAGCTTAAAACCAAATTGACCATACTTATTGTGCGACTATATGTATGATTACTTTCAAAGTACTGGAATAACCGGACATTTTGTGTCGCCATTGTATGCATAAACATTTGGTAATGTGATCCAATGGAGACACAGGACGATAGAGGACGGTTTCGCACATTATAGAGTCATTTGATGTATTTTTTCTTAAAGAATCGGCAAAACGCATGATTGTATAGGCATAAATCGATTGTATCAATAACTAAACTCGGTATAGGTACTATTAAACATAACCATGGAAGAGTAATTAGAATTCATCGATATAGTTTGACAAAGATGTACTGTGGTGACCATCTGAGAATTCGAGAATAAACCTGCTATCGAGGTTTGGTATAAATATATGATCGTAAAGGCACATAAGATTATGTTATGAAACGAAACTTATTCGAACTGTTTCGAAGAAATAGGTTGTGATGAATTAAAAATCATGTGCATTTCTATTCTAAATGGAAATTAATAATTAGCAACAGGAGCAGGCGATTTTTCGGGAAAAGCTTTCATTCCATTGAATAGTAGAATTTAATCCATTTGCTTTCATTCATATTTAATATAACATAAAGCAAAACATTGCATACGATACGTTGATTATTACCATCATAAAAGTGATAAGAAAAAACTGATTTCATTGCTGAATGCCTTATGATACCATTATCAATTTCAATCTAGCTTTTCAATCAAAACAGTGCTCTTAATATTTATTTCGTAGCAATAAAATGTGTCACAAATATTTTTAATAAGTTTTATTTGAGAATCAGTCGTGAATGGTATTGCAAACTAGCAGATATGGATATGATGTATGTGCAAATATTCGATCGATATACACACCCAGTTCACCTACGCTTAAATATTCGCGGAGAATAATCTGTTTTTTTTTAGTCTTATCTGCAAGAAAATGCATATCCAGCTGTCATTTCTTCTCGCAGTGAGAAAATATATAAGAAATCAACATGCTCATTCATTGAAGACAACAACTCATTTTTCAAGCATTACACAATAAGCATAACTAAAATGTATAAGATCAACCGAAATGTTTGTTTGGTTGTTCTGATGGCTTTTCTTGCAACGATATCTGTCGTACGAGCAGCAGTGATTCAAGAGGCAGTTGACAGTGACATTGTTCAATATCTCGGTTCGAAAGCTGTAATCGGCTGCGGTCCTTGTTGTAAATGTGCTTGCTATGGTACTCGGTGTGCCTATCCATGTAATGCCGGTTATGCTCCTGGCGATTGTTTTATTATTGGCAAATAATTTTTCAATATAAGTAAGACGCACTAGTACGAGCAACATCAGCAAGTGCAAAAATCATGTCTTAAAGCTTCCCTTCTTTTCAGTTTTCTTTCTGTGAAATTATTCTGTATTGTTCACGAGAAAATAGAATACGGGTGAAGATAACAGCCGCGTTGTTGCTGAATGAGCATGCATCGAATACAATTTGTTAGAATTTTTCTTTACAGTAAGGGAAATGAAACAAAGTTACTAACATTCTGCTCAAAATTCTGCGAGAATAATTCGGATTTTGTTTAGCTCTCCGTTAAATCCATATATTTTGTTTCAAATGCATGTGGCATACACAGAATTCTGCTAGACGTGCGCATTATACTTCTTGAAGCGTACAACATGGTCATAGTTTCAGTTCTGTCCGAGTGTATGCTGTTTTTGTGAATTTTCACTATATAAGTAACTGCAAAAAAATTCTAAATTTTGCTTACATAGAACTCTTCAGCCTCTCCAAATACCACTTAAATCCAAGTAGTCAAACCAGTTTGTTGCTGAGAGAGAATTGTATTATAGAATCATTTTCTTCTCATAAGAATTGAACTCGGATGTTCTTATCTTCTGAGGAAATCGCTAATCGAGAGAAACATGTCACTCATACATCAATCATTACGACACCATGGAGGGTCTGCTTCGGATCCACGAGAATTAAAACTAACCAATGGTAGAGGCATACATAACTTATCTAAGATGAATTTTACAGTACTATAGATATGATTATTTCTCTCTAGCTTCTTGCCTTTTTTATTCAGCCTTCTTTTTCCGCAAAACGAATGTCAACAAAAATACAACGATCACGGCAACTAAGAAAAGATTATTGAAATCGATTAACTGCAGATCCGGAACAAACAAAAACGATCAAAACGGATTAGAGAAAAGCGAACGACCATGCTGGTCGTCGTCGGAGGCCTCGTCGAATATGTTCAAGATATTGTTGTCTTTTGATAATACCTCCACTAGCACTAGCAGCTCATCAACATGCGTGGTTTTATTGTATTTCCGTAACTCACACAATATTCTTTATTATTCCTAGAATCTTCATTGAGCATTAGTATCTCGTCAACTTGTGAGTCTGTCAATATTATCCCATGACCATATTTTTATTTCTTCTTTGCAAGCCACAACAAGTCAGACAGTAACAAGTAAGTGTATCATCATGTTACAGTCTCTTTCTTCTATTAACATGTTCATCTATTTTGCTCTAGGCACTTCGGCATCAACATGGACCAGTTTTACAAGCAAGATCATTTTTGAAAGTACTCGCTTTACCTCGGACTTTGAGCTGTATTTCAATCCACAAAAAACATTTACATATAGGTGATTAGATCTATTTTCAAATTTCTACTGTAGCTTCCACGAGCACGACAGGATCAAGTTTCCTCGCTTTTTGGCTACCACCACAACGGCAACAAGTATGGTTAGAGTCCAAATGATCAACACTATAATTATAGCAAAGAAAATTAAAACTGAACACATCCTGTGTTTCATTTCTTTTGAGAATTTTTATAAAATATGCTAACTGAAATGTTATATGAAAACGAAAAAGACAACTTCAACTGAACTAATTTTCAAGTATCGTTGTGTTTCGCCAGCTACCACACCTCCTACTTGCACGGGCACTGCTGCTCTTCTGTCGGTCATAAGCGATTCAATTTCCTCCTTCGGCTGGAAACGAAATGGTACACAAACAGCTTCGCAGCCACGCGCACCCAACATATACTCTGTTTTGGTTTTTATAATCCACCAGATCAATTTAACTTGGATGACGTTAGTGTAGTGGACAATGGTGGGAATAAAATTTAGTTACAAAGGGTGATTTTGAAAGTAATAGTTACACTCCAAATTGGACAAAATCTGGTTCATCCTGTAGCAGTGGTGACTTCACGATCGATTCATCACCAGTTCATTCAAGCAGCTACTCATTTTATAATGGATGTAGCAATGGTCTTATCTATTTAGGACAACCATTTACAGCAGCAATTGGTACGATATATAATGTTACCTTCTGTCTAAAAAACGGTCCAGGTAGCAATGATAATACTGACGTTCATGTTGGCTGAGATTCGGAAAAGAGATTGAAAACTTCCATCTGTTAGTATCCGTTTCTGCGTACTACTTTCCTGCCTTTGACAAGTTTTGGGAGTTTGAGTTTAAAATTAAAAGTACCGTATACTGGTCTTTATCGCTGTCAACATCTTGACTCAAGCACAAAATGTGTCGATTTTTGCTTGCAGTTGTACAGAACGATTTGCGCATTCGTACCCTGAAGAAAAAGGAGCTTTGCCAAAACTATCTTTGGTTTCCTACTACTTGCGAAAATACAAAAAGTTTCATCACAATGAATACTCTATCTGAGTGCTTCTGTTCAGCATGTCGGTGTTTCGTTAAAACAAGAGGCTTCCGGAGTTTTTCAAGAGAAAAGAACGATTACTATAGTCTTGTTTTGTTACAAACTAAATGAATAAACTTCACAAAACTATGTTCGACTACAATCTAAAACATGCTAAATATTGCCATTTTCATCCTATTGTCTATCTCAAGATGATTTTCGAGAGATATCATGATGAGTGATCACACTAAACAAATTAAGGACAAAATAGGTTTTTATTCTCGTTTTTTAACAAAAACTGTACGATCATGTGTCCAAGTATTCAATCCTATTTTGAATCCATCGTCTTTNAACGGGTGAAAATATGTATCGTTAGAATCAAAAAGACGACGTTGATGGATTTGCATTAAATTGTGTTCACCATATAAACGACGAATTGGACGTTGTACATCAGGATACTGTTCCACATACTGAATACATTTCGCAATGTCAATACAGTAATGTCCGTTCCGAATAAAAATTTTCTGTGCTGTACGGGACATATAGGCTTGTTCTATCGAAACATTCTCTTCTGAAGAGTATGAGGTCCATTCTTCATGCTGTGCATCTAAATCCCAAGGATTATCATCTGTCCGGCACTGCCAAACAACCATGATTGTTCTCAAGTGAAATTTGCAAAAATGAATGATGCAAGAATTGTGCGTTATTGACACGAAATGTAACAGTTTGTTGAAGTATTTGTTTTTTTCTCTCTCATTATTTTAATGCAGTTAAATCGACTGCTATTTTCTTCCAACTTACTTTCAATTTACGGAGAAAAAAATGGGAGTCTATTTTATTTTGGGATTCATCTACACATACAAACAAGTAATGCCGAAAGAAGAGCTGTTGTTTTATGTGATGCAATTAATTCAATTCTTTGATCTTCTCGGTGATAATCTTTTCGGAAAAGTCCCACCACTCGCGAGCTCGTTCTGAATCGTTCGCATGCGGGTTACCTACTTCTGCTTCGCGACAATCGGAATAGTATGTTCCTGATACAACGTCATCCGACGCAGCACAGTACAAAGTTGTTTGAGCGCCTTGGAGTTGTGTTTTAAGAAGAAGCAGTCGAAACGGAGCAAATGCTAGTTGTGACATGGATATATGTCGTTGCAGGCCTGTATCGACTCCACCAGGATGAAGGACGTATGCATTGAGACCTTGCGAATGAAAACGACGATGTAATTCATGAGTAAAGACAATGTTCGCTGTTTTGCTTAGAGAATATGCGTTCCAAGGATTGTATGTTTCTTTGTTTAACTGCTGGGCATATGTATCAGATGTGCACGGTACTTTCCATTTAGCATGAACTAATGACGAAACGTTCACAACACGTGATTTCGATTGAAGTAATTGAGAAAGAAGTAACTGAGTTAAATAGAAATGACCAAAGTGGTTAGTACCCATTTGCATTTCGAAACCATCCTTAGTAAGTGCGTATGGACAGGCCATAACTCCAGCATTGTTAATCAAAGCAGTAATTGGAGCATTCCTAAAAATTAAAATCATGCATACATTCGTCATTGAATATCATTATTGCAATACTTACTGACCTTCACTTTTCTTATACTGCTCGACGCCTGTTCGAATTGCACGTAAGTCACCTAAGTCAATTGGATAACCGCTAACGAGCTTAGAATCTCGAGCGACTTTTTTAACATCATTGATGGCTTCCTGTAAGTTGCTAGGTCGTGCGAAAAGTACAACTTTCGCACCCCGCTTTGCCAACTCCAGAGCTGTTTGCTTTCCAATACCACCAGCAGCGCCCGTAATTAAATAAGTTTTTCCGCTGAGATCCTTTGTTTTAAGAGCGTTATATTGACCGCCACGAGCAATCCATCGTATAAGAACGTAAACAGCAAGAAGATAGACTCCGATGAATAAATACGACGATCGAATATATCGCATAATACCAAAGATAATAATCGAGATGAGAAGCGTGAGCGAAGCTTCCACTTCTGGTTGACATAGAAAACTTAAAACTAAATTGACCATACTTATTGTGAGGATATACGTATGATTGTTTCCAGAGTACTGGAATAACCGGACATTTTGCACCGTCATTGTATGTATACAATTTTTGGTAAAATGAGGAGACGTGATCTAGTGGAGGTAGAGGGCGACAGAGTATGGTGTCGAGTTCTCCAGAATTATTTAGTGAATTTTTCTTAAAGAATCGGCAAAGTGCATGATTGCATAGGCATAAATCGATTGTATCAATAACTAAACTTAGTATATAGGTACCATCAGTAACATTAAACATAACCACGTGAGAGCAATTAGAATTCATCGCTATAGTTTGACAAAGATATGCTGTGATAACCATCTGAGAATTTGAGAATCAATGTGCTACCGAGATTTAGTTTAAATATATGGTCATAAAGGCGCATGAGATTATATGATGAAATGAAACTTATTCGAACTGTTTCGAAGAAATAGGTTGTGATGAATTAAAAATCATGTGCATAACTATTCTAAATGGAAATAAACAATCAGCAACAGGAACAGGTGATTCTTCGGGAAAAGCTTTCATTCCATTGAATAGTTGAATTTGGCCCATTCATTTTCATTCATATTTGATATAGCATAAAGCAAAAGAATTGCGTACGATACTTTGATTATTACCATCATAAAAGTGATAAGAAAAAACTGATTTCATTGCTGAATGCCTTATGATATCATGATCAATTTGAATCTAAGTTTTTAATCAAAACAGTGCTCCTAATATTTATTTCGTAGCAATAAAATGTGTCATAAATATTTTTAATAAGTTTTACTTGAAAATCGGTCGTGAATGGTATTGCAAACTAGCAGATATTGATATGATGTATGTGCAAATATTTGATCGATATACACACTGAGCTCACCCACGCTTATATTTTCGCGGAAAATATTCTGGCTATTTTTAGTCTTATCTGCGAGAAAATACATATCCAGCTGTCATTTCTTCTCGCAGTGAAAAAGTATATAAGAAATCAACATGCTTATTCATTGAAAACAACAACTCACTTTTCAAGCATTACACAATAAGCAACTAAAATGTATAAGATCGATCGAAATGTTTATTTGGTTGTTCTGATGGCTTTTCTTGCAACGATATCTGTCGTACAAGCAGCAGTGATTCAAGAGGCGGTTGACAGTGACATTGTTCAATATCTTGGCTCGAAAGCTGCAATCGGCTGCGGTCCTTGTTGTAAATGTGCTTGCTATGGTACTCGGTGTACCTATCCATGTAATGCCGGTTATGCTCCTGGCGATTGTTTTATTGTTGGCAAATAATTTTTCAACATAAGTAAGACGCACTAGTACGAGCAACATCAGCAAGTGCAAAAATCATGTCTTAAAGCTTTCCTCCTTTTCAGTTTTCTTTCTGTGAAATTTTTCTGTATTGTTCACGAGAAAATAGAATACGGGTGAAGATAACAGCCGCGTTGTTGCTGAATGAGCATGCATCGAATACAATTTTTTAGAATTTTTCTTTACAGTAAGGGAAATCAAACAAAGTTACTAACATTCTGCTCAAAATTCTGCGAGAATAATTCGGATTTTGTTTAGCTCTCCGTTAAATCCATATATTTTGTTTCAAATGCATGTGGCATACACAGAATTCTGCTAGACGTGCACGTTATACTTCATGAAGCATACAACATGGTTATAGTTTCAGTTCTGTCCGAGTCTATGCTGTTTTTGTGAATTTTTGCTATGTAAGTAACTGAAAAAAATTCTGAATTCTGCTTACATAGAACTCTTCAGCCTCTCAAGAATCGAAGTCGGATGTTTTTATCTTCTGAGGAAATCACCAATCGAGAGAAACATGTCACTCATACATCAGTCATTACGACACAATGGAGGGTCTACTTCGGCTCCAAGAGAATTAAAACTAACCAATGGTAGAGGCATACATAACTTATCTAAGATGAATTTTACAGTACTATAGATATGATCATTTCTCTCTAGCTTCTTGCCTTTTTTATTTGGCCTTCTTTTTCCGCGAAACGAATGTCAACAAAAATACAACGATCACAGCAACTAAAAAAGATTATTGAAATCGATTAGCTGCAGATCCGGAACAAACAAAAACGATCAAAACGGGTCAGAGAAAAGCGAACGCGCATCCTGGCCGTCGTCGGAGGCCTCGTCGAATATGTTCAAGATATTGTTGTCTTTTAATAATACCTTGTTTGCTAGTCTAGCTACGACGCATCACGCTGTGCCTACAACTTCGACAACTACCACGAGTACTTGTATGTTTCCGAAACAATAAATATAAGATTGAAAAAACGTAGAAATTTTCATTGTTTTGTTAGCAGTAACCATGACAACCGAAACAACATCAACTTCAGTAACGACTAGCATTAGCAGCTCATCAACTTGTGAGTCGGTCAATATTATTCTATGACCATATTTTTATTTCTTCTTTTCAAGCCACAACAAGTTAGACAGTAACAAGTAAGTGTATCATCATGTTACAGTCTCTTTCTTCTATTAACATGTTCATCTATTTTGCTTTAGACACTTCAGCATCAACATCGACCAGTTTTACAAGTAAGATCTTTTTTGAAAGTACTCGCTTTACCTCTGACTTTGAGCTGTATTTCAATCCACAAAAAAAAATTTACATATAGGTGATTAGATCTATTTTCAAATATCTACTGTAGCTTCCGCGAGTACGACAGCTACGATCACGACAACAGGATCAAGTTTCCTCGCTTTTTTAGCTACTACCCCAACGGTAACAAGTACAAGAATTACTACAAGTACGGTTAGAGTCCAAATGATCAACACTATGATTATAGCGAAGAAAATTAAAACTGAACACATCTTGTATTTCATTTCTTTTGAGAATTTTTACAAAATATGCTAACTGAAATTTCGTATGAAAACGGAAAAGATAGCTTCAACTGAGCTAATTTTCATGTATCGTCTTGTTTCGCCAGCTACCACACCTCCTGCTTGCACAGGCACTGCTGCTCTTCTGTCGATCATGAGCGGTTCAATTTCCTTCTTCGGCTTGAAACGAAACGGTACACAAACAGCTTCGCAGTCACGCGTATCCAACATATAATTTACTCCGTTTTGGTTTTTGTACTCCACTAGATCAATTTAACTTGGATGACGTTAGTGTAGCGGACAATGGTTGAAATAAAATTTAGTTACAAATGGTGATTTTGAAAGTAATAGTTATACTCCAAATTGGACAAAATCTGGTTCATTCTGTAGCAGTGGTGACTTCACGATTGATTCATCACCAGTTCATTCAGGCAACTACTCATTTCATAATGGATGTAGCAATAGTCTTACCTATTTAGGACAACCATTTACAGCAGCAATTGGTACGACATATAATGTTACCTTCTGGCTAAAAAACGGTTCAGGTAGCAATGATAATACTGACGTTCATGTTGGATGAGATTCAGAAAAGAGATTGAACGCTTCCACCTGTCAGTATCCTTTTCTGCGTACTGGTTTCCTGCCTTTGACGAGTTTTGAGAGTGAGAGTTTAAAATTAAAAGTACCGTATACCGGTCTTTATCACTGTCAACATCTTGACTCAAGCACAAAATGTGTCGGTTTTTGCTTGCATTTGTACAGAACTATTTGCGCATTCGTACCCTGAAGAAAAAGGAGCTTGCCAAAACTATCTTTGGTTTCCTACTACTTGTGGAAATACAATAAGCTTCATCACAATGAATACTCTGTCTGAGTGCTTCTGTTCAACATGTCGGTGTTTCGTTAAAACAAGAGGCGTCCGGAATTTTCCAAGAGAACAGAACGATTACTATAGCCTTGTTTTGTTACAAACTAAGTGAATAAACTTCACAAAACTATGTTCGACTGCAGTTTAAAACATGCTAAATATTGCCATTTCCATCCTATTGTCTATCTCAAGATGATTTTCGAGAGGTGTCATGATGAGTGATCACACTAAACAAATTAAGGACAAAATAGGTTTTTATTCTCGTTTTTTAACAAAAACTGTACGATCATGTGTCCAAGTATTCAATCCTATTTTGAATCCATCGTCTTTCGGTGGTCGGCCAGCGTGAAATGTTAGAGGATCTCCTTTACCATGCTCGTTAACATTATACCAAAAGATGCTGTTGCCCGGGATCGGACGAAATCGAAGGCCCAGTTGAGAAGATTTCTTATCACAAGTCAGAATATCACAGAATTTCTTGTGTAAAGCTTTGTCAAAACGGACATGAACGAACTCAGTTTCGCCATGTGTACAATTCGAATAGAGATAAGTAAAAAAGGTTGTGACGCGTTGTCCGTGATCTTTCAATACCTCCGGAGAAGAAAACCAATCGAAATGTGGCTTAAACTAAAACAAAGCTCAATAGTTCGTCAGTAGATAGAAAACAGAAGGAGAACCTCTTGGTCAGATGTATATTGAACAACTTGTAATGGTTCAATGTATTCCACATTGATATTCCCTTGAAATTGAGCGTATCGTTGTTCGATACACTTAACAACAGATGTTTCAGCACGTTCAAGATCCGCGGTCGATGACGTTCGATAGTTATTCTGCACACGAACTCCATGTGGATCATGGACTTTTGACTGTAGAAATAACGGTTCTCTGAAAAGAAATTCGTTTGAAAGGTTGTTCCGGTTTGACATTGACTTACGCTAATTCAATTAAATGCTTTATCTCATTTTCAGTTAGGAAATTTTCGATATAAATAATTGTTGGATTTCGCGTAATCAATCGCACTTTATATCGATGATCAGCACATACATCTGCATTTTTATCGGTTGAAATGATTTTCTCTTGCGGATCGATGAAACATTTTATCAAAGAATTTAAACCAATGGAAACTCGATCGATATTGAATAGACCGTAACTTAATATTACGCAGATGATTACTGGTCATAGTGAATAAATAAAGAAATAATACTGTGTCTTGTATAAAATAATTATACCTGAATACGTGTAGCGAGGCATGATTATTTGTCACTGAATTTGTTTTGAATACAAATTGTTTTTCTCTCTCTGATGGAAAGAAGAAAAAAAAGCTTACTGACAGCTAATGGATTTCGTTGATCAATCCATTAACGAATTGAAATGTGCAAGGTTTCTTTTTCTATTCTCACATCATGAATCATGAAATATTCCAGCAGTTATTGTTTGAAACATAAATTACACCCTCAATATTCTATATCCATCGAATTGATGAGTAGTTGTAATTGAAGGGTGCGAATATAGAATTCGTAGTCTCATACACTTCCGCTACTATTGAGTAGTTTACTATTTACCTTTTTCTTCATCAGTCATTTATATGTGAAGATTTGTAATGGTATTTCGGAAGTTTCCAGCTTTATTTCAAGCGTAGATATAAATTTTGCGTGCGGTACAAGTCGGAAGAAATGAATACTTTATTTAAATACGGTGTATCATAGTCACATATCTATTATTCGAGAGGACGACATTATTTAGAATAGTTCTATTTTCTTTATTAACATACGTACGTATTTATACACTTATTCTCTAAATAAATAGTTGCAAGTTGGCAATAAAATATGAGATTCTTATGAAGTAAGAAACATTATTCTCCATTATTTGCTCTTCATCTCAATATGCTTTACCTTTTGTATCCAAATATATGCCGTTAGTAAACTATGTTTTTCCTCATAAAACTTCTTATCATTATACTGATGTCTGAGTGCGCACAATTACGAATTGGTAGAGAATTCTTAGCCAGCATTTCATGGCCGTCTTCTTTTCGTCGGAAAGATCATGATCGATGTTACTGTCATCGATGTTATCCAGCTGATCTTGCAGATACCCTCACTGTAGCTGGTTATACATATGTCATTCCACGCGGATGGACTCGTTTTGCTGTTGCAGTTGATGAAAGTTTCTTCAATCATCATAATGTATGGGATACCTGGCTGAATTGTTATCATGGAACAAGTATTGATAGTGCAAAATCTTGTGTCGAACATCGACAGATGCTTTTACCTGATGATATGACTATGCATGGAAAGAAAATAGGGATACGAGAAAATCACATCCCCGAAGAACGATTTGTTTTTACAACACCTTCCATTAGTTATGCTGCGCTAGACTACTACGCTTATACACATAGCTTTAGGTCACCTTATGACTTAAAATTATATAGTATAAAAGTAGTATTGCAATGTAAACAGAAGGCTGATTCAATTATTGTACAACCAGAAACAGTTGGTGCAAGAGCACAAGGAAGACGATTATGTCCTCATATACCAAACGAAGAATTAGAATGGAAAACAAAACATCGTTCGAGCGTTATGATCTATGGACTACTACTTGAAATAAAGCAAAATCATGCGAGTGATGACTCGAATTCACCTCAATACCAAAAACTAAACATCAGTAAGTGCACGCACAAATGTCGTTTTCTTAATGACTTTGAAAGCACGCCAAATCTATTACGAAGTCTTTATGCAAAACCTTTTGTTTCTGATAGTTCTCGGCTCGACTTAACTCATAAGATCACACACACTCCTCCTGACATGAGCTAAAACTGTACATTTTTTCTTCAAACAGGCGTACCACCTGCATCAAACGTCGTTGCACCGGAACCATCAACATCGGAAGAAATTACTAATACTATTCCCAAATCAGAACCCTTACCCTTACCCAGCTCTTATCGGGAACCAATGTCGAAAACGAGAATAGCATTACTGGTTGTGCTAATCATATCCACTTTTCTGCCAATGGCCGCTCTAATCATTGGTCAAATCTACAAGTCTGAATGCCCAATCCAACCATGGATTCCACGGTGGATGACGGTTTTTGGATCTGTGGGACTGAGCGCTTCTTGTTTAATGTTTGTCATAGTAAGAATTCATCTATGTATTTCGAGATTTTGTTCACTGTTTTGTAGTTGTTTATAAATTTTAAATGGCATCCGGAAGAAGAAATCGGAAAATATGTGAGTGGTTGTATCTTGTGTTTATTATTGTTCTTTTTCCTGGCATGGTTAATAGCGGTAAGCCATTCAGAATATTTCATTTCTGTGAAAGTTATTCTCATTTTTCGATAGGGAAGTGTATGGATATTTTCTGTCAAGCCAAAAGTACAATTTGTTCAGACAAACGTAACGACTTACTGTCAAGAAACTCTGTACAAGTTCGCATTTGGACTAACGCTTGCACAGTATTCATTGATTGGCATTCTAATATGCTGTGGTGGTATTGTTGCCTTATTTGGTTGCTTATGTTAATGAAAATATGCATTATATAGACCAGATCAAAACACAATTAAACTAATTTTTTGTCACATCAGTAGACATTGCTAAAAAATCAAAAGGTGATATGCGTTGATCACATATCTGAATACACGTAGTGAACAAGAAAGTATCATCCGTAATTAAATTTTGTTGATGTTCCACATTTTTCACGTATATCTCTTTTATCAGTGTATAAGATCGATGATTAAAGAGTAAATATGTAGAGAAAAACAAGTAATATACATGTATATAGTGAACGAGCTCGTTCAGTCAATCATAGAGTGATATATAGTTCAAAATATTTTTGTTTCCCTTCATTCTATTTACAATTTCATTGTTTTTGTGTAAAGGGGTCTATTTTCAGCTAGTGATGCGGAATATTTTTCAAGATCGTTTCTTATTAGGATTGGTATATGCATTGCATTAGTGTAACGCGCAGTGATAGAACATAGAAAGTTACATACTACTTTCTCTTTATTAAAATCATTTCAAATCTTAATCGATAAAGGATACTTTTTCCGCCATTAAAACTGAACAAATTTTATTCTGAGAATGTAAATACGACAAACAACAGAGACACCTACACTGTCAACTAGTGGATTTATGGACTTTTTCACAATACTCTTTGCATGTCAGAATGAGTGACTATTTTCATCATTCTATTGGCTGACTATATACAGAATTCTCTTGTTTATTTGTCGTTGTCAGGTGTAAGTGAAATAGAGCATGCTCACATTTTTATCGAAATTCTTATTTTGAGAAAAGGTAAGTATGCTAGTAGATAGAAAAATGACAGTCAGTGAAAGTATTATTATTCGAACCGATGAAGATTATTGTTGACATCCGTCCCCAACAAACGACGAAATCATAGTAAATAAGACACCACTGAACCATATTTTCAGACGTCAAATCATACTCGTATCTAATTATTATCACAGAAGTTTAGACGTTTACCTAAAAAAATGTGTTGTGCATCAACATGACTTCTGATATTCGATATGTGCGCTCCGGTCAATTTCTTCTAGTAACCACGAACTGCAGGTATATTCTCAATTATTAATCGCATAGCAAAACCTCAATCATTGAGGTCGTCAACGAGCCTCTGAATACATCGCGCAGTACAAACATTGTTTTTATTATTTTTTGCTCTTCAGATCCTTTCAATTCATAGATAACAATGGCTAGTGGAACTCGACTTCCCAGCGATCGACAGCGATTCCTTGACGTCAATCAAGAGCCGGACAAACTAGCGCTCCCATTGTATATTCCAGTGACTGAAAGCAATGCTGGACAACTTCGCTTAATCGATTGTGTAAAACCCATAGAAAAATTAGGTGTAATTCCTAACTTGTTAAATGAAGTGATCCGATCACTGAACAGTTGTCAACATCCGAAGGATGGCCTAACACCAGACGAGTCTGCTGCTTTGTATCTCTATTCGCTCCCGGGTGCATTTTACACAACATTTAACGGCGCATTACGAAATGAAGACCGTACTAAATCACTGCCATTTCACGATTATTATAAACTATTTATGTTAGCGCTAAAGAAACTTCCATCTATCCAAGACACCATATGGCGAGGTGTGACCGCCGATCTCAGTGATCAGTACTCTCCGGGAAGTATTCATATTTGGCATGCAGCTAGCTCATGCACGGATCAAATTCACGTGACCGATACTTTTCTTGATAAAACAAAACATCGTACGTTGTTTAGTATCAAATGTTCCAACGGAAAATCTATAAAGAATCATTCACACTTCCCGAAAGAAAGCGAAACAATTCTTCCACCAGGCACATTCATACGAGTTAAGGGACGATCCAATCCAGCAGAAAACCTATTCATTGTGATCTGTGAAGAAACAACTCTTACATCCGAAGAAATGAATGCTCTCGCAGAAAAAGGTATTACTGCCGCTTTGCCAGGCAGCATGCCAGGTGTAGCACCCAAGTTGCTTCTGGTTTGGTTTCACCCGAATATAGGAAAATCGAAAGATAATATCAAAATTCAAGAGAAACTAAGACCATTGTTTCCAGATGGTTTTCAAACATTTCAATCACCCGAAGAATGTGAATTGTTTATAAAACAAAAGACAAATGATCGAATAATCTTCATTGTTGGCGGACAATTCGGACAAAATTTTGTACCCATTATCCATAATCTAGCTCAATTGGTCAGTATCTTAGTCTACTGTATGGATAAAGAAGGGCATGAAAAATGGGCAAAAAATTTTACAAAGGTCAGTAATGTTGTAATCCTAGATACTTACAACAGTCCGTTGCATTTTTTCTTGAGTCGCAAGGAGGTTGTCTGATTGTAGCCTGAGGCAAAGATACAATATCCTAACCTTGACGGTTCGCCTAAGACATGAGTTTTACATAAACATACTTTTAGTAAAACCGATGTATGTACTATATCCTATTATCTTTTTTATGTTGTACATTGTATGATAATGTACATGTTGCAGGGCAAATTAAAATTCAGGAAAATTTAAAATATTCCTAAAAACAGCTAGGAAAAATTAAAATGTGCGTGTTAAAATTTTAATTTTTCCTGGGCTTTTCAGGAATATTTTAAATTTTCCTGGATTTTAATTTGTCCTGCGACATACACATTGAACTCGTTATTTATGGTTCTGCCGTTTCGAGAATGTTTTGCATTGTAGATCAAAGGAGTCTTTACGCAGCCAAAGGAACTCATCAATGAAGTCGAGCAATTGAAGCTACAACAAGAGTAAGTTGACTTTGTCTAAGCCTCTCGTAATTAATAGAGATCTTTATAGGCTGTTAATTACCAATCAAGATGAATCAACTCCGACGATATCTACGCCGATCAGTGGTTATGAATTAGTTCCCCTGCAACCTTTGGAAGTTGCTTTACAGCCGGTTGGAAACCTTATTGAAGATCTTGATAGAAATATATGGATTAGCAAACAGCACAGTAAAAGTTCCAGCCATGGATTGACGCATGATGAAGCAGCCTCTATAACGATATATACAATGGAGATGGACGGAAATTCTCTCTATCGAGTTTTGAACAAAGCACTACGGTCAGAAAACAGAGATCATATCAAACCATGGCTTCCGTATTTGAAATTATTCATGACGGCATTGAATAAATTACCATCATACCAAGGAGTAGTTTGGCGTGGAATACAGATGGACATTTCAAATGCTTATCAGAGAGGCACAAGAGGTGTTTGGTGGGGAGTAACAAGTGCGACGAAAGATGGGTCAATCCTAGAGAATTTCATGTCTCATTCCTCGGCACGTGTTCTATTTTCAATCGAATGTAAAAATGGGAAATATATCAGAGAGTTCAGTAGCTATGGTGAAGACAATGAAGTAATACTCATGCCAGGATTTCGTTTTGAAGTCACCGGTGTAATGAAGCCTGCGGATAAAATGCACATTATCAGCCTAAAGGAAGTAGATCCATTTTGGTAATAAACTTGTATCAATGAAAAATCCATCATAATCATATCGGTAACACATTATTCTTTTCGTACTTCAATAATTTTCATATAAATAAAATATCGAATAGCTTGCGATTCAATAAACTATACTTTTGATATGAATGGGAACGCTTCATGAGATATGTAAGATACTATTATTGTACGCTTTTTTTCTTCTATTGGTTGTTATGGGCAGAATGTAAGAGTATGACTGCATGAACTCAGAGTCTATACTTTTCACTCTCATCACCCTCGAATACGTGTATTCGCGCACTGTCGGATTATGTTTTAGTCATATTCATTTTGTTTCACGAAAGTATTTCGAGATTTTCAGAAAATCCATATGGAAACGTGCCCGTAATAGTAATTTCTCACTGCAAAAGATCGAAACTACTAGAGTGCCTATCTTTGTTTATTTACTAATAATTTATCATCTTAGAGCGAACACGACGTAGCACAGATGTGTGAAACATTCTCGATAGATGCTATTTGAGAGTTATGATACGTTGTTTGCATGCAAAGAGATCAGGATATTTATAAAAACTGAAAAACTTCTTCGCTGAAAAAAAGATTCATACGAGTAACGGATTTCATTGTATTGAAACATCAATAAAAAGACATATTTACTGCATGTTTAAAAGTAAAAGATTAAAGCGATTGTAAAATTCAAGATTATTTCACATAAGTAGAGTATTTGTTCTCTTTACCGTACTTTTCAAATTCGTACACATAGAACGATGACAGAATGCGAGCAATCACGAGTTGGTAGAGAATTTTTAGACAGTGTTTCTTGGCCTACTCTATTGCGTAGACCAGCTCATGATCAATGTTATTGCCATCAATGTTATTCATCAGATCTTCCAGATACTCTTACCGTAGCCGGTTATACATATGTCATTCCACGTGGATGGAGTCGTTTTGCTGTTTCAGTTGATGAAGATTTCTTCAATCATCATAATGTATGGAAAACATGGCTAAATTGTTATCATGGAACAAGTATTGACAATGCTAGATCTTGTGTCGAACATCGGCAATTATTGTTACCCAATGATATAACTATGTACGGAAAGAAACTGGAAATACGAGAAGATCACATCCCGGGAGAACAATATGTTTTTACAACACCTTCCATCAAATATGCTGCGTTGGGTTGTTATGGTCATACATATGACTTCCGATCCCCTCGTGATTCAAAATTGTATACTATAAAAGTAGTATTACAATGTAAACAGAAGCCTGACTCAATCATTGCTCAACCAGAAACAGTTGGTGCAAGAGAAAGAGAAATTAAAATATGTCCTCATTTCCCAAATGAAGTGTTAGAATGGAAAACAAAACATCGTTCGAGCGTTATGATCTATGGACTATTACTTCAAGTAAAAGGAGAGGATGCAGAAGATGATTCGAATTTATCTCTATGTCAATCAATAAGCATCACTGAAAGTATACGATAAAATTCTTTTGATATGATATAAAATGTTGTATTTTTTGCATAGATCAACCTCACGAATCAATCATAATTCCACCACAATCAGCTCCATCGAACGAAAATGTTGATAATAATCCGAAATCACCGCCATCGAACCAAGCCATTGACAATAATTCAAAGCCAACACGTTCAATTGCATCTACATATAGATCTAAATGGGCGTCAATGTCAAGAAAGCGAGCGGCACTCTTAATTATACTGGTCGTATCCACCTTTCTACCAATAGCTGCTCTTATTATTGGTCAAATATATAAAAATGATTGTCCAATGCAACCATGGATTCCTCGATGGTTGATTATTTTTGGAGCTATGGGCTTAGCTGGTTTTGGTTTGATTTTCATCACAGTAAAACTCCCAATTCTTTAATTTCGAAGACCTACATTGTATTTGTAGATGTCTATAACGTTTCAACGTTGTTCTAAAGACACAGAAGTTGGAAATGATATTAGTTCGTATATGTTCTGTTTGTTAATACTCTTCTTTCTCGCATGGCTAATAGCGGTAAAATATATGTTCAGTATAACGTCATTTCTCTAAATGTTGTTTTGATTTTGATAGGGAAGTGTATGGATATTTCCAGCTAATCTGGAAGTTCAATTCAATGAAACGAATAAGAAAACCTACTGTCATAAAACTCTGTACAAGTTTGCATTCGGATTATCGCTTGTACAATATTCACTCATTGGTGTTTTGATATGCTGTTGTCTGGGCAACGTGTTTTAGCCATAGTGATATGCATAACCAACTAATTATACGTTATACTACTGAAAAAAACTTGAATGCGTATCTATCTCTACTACAAGTATAACCATCATTGACGCCCTCGATATTAATCCTATATAACGTTTTTCAATTCTAGTGATTTGAAGTTAACAATAAGATACATTTAGATTACGAGTAGAATTGTTTAAAAGTTGACATGAAAGATTATCAGTTTTCAAATACATAAACATTTTGTATCATCAAATTCTCTATCTAGTCCATAGGAGAAAACTTTCGAATCAAATCCATTTTCAATGACCATGATCCATCTTAAGATCTGTGATGGACTTTTAACACAAAATTCGTCTAAGCGTGGATCAGCATTGCAGAAATAACTTGTATCGTGTGTAGACCACCAATCATTTTTGCCACGATACAAATTTCTCTCGTTTGGATTTAATCTTAGCACTCTTCCCATCTCAACTTCAGCACATATGAAAGCACCCTTACGATTCGCTTTATTTTCTGTTCCATCTCTTGATCGAGCAAAGTAAACACCATGACCTATCATTGTACTCTCATATGCAGTACTGATGAGAAAGTCAGAGTGAGCAATGAGCATAGCTGATTTCGGGTCAGTTTGATGAAATCCAATATAAAGATTTTTTCCTGCCGTTGTTTGTTCGATATCAAAATAACGTGGCTGTGGATTGTAACTTTTGAAATGAAATATGAATATATGTTCCAAATCGCGGTTTTTGCATTGAGCACCTTTCGAACAAGCTTTATCCCCAAAACGCATAGTACGATTATCACCCAATAGAGTATAAGGAATAAATCGTTTATGTTTAGGCGATAGCGGTGTCAATGGCATGTTGAAGTCCCTCAGGATTAAATTTGGTCTGTAGTGCCACCATACGCGATAGTGATAGAAATCCAACATGGTAGTTAAAATCAAAAAGAAGAATGATATAGCAANTTGAGAAGATTTCTTATCACAAGTCAGAATATCACAGAATTTCTTGTGTAAAGCTTTGTCAAAGCGGACATGAACGAACTCAGTTTCGCCATGTGTACAATTCGAATAGAGATAAGTAAAAAAGGTTGTGACGCGTTGTCCGTGATCTTTCAATACCTCCGGAGAAGAAAACCAATCGAAATGTGGCTTAAACTAAAACAAAGCTCGATAGTTCGTCAGTAGATAGAAAACAGAAGGAGAACCTCTTGGTCCGATGTATATTGAACAACTTGTAATGGTTCAATGTATTCCACATTGATATTCCCTTGAAATTGAGCGTATCGTTGTTCGATACACTTAACAACAGGTGTTTCAGCACGTTCAAGGTCCGCGGTCGATGACGTTCGATAGTTATTCTGCACACGAACTCCATGTGGATCATGGACTTTTGACTGTAGAAATAACGGGCGTCTGAAAACAAATTCGTTTGAAAGGTTGTTGTGTTTTGACACTGTCTTACGCTAATTCAATTAAATGCTTTATTTCATTTTCAGTTAGGAAATTTTCGATATAAATAATTGTTGGATTTCGGGTAATTAATCGGATTTTATATTGATGATCAGCACATACATCTGCATTTTTGTCGGTTGAAATGATTTTCTCTTGCGGATCGATCAAACATTTTATAAAAGAATTTACACCAATGGAAACTCGATCGATATTGAATAGACAATAACTTAATATTACGCAGATGATTACTGGTCATAGTGAATAAATAAAGAAATAATACTGTGTCTTGTATAAAATAATCATACCTGAATACATGTAGCGAGGCATGATTATTTGTCACTGAATTTGTTTTGAATGCAAACTGTTTTTCTCTCTCTGATGGAAAGAAGAAAAAAAACTTACTGACAGCTAATGGATTTCGCTGATCAATCCATTAACGAATTGCAATGTGCAAGGTTTCTTCTTCTATTCTCGCATCATGAATCATGAAATATTCCAGCAGCTATTGTTTGAAACATAAATTACACCCTCAATATTCTATATCCATCGAATTGATGAGTATTTGTAATTGAAGGGTGCGAATATAGAACTCCTAGTCTCATACACTTCCGCTACTATTGAGTAGTTTATTATTCACCTTTTTTTTTCATCAGTCACTTACATGTGAAGATTTGTAATGATATTTCGGAAGTTTCCAGCTTTATTTCAAGCGTAGATATAAATTTTGTGGGCGGTACAATTCGGAAGAAATGAATACTTTATTTAAATGCAGTGCATCATAGTCATCATATCTATTATTCGAAAGGACGACATTGTTTTGAATAGTTATATTTTTTTTATTAACATACGTACGTATTCATGCACTTATTCCCTAAATAAGTAGTTGCAAGTCGGTAATAAAATGTGAGATTCGTGTGAAGTAAGAAACATTATTCTCCATCATTTGCTCTTCATCTCAATATGCTTTACCTTTTATATCCAAATATATGCCGTTAGTAAACTATGTTTTTCTTCATAAAACTTCTTATCATTATACTGATGTCTGAATGCGCACACTTACGAATTGGTAAAGAATTCTTAGCCAGCGTTTCATGGCCGTCTTCTTTTCGCCGGAAAGATCATGATCGATGTTACTGTCATCGATGTTATCCAGCTAATCTTGCAGATACCCTCACTGTAGCTGGCTATACATATGTGATTCCACGTGGATGGACTCGTTTTGCTGTTGCAGTTGATGAAAGTTTCTTCAATCATCATAATGTATGGGATACCTGGCTGAATTGTTATCATGGAACAAGTATTGATAGTGCAAAATCTTGTGTTGAACATCGACAGCTGCTCTTACCTGATGATGTGACTATGCATGGAAAGAAAATAGGGATACGAGAAGATCACATCCCCGAAGAACGATTTGTTTTTACAACACCTTCCATTAGTTATGCCGCGCTAGACTGCTACGCTTATACGCATAGTTTTAGATCACCTTACGACTTAAAATTATATAGTATAAAAGTAGTATTGCAATGTAAACAGAAGGCTGATTCAATCATTGTACAACCAGAAACAGTTTGTGCAACAAAACAAGGAAGACGATTATGTCCTCATATCCCAAACGAAGAATTAGAATGGAAAACAAAACATCGTTCGAGCGTTATGATCTATGGACTACTACTTGAAATAAAGCAAAATCATGCGAGCGATGACTCGAATTCACCTCAATATCAAAAACTGAACATCAGTAAGTGCACGCACAAATGTCGTTTTCTTTATGACTTTGAAAGCACGCCAAATCTATTACGAAGTCTTTATGCAAAGCCTTTTGTTTCTGATAGTTTTTGGCTCGACTTAACTCATAAGATCACACACACTCCTCCTGACATGAGCTAAAACTGTACATTTTTTTCCAAACAGGTGTACCACCTGCATCCAACGTCGTTGCACCGGAACCATCAATAACGGAAGAAATTACTAATACTATTCCCAAATCAGAATCCTTACCCTTACCCAGCTCTTATCGGAAACCAATGTCGAAAACGAGAATAGCATTACTGGTTGTGCTAATCATATCTACTTTTCTGCCAATGGCCGCTCTGACCATTGGTCAAATCTACAAGTCTGAATGTCCAATTCAACCATGGATTCCACGGTGGGTGACAGTTTTTGGATCTGTGGGACTGAGCGCTTCTTGTTTAATGTTTGTCATAGTAAGGATGCATCTATGTATTTCGAGGCTTTGTTCACTGTTTTGTAGTTGTTTATAAATTTTAAATGGCATCCGGAAAAAGAAATCGGAAAATATGTGAGTGGTTGTATCTTGTGTTTATTATTGTTCTTTTTCCTGGCATGGTTAATAGCGGTAAGCCATTCAGAATATTTCATTGCTGTGAACGGGTGTTCTCATTTTTCGATAGGGAAGTGTATGGATATTTTCTGTCAAGCCAAAAATACAATTTGTTCAGACAAACGCAACGAATTACTGTCAAGAAACTCTGTACAAGTTCGCATTTGGACTAACGCTTGCACAGTATTCGTTGATTGGCGTTCTAATGTGCTGTGGTGGTATTGTTGCCTTAATTGGTTGCTTATGTTAATGAAACTATGCATTATATAGACCAGATCAAAACACAATTAAACTAATTTTTTGTCATATCAGTAGACACTGCTAAAAAATCAGAAGGTGACATGCGTTGATCACATATCTGAATACACATAGTGAACAAGAAAGTATCATCCGTAATTAAATTTTGTTGATGTACAACGTTTTTCACAGATATCTCTTTTTTATCAGTGTATAAGATCGATGATTAAAGAGTGAATATGTAGCGAAGAACAAGTAATATACATGTATACAGTGAACGAGCTCGTTCAGTCAACCATAGACATTTAAATCTAACAAAAAAGGTATGAGTGAGATATAGTTCAAAAAATTTTTCTTTCACTTCATTCTATTTACAATTTCATTGTTGTTGTGTAAAGGGGTCTGCTTTCAGCTAGTGATGTGGAATATTTTTCAAGATCCTCTCTTATTAGGATTGACATATGCATTGCATTAGTGTAACGCGCAGTGATAGAACATAGAAAGTTACATACTACTTTCTCTTTATTAAAATCATTTCGAATCTTAATCGATAAAGAATACTTTTTGTCGCCATTGAAACTGAATAAATTTTATTCTGAGAATGTAAATACGACAAAAACAGAGACACCTACACTGACAACTAGTGAATTTATGGACTTTTGTACAATACTCTTTGCATGTCAGAATGAGTAACTATTCTCATCATTCTATTGGCTGACTATATACAGAATTTTCTTGTTTTTTTTTGTCGTTGTCAGGTGTAAATACTATAGCGCATGTTTATATTTTTATCGAAATTCTTATTTTCAGAAAAGGTAAGTATGCTAGTAGACAGAAAAATGGCAGTCAGTGAAAATATTATTATTCGGATCGGTAAAGATTATTGTTGACATCCGTCTCCAACAAACGACGAAATCATAGTGAATAATATTTTGTCAAGTCATACTTGTATCTAATTTCACAGAAGTTTAGACGTTTACCTAATCAAATGTGTTGTGGATCAACATGGCTTCTGATATTCGATATGTGGGCTCCGAATAATTTCTTCTAGTAATCACGAACTGCATGTATATTCTTAATCTTTGAGGTCGTCAACAAAAGCCTCTGAATACATCGCGCAGTACAAACATTGTTTTTATTATTTTTTGCTCTTCAGATCCTTTCAATTAATCGATAGCAATGGCTAGTGAAACTCGACTCTTCAGCGACCGACAGCGATTCCTTGACGTTAATCAAGAGCCGAACAAATTAGCGCTCCCATTGTATATTCCAGTTACTGAAAGCGACGCTGGACAACTTCGCCTAATCGATTGCGTAAAACCCATCGAAAAATTAGGTGTAATTCCTAACTTGTTAAATGAAGTGACCCGATCACTGAACAGTTGTCAACATCCGAAGGATGGTCTAACACCAGACGAGTCTGCTGCTTTATATCTCTATTCGCTCCCGGGTGCATTTTACACAACATTTAACGCCGCACTACGAAATGAAGATCGTACTAAATCACTGCCATTTCAAAATTATTATAAACTATTTATGTTAGCGCTAAAGAAACTTCCATCTATCCAAGACACAATATGGCGAGGCGTGACCGCCGATCTCAGTGATCAATACTCTCCGGGAAGTATTCATGTTTGGCATGCAGCTAGCTCATGCACGGATCAAATTCACGTGACCGATACTTTTCTTGATAAAACAAAACATCGTACGTTGTTTAGTATCAAATGTTGCAACGGAAAATCTATAAAGAATCATTCATGCTTCCCGAAAGAAAGCGAAACAATTCTCCCACCAGGCACATTCATACGAGTTAAGGGACGATCCAATCCAGCAGAAAACCTATTCATTGTGATCTGTGAAGAAACAACTCTTACACCCGAAGAAATGAATGCTCTCGCAGAAAAAGGTATTACTGCCGCTTTGCCAGGCAGCATGCCAGGTGTAGCACCCAAGCGGCTTCTGGTTTGGTTTCACCCGAGTATAGGAAAGTCGAAAGATAATATCAAAATTCAAGAGAAACTAAGACCATTGTTTCCAGATGGTTTTCAAACATTTCAATCATCCGAAGAATGTGAATTGTTTATAAAACAAAAGACAAATGATCGAATAATCTTCATTGTTGGCGGACAAGTTGGACAACACTTTGTACCCATTATCCATAGTCTAGATCAAGTGGTCAGTATCTTAGTGTACTGTATGGATAAAGAAGGGCATGAAAAATGGGCAAAAAATTTTACAAAGGTCAGTAATGTTGTAGTCCTAGATACTTAAAACAGCTCGTTGCATTTTTCGTTGAGTCACAAGGAGGTAGTCTGATTGTAGCCTGAAGCAAAGATACAATATCCTAACCTTGATGGTTCGCCTAAGACATGAGTTTTACATAAACATGCTTTTAGTAAAGCTGATGAATGTACTATACCCTATTATCCTTTTTGTGTTGTACATTATACGATAATGTACACATTGAACTCGTTATTTATGGTTCTACCGTTTCGAGAATGTTTTGCATTATAGATCAAACGAGTCATTACGCAGCCAAAGGAACTCATCAATGAAGTCGAGCAATGGAAGCTACAACAAGAGTAAGTTGACTTTGTCTAAACATCTCGTAATTAATAGAGATCTTTACAGGCTGTTAATTATCAATCAAGATGAATCAACTCCGACGATATCTACGCCGATCAGTGGTTATGAATTAGTTCCCCTGCAACCTTTGGAAGTTGCTTTACAGCCAGTTGAAAGCCTTATTGAACATCTTGATAAATATATATATATTAGCAAACACCACAGTAAAAGTTTTAGCCATGAATTGACACATGACGAAGCAGCCTCTATAACGATGTATACAATGGAGATGGACGGAAATTCTCTCTATCGAGTTTTGAACAAAGCACTACGGTCAGAAAACAGAGATCATACCAAACCATGGTTTCCGTATTTGAAATTATTCATAACGGCATTGAATAAATTACCATCATACCAAGGATTAGTTTGGCGTGGAATACAGATGGACATTTCAGATGCTTATCAGAAAGGCACAAGAGGTGTTTGGTGGGGAATAACAAGTGCGACGAAAGATGGGTCAATCCTAGAGAATTTCATATCTCATTCGTCGGCACGTGTTCTATTTTCAATCGAATGTAAAAATGGGAAATATATCAGCAAGTTCAGTAGCTATGGTTACGACAATGAAGTGATACTCATGCCAGGATTTTGTTATGAAGTCACCAGTGTAATGAAACCTGCGGATAAAATGCATATTATCAGCCTAAAGGAAGTAGATCCATTTTGGTAATAAACTTGTATCAATGAAAAATCCATCATAATCATATCGGTAACATATTATTCTTTTTGTACTTCAATAATTTTCATATAAATAAAATATCGAATAGCTTGCGATTCAATAAAGTCTACTTTTCATATGAATGGGAACGCTTGATGAGATATGTAAGATACTATTATTGTACGCTTTTTTTCTTCTATTGGTTGCTATGGGCAGAATGTGAGAGTATGACTGCATGAAGATATTCTCAGAATTAGATGAAATTGATTTACTGACGTTCTATATTGTGGAATAGAATGTATTTTGAAAGGTCTCAAAGACAACACTACGATCACACAAAATAACAGTTAGCTTTATCATACTAAATTCAGAGTCTATACTCTTCATTCTCATCACCCTCGAATACGTGTATTCGCGCACTGTCGGATTATGTTTTAGTCGTATCCATTCTGTTTCACGAAAGTATTTCGAGATTTTCAGAAAATCCATATGGAAACGTGCCCGTAATAGTAACTTCTCGCTGCAAAAGATCGAAACTACTAGGGTGCTTATCTTTGTTTATTTACTAATAATTTATCATCTTAGAGCGAACACGACGTAGTACAGATGAGTGAAACATTCTCGATAGATGCTATTTGAGAGTTATGATGCGTTGTTTGCATCAAAAGAGATCAGAATATTTATAAAAACCGAAAGACTTCTTTCGCTGAAAAAAAAAGATTCTTACGAGTAACGGATTTCATTGTGTTGAAACATCAATAAAAAGACATTTTTACTGCATGTTTAAAAGTAAAAGATTAAAGCGATTGTAAAATGCAAGATTACTTCACATAAGTAGAGTATTTGCTCTCTTTACCGTACTTTTCAAATTCATACACATAGAACGATGACAGAATGCGAGCACTCACGAGTTGGTAGAGAATTTTTAGACAGTGTTTCTTGGCCTATTCTATTGCGTAGACCAGCTCATGATCAATGTTATTGCCATCAATGTTATTCATCAGATCTTCCAGATACTCTTACCGTGGCCGGTTATACATATGTCATTCCACGTGGATGGAGTCGCTTTGCTGTTTCAGTTGATGAAGATTTCTTCAATCATCATAACGTATGGAAAACATGGCTAAATTGTTATCATGGAACAAGTATTGACAATGCTAGATCTTGTGTCGAACATAGGCAACTATTGTTACCCAATGATATAACTATGTACGGAAAGAAACTGGAAATACGAGAAGATCACATCCCGGGAGAACAATATGTTTTTACAACACCATCCATCAAATATGCTGCGTTGGGTTGTTATGGTCACACATATGACTTCCGATCACCTCATGATTCAAAATTGTATACTATAAAAGTAGTATTACAATGTAAACAGAAGCCTGATTCAATCATAGTTCAACCAGAAACAGTTGGTGCAAGAGAAAGAGAAATTAAAATATGTCCTCATTTCCCAAATGAAGTGTTAGAATGGAAAACAAAACATCGTTCGAGCGTTATGATCTATGGACTATTACTTCAAGTAAAGGGAGAGGATGCAGAAGATGATTCGAATTTATCTCTATGTCAATCAATAAACATCACTGAAAGTATACGATAAAATTCTTTTGATATGATATAAAATGTTGTATTTTTTGTATAGATCAACCTCATGAATCAATCATAATTCCACCACAATCAGCTTCATCGAACGAAAATGTTGATAATAATCCAAAATCATCGCCGTCGAACGAAGCCATTAATAATAATTCAAAGCCAACGCGCTCAATTGCATCTACATACAGATCTAAATGGGCGTCAATGTCAAGAAAGCGAGCGGCACTCTTAATTATACTGGTCGTATCCACCTTTCTACCAATAGCTGCTCTTATTATTGGTCAAGTATATAAAAATGATTGTCCAATGCAACCATGGATTCCTCGATGGTTGATTATTTTTGGAGCTATGGGCTTAGCTGGTTTTAGTTTGATTTTCATCACAGTAAAACTCCCAATTCTTTAATTTCGAAGACGTACATTGTATTTGTAGATGTCTATAACGTTTCAACGTTGTTCTAAAGACACAGAAGTTGGAAATGATATTGGTTCGTACATGTTCTGTTTGCTAATACTCTTCTTTCTCGCATGGCTAATAGCGGTAAAATATATGTTCAGTATAACGTCATTTCTCTAAATGTTCTTTTGATTTTGATAGGGAAGTGTATGGATATTTCCAGCTAATCTGGAAGTTCAATTCAATGAAACCAATAAGAAAACCTACTGTCATAAAACTCTGTACAAGTTTGCATTCGGATTATCGCTTGTACAATATTCACTCATTGGTGTTTTGGTATGCTGCTGTCTGGGCAACGTGTTTTAGCCATAGTGATATGCATAACCAACAAATTATACGTTATACTACTGAAAGAACTTGAATGCGTATCTATCTCTACTACAAGTATAACCATTATTGACGCCCTTGATATTAATCCTATATAACTTTTTTTCTATTATAGTAATTTGAAGTTAACAATAAGATACATGTAGATTACGAGTAGAATTGTTTAAAAGTTGGCATGAAAGATTATCAGTTTTCAAATACATAAACATTTTGTATCATCGAATTCTCTATCTAGTCCATAGGAGAAAACTTTCGAATCAAACCCATTTTCAATGACCATGACCCATCTTAAGATCTGAGATGGACTTTTAACACAAAATTCGTCTAAGCGTGGATCAGCATTGCAGAAATAACTTGTATCGTGTGTAGACCACCAATCATTTTTGCCACGATACAAATTTCTCTCGTCTGGATTTAATCTTAGCACTCTTCCCATCTCAACTTCAGCACATATGAAAGCACCCTTACGATTCGCTTTATTTTCTGTTCCATCTCTTGACCGAGCAAAGTAAACACCATGACCTATCATTGTACTCTTATATGCAGTACTAATGAGAAAGTCAGAGTGAGCAATGAGCATAGCTGATTTTGGGTCAGTTTGATGAAATCCAATATAAAGATTTTTTCCTGCCGTTGTTTGTTCGATATCAAAATAACGTGGCTGCGGATTGTAACTTTTGAAATGAAATATGAAAATATGTTCCAAATCGCGGTTTTTGCATTGAGCACCTTTCGAACAAGCTTTATCGCCAAAACGCATAGTACGATTATCACCCAATAGAGTATAAGGAATAAATCGTTTATGTTTAGGCGATAGCGGTGTCGATGGCATGTTGAAGTCCCTCAGGATTAAATTTGGTCTGTAATGCCACCACACGCGATAGTGATAGAAATCCAACATGGTAGTTAAAATCAAAAAGAAGAATGATATAGCAACGATAACAGCCAGACTTTGCATTGTTATATTTTTGTGAACAGCTAAGCAAAACACTATCGTGGCAATACGGACACATGACATCAATACGACAAACACGAATTGTAATTGGAAACGTTGTTTGGGACGTGCACGATAACACGGGCAATTGCAACTGAATGAAAGAAATCGATGTAACGATTTTGCTTTGAGAAATTTACGGTATAGTGGACAGCACAATAAACAAGGACATAATCCAAAGGGTATAACGAATAGAAGAAGTACGACAATTAATAAGATTATTGTTCGAAGAGTACCAATGAAAAATAGTGAAACCGTGATGATATTACTTGTGACATCAGTTATTTGCGATTGATGATCGCTTGGGTTCTTGATCTGGAAAAATAGCTCCTGGTGGCTTGTAGTGATAAGCATGAATAGTGTAATCGTTACTGCTGCTTCAAAAATTGTAATTAGTGCATGAAGGTAAACTAATGAACGATAAAAGCAAGAATGAGAACACATCCGTTTTCCTCGCGAATCACCGGTAGCTTCTGTTGCTGTGTTTCTAATCTCAAAGTTTTGTTTTATGGGCTATCAACAAATACGTATATTGTTTTATTAGTAGTGCAAAAAGATATCTATTGTTTGACGTAGAAAGAATGTTCGTTTTCTACGAAAAAGAGCAATAAAATTTTAGTTGGAATTTACCAACTTTGTCCTTTGTTTGGTCTTAATTGATATTATAGAACACAGTAAGAAGTTGTCGTCAAGAGAAATGGTTTTACAAAAGAAAGTAAATGTACATCAAAGGAAGATAACGGTTATTCTCTTCTTGAAGACTACCAGCAATTTGCTAAGTTTTGTGCGTTCATGCTAAACAAAATTCATGCTAGTGTTCCAAACACTTACTGTACATTCTCGTCAGATACAAAAGAAACATACTTAAGAGTCTTTCCAGTTAAGTCAAAGATGCAATTGATCAAGCAAACAAAATATCTCACTACACCGTAATGTGTGTGACAATACACCACGAATAAAGATATTTTTCTTAGTGATGAAATCTTGACTATGTCGTTGAGATTTACATCTGACTAGGTATTCTGACGCCAAATAGTATCAACAATAACAGAATCTTACATATAAACACTATTAGTGTATATTTCGATATATCACTACTTATTCAACCAATTGAGACCTGGCAAGTTGCTTATGTTTTTTTTCAGAGTATCATTGAAGAGAAGCCATGACGATTTTTCTTTCATCTATGATTTTCGAAGTTTCGTACATACGTAAAACTCACATTTTACGACGCTGATTTCTGTAAACTACTCTCTTCATATAAACAATTTGACCGGAGTGGAAGAATAGTGTTCTCTTTTCTTTTTGTGTGATTTCGTGACTATAGATCTTGCCATTGCAATCATTCTTTCCTCTGTTGTGCAAATGGCAACAGGTGAGTGTGAAAATTTTCGTATTGGACGAGAGTTTTTAGAGAGTGTTGCATGGCCTTCTCAATTGCGTAAGCCGGTTCACGATCGATGTTATTGTTATCAATGCTATCCATCAAGTCATCCCGACGCTCTCACCGTCGCTGGTTACAAATATGTTATTCCACATGGTTGGACTCGTTTTGCTGTTTCGGTTGACAGTGACATCTGCGAGCTTCACAATGTATGGAGTACGTGGTTGGTTTGTTACCATGGAACTAGTATTGAAAGCGCTAGATCCTGTGTCGAACATCGACAATTGCTGTTGCCCAACGATATTACCATGTATGGCAAAAAGTTAGAAATACCAAAAGGTCATATTCCGAAAGAGCATTACATTTTCACAACGCCGTCAATTACTTACGCGGCACATCAAGCTTACGCTCGTGCGTATCATTTCAGATCGCCTCATGATTCAAGACTCTATACTATAAAAGTAGTATTGCAATGTAGACAAAAGCCCGACTCAATTATCGTGCAGCCAGAGACAGTTGGTGCGCAAGTGCGAATGCAAAGAATATGCACGCACATTCCGAATGAAGAATTAGAGTGGAAAACGCAACATCGGTCATCTGTTGTCATTTATGGCTTACTGTTACAGATAAAGAAATGCGACGAGAATGATACTAGTAATCTGACGTCGCTACCATCATCATCGTCAACAACTCATTATAACAGTACGCGTAACTGTGAAAACACAACACAATTATTTTCTTGTCAGCCAATAGCAGTTATTCTTAATCTCTGTTTTACATAGGTATACCAACTATATCAAATACAATCCCAAGAGATCCATTGAACAAACTTTCGGGCACAGTGTCTCCTATTTCAATGAGTATAGATTCGACAGACGAATACTCTGTCGAAAGAGATGCAATGTCATCGAAACAAGTATCTGTCTTGATCATGATTTTGATAGCAACGTTTCTACCTGTAGCTGCTCTGGTCGTTGGTCAAATTTATAAATCTGACTGTCCTATTCAACCATGGATTCCACAATGGATGACTGTTTTCGGAGCTGTGGGTATAGGTGTTTTCGGTACTACATTCACTATCGTAGGTGTTAATTAGCATATATTTCATACACTCACGCCTTGTTTATAGTTGCTTATTTCATTCAAATGCTGTGGTGAAGATAGTCATATCGGAAGATGTACTACGAATTGTTTTGTATGTTTATTAGCATTCTTCTACTTCTCGTGGTTAATCGCGGTACAGAAAGAAAAATAACCAAAGAGTTTCGATCAGTTGAATAATATGTATGTTTTCTTCTCTAGGGAAGCGTGTGGGTATTTGGCGTGAGACCAAGTGTTCAATATGATAAGCGAATCCCAGAGAACTACTGTCAAGAAAATCTCTACAAATTTGCATTCGGATTACTCATAACACAGTACTCACTGATGGCTGTTGCTTTGTGCATCGGTACCAGTGCTTGCTTATTTATTTTTTGTGTCGATTAACAAAAATAAATCAAAGAGAAAGTGAAGTTCAAAGATTGTGCTTTTATTCTCTCTTCCGTGAATAAACTGAAGGTAATCAGTTCAAAAACTTATTTTAAAGAATGCTAGATACATCCGAGTACTGTCATTCAATTTCATGAGCATATTATCATCGCGAGTCGATTTTCATGTACTTTGCCTTAATTGCATTCTCTGTATCTCGAATATGTTTTTTTCATCCTAACACACGAAATTTAATGTGCTGTCAGATAGAAATATAGAACTAACAGTTTTACTCCACGATGATGTTTCGACTTCTTAGCTAGTTTTGAGCATGTTCGAAACGGTAGCGCATCATTTCCAAGATTTCTTCAACGGTTTCTACCTTAGTATAGCACAGATATAACCACTATACTTGTAATATAGATAGTCGTCAACATTGACGACATGGCTGCTTTGGAATATTTTGTCGAATACAGTAAAACCTCTCCATAGTAAACACTAGCGAGACCGTTCAAAATGCGTTCACTGCAGGCGATGTCGTATTAGGTGAACGCTTACATTCACTTGACTTCCTATGAATCGATGAGCAGTTGGATGGAAAATATATATAAATAAACAATGAGTGTAATTCTAGATGCTAAGTACATCGTCATACATACAGCCAGTCAATTTCTTGTCCTTGCGGTTTATACATGCAATGTATCATTTGTATATTGAGTATTATTGTTCATTCACTCTTTTAAAGGATGATGTATATAAATCATTCTCTATTAGCAACATGCATCTCGTTCTCTCACGTTTTTCACATTTTTTTTTCGCATATGCTCACATGTTTTCTGTTCTCTGCACAGCATCTTCTCATGACATCATGTAATCATCATTTTGTGTTGTCATCTTTCTTTTTTAAACCGTGATGATTTTTTGGCAGTAAATATCATTCGTCCATTCTTCAGTCATTTTTCCGTCATTTCGTCTCTGAGCCGACACTCGATACATGTGACGGATTTTTTCGTAACTAATAGGCTACCAGTGAGTTTTGTTAGCACTGGTTCAAGGAAACAACACGGCAGACTATTTTATCTTCTATTCTTAGATTTATACGCCTATAGTTTTATTGTATTTATTTTCCTTGTATTTCACCAGTGTTCTCAATATTCCTTAGGCTCTGTTTTATCTATCTTTAACTTTTATCCATGTAGCAAGCATCGTCGAACTTTGATCTGTGGCAACATTAGACATAGTATCATTAAGACCCACAAAGGTTCTGGGAAGAAAGTTGTGGCATTGTTCGACATCTTACATAAGGCGTATGCACGTCACGGCCTTCGTCTATGATTCTTTTTCTACTTAACATATTTCTCTCTTAACACAAATACAATCATCTCTTACAATCCAACTAGCTACAAATGTATTCAACAAGAAGCGACCGCAGCATTAGCACGAATACTTGTACTCAAGGAACACGAACTGATAAAGCACGAGGGGCATGATAGTGAGTGAATAGCATTTGGAAAAATAATGATTATTTTGTTTTCTTTGTAGAGCATGTTGGTTGAACCTCCACAGTGTTGATATCGACTTCCGTGTGATAGTCAGTCAAATATCGTCAACGTTGTTCAAAATAGGTGGTGTCGCCCCACTGGCATCATTATCACTGTTCCTAATTTATTCTCCGCTAGCATCAAAAGTTCGACATTTAACCCAATCGACATAGATTCGTCGACCACGATACTATCCTGACAAAAATCGAAGCCCGACATCACTACCTTGTAGGAGAAAATCAAACGGTTTTCTTACTATGGTCGGCCCCTTACTAGTTCCCAGTGGTTGAGATCAGCAAACCAACAATAAAAAAGCGACTACCATACTCAAATAAGCTTCAACTACCCAAGAACTGAATGATCAGAGTGGCATAAGAGAAAAAAATGTATAAATAGTTAACCGACCACAAAAGATGAAGGCTACAACGTCAATTTGAATCTAATTTCAAACTCCAACACGGACGTAGAGTCGAACGATTCTGACAGCTCACTTGTATCCATTATAGAGCTTAAACTCTTTTCGTGTTTTCGATAGTGTTAATTTTGATATTCGTTTCGATCTTTTATTGTTGAATAAATTAGGTTTTCTCCCTTTTTTCGAAAGATTAGCTCAAAAATTTACTCATATTGCTCAAGTTGACTTCAAAGATAGTATGAACAATTTATTCATTCCCACAAAATGCCTTGATGTCTATGAAGAAAAAGGATAAATCTTCAGTTGAAGTTATATCGTTGAGCGAGGGTAACAATCTTCTTCATTTATATAAGACATTATGATCAATGGAGTTTTCCCTAAACAATATCACTTTCTAAATTGAAATGTTTTCTAAGCTTACCAATATATTCGTTTAGTTGTCTCAATGAAAGTAACTTTGTCATAATAGAGTCAAAGAGTTGTGCGTGGGCCCCACATCCTGAAGATAGAGCTAAGAGGAGTTCAAACTAATAAAACAGGATCGCGTTTACACCTATGGTAAGGAATAATTATGAAGCTGAGATTTTACTGTCTTTCGAAAATCTTCTACAATAAATATACTCGTTCGAAATATTAGATGAAAGCAGACAAGATTCATAACGAAAATATTGTAAGGAGTCGTAATTGTTGAACATCGACATGATAGTATTTCACCGTACATAGAGTTCTGTAAAAAAAATCTCTCTGTTGGAGATGAAATAGTTACAGTTCAAGATTATGGACACGTCATGTAGAATATTTCTTATTTCGTCTGTCCATCATCATAACCATTTGTATCTAGTATAGACGAATTATGATTATTTATTTGCTGACAAAACCAGTAAACTATTCTACTAAGTATGATTGATTTGTTTTACTCAGTAAGCGACGTGTCCGAAACAAAAGAAATAAACAAATGCCTAGCATATTATCTTGAATGTGGAAATGAGTTTTTTTCTAAGTAGTCTACAATGAAACAATGTTTTACACACCATTTAATTGATATCTCGAGAGTAGTCGATCAAGAATATTTTCTGTTAGATTTCGCATATTCTTTTATTTAAATGAGAAAAGAAGGTGATATTTTTTCATCTCTGTTCCTAACTAAATAGTTGCAAATGTAAACGAAGAAACACATGATGTGTATGGAAAATTCCTCCCTATGCGTTTTGCTTTCTCTCTTATCAATTGCGAGAAGAGATTAAGTAGTGGCGTAGCCAGGATTTGGTGGGTGGCCTGGCGACGCCTTATATCTATTATAAAACCTATTCACTGGATTTCAATAGTTTTTCAATAAGTTAAAATGTATATTCGACTATTTTACTTCCTTATGAGTCGTAGTAATTTAACCTATTAACAAGTTTATTGAATTAGATCATATACAAAAAGTGGAAGTTAATTAAGAAAAGATAAATAAAAATTATTTCAACAATATCCGACTGTTTTTATGTTCAATAGCAAAAGTATCAACTATTTGTTCATAATCGACATCGAAATCTCTTTCAATAGCTATTATAGACAAATCACTTAATCTAGTGTCAGTCATACTATTACGTGCAGCAGTTTTAATAAATTTCATTTTACTAAAAGTTCGTTCTGTAGTTGCTGACGATACAGGAATTGTCAATGCTCCAACAAGAAGAGATATGACTGTAGGAAATGCTTGTTTATATGGTAAAACTTCGAAGTACAAATCCACAATATCCTTTAATTTTGGCTCTTTCAACATAGGCTTTAATACTTGAATTTCATTCTTCAATAATTGACCATCACATTGTAGCATATTGCAGAGATGTGTTAATTCTTCGATTTCCAAAAATTGTGAACTATCAGGTGATAAAGATGAAATACCACGAATAATTTCTAAGTTGCTATTTGAAAAGCGGTCATTCATTTCGATAAGAATAGCATCAATTACTGGATAAAAAACACGATCTCTAAATTCATCCACACTACTAATATTTTCTCGTTGTCCTATTGTACTCATAACTACACAATCTTTGAATCTTGTTGACAAAGTTTTTGTTCTTCTATGCTTAGCTGGAACATTGAAATCAACATCATTTACATCACAAAATTCAGCTATTTGTTCAAACAATCTTGAAAATTCTTCTTTGCTTCGCAATTCATTGATTTGATTGATTATATCACTAATCAGGCTATGAGCCTTACCAAAATCAAGTGATTTAGCTAGAATATCCATAAAACAGTTTTATTAACAAAGAAGAGAGTACAATGAATTACATGTGGTTGAATGAGAAATCTTACATTTTAATTGATCTGATAATATTTTTATTTTACCAAATAATTGTTGTATAATGAAAAGAGTCACAATAAATAACGGTTCCCTTATTCCCAACAATAAACCTCGTGCATCAATTGAACGATCGGAACCTTCATTTTCAAGTTCTTCTAAACTTTGTTTTAAAACTCTGTAATTATCAATGATTGATTGAATTGATGTCCAACGACTATCCCATCTTGTTTCAGCCCAGTTTTTAATCGTAGTACTATTGGATAAAATCGAACAGTCTGAATAAAAAATTTCATACATTATTTCCAACTAAAACTGGATGAGTTTACCTATCTTCAGTTGTTGTTGAACTTTCTTAAAAGTCTCATTTGTTACACTAGATTTATGAAAATAAGTATAGATCTTGTTCACAATTGAATAGAATTCAGATAAATAGGGAATAGCTTTCGTAACATCACAGATGACTAAGTTCAATTTATGTGCGTAACAGTGTACATATATTGCACGTGGAATAAATTGTTGGCGTAACAATGCTTGAACACCACTGTGTATACCCGATAAAACAGATGCACTAAAGAGAAGAGCAAGAATTATTAAATTTCATGTATGATGTGTATTCATAAAATATTGACCATTTATTGATCTTACCCATCAAAACACATAGCTATACAGTTTTGCAGATCAACATTTATTGATGACAAAAACTTAACGATTTCATCTGTTAATGACTGAGCATCAAATTCAACAAGTTTAATGAAACCAAGGAAATATTCCTTGAATAAAGTTGAACGATAAAGATTATCTTTATTTGCTGTAACTTCGAGATCAATAACACGTACGACTACACTAAGTTGTTCATTGCCTGATATATCTCGTGATTCATCAACCATCAATGAAAACATGCATTCTTTTATCTAGAAAATAGAAATAAAATAAAATTTTCCATGAAAGCGGACCATATTCACCTTTGTTGTTATTTGTTGACGAATATTAGAAGCCACCAATGAAATCATCTCGTTTTGTATTTGTGGACTAAGATATGTTGAATTCTTTGCACTGTCATTTAAAATTGATGAAACAACAGGATCAGTACTACTGCTCCACTTCAACAATTCGATGAAATTTCCTCTATTGGTTGATCTGTCATAATGTAAAAGCAAAAGTAAATAATGTATCATTGCAAATAAATTGCACTTACGATGCATCTTCTACATGACCACGAAGTGCAATCATTTGTCTTGCACACAGATGTAAAAGTGAAATGATTTTCTTCAATTTGGTCCGATTTTGTTCTATTACTTGATTTCGTGATCTATCCAGAACTTGTATAACATTCGACGAAGATTTTTTTCGTAAAACATATTCTTCAAAATTAACTACAGCTTGTTTATGAGATTGACTTAGTTCATGTTTTGAAAAGCCTTGTTTTTTACTAAATGCATTTTTCCAACTATGGAAACCATTTACGAAAGCATCACTTTGATTCTAAGCAGAAACGAGTATTAGAAAAGCAATCAGTAAGGAATTAAAATTTCTTACTCGAGTATTAAGCCTTGCACTAGAGTTAAAATGTCTACAATAATAACAATAAGCAAAATCGGTTTGTACTGAATATTCTAACCAACTGAATTGTAAGAACCATTGACTATGAAAACATCTTTTATCTTTATCAAAGGGATAAGTAGCAAGTTTTGGTTGTGCAGGAGGTTCATTCAACGAATTACTAAGATCAAAAGGATATAACTGTGATTTATTTGATGATGAAAGTAAAGATGAAGAACATTTTGATAAAGATAAATCAGTTTGTTCTTGTTGTCGTTGGATGGGTGATATTAATAGCACATCAGGTCCTGCTGCAGATGAAGTTAGTTGTTGTTGTTTACTTGATGGTGATGCTGATACAAACTGAGAAGATCCTAATAAAGATCAAAGAAACTATTCATATTGCTATTTGTATGACAAAAAAATCTTATAAGTTTGATTGCATTAAATAGTAAAATATCATCGTCTTATTTACTTGATGATGGTGAGACTAGTCGAGGAGATTTAGGTGAAGATAAAGAAGTTTGATCTTGTCGACGTTTATTTGATGGTGATAATAATGCAGGTGATTCTGATGAAAATAAACAAACATTTTCTTCTTTATTTGATGATGTAGAGCAATCTACGAAATATTGTGATAGATGTTAAAGAATTTTTGCTTTAATTAATTACTTTGCAAGGGTGATAAAATTCGAGAAGATGAAGATGGTGAATGTAGAGAAATTTGATCCTGTTGTTGTTCAGAATCAACAGATCTCGAGACAGTTTTGATTCTCTCGTCTGAGTGAGAATCTGACGTGTTATCTGTAACTGAAGAGTTCGATTTTCGATTATTTGTGCTATATGAATTGAAGAACGATTGAATGGTGCCACGCTTTGGTAATTTAGAAAATTGATCCATCTGTAAAATATGAACTTAAATCTGTGAATGTTATCTGTAAACAGCGCTTTCTTCCTTTGCTTACTACAGTAACTGAACTAAAATCTAACGTACTAATAGTCCAATCGAAATTATACTGACTTTATCTCTAATATTTTTCAGATGTCACCCATTATCAGAAATTTCAATGAGGAGTGATCATTAATATTTTACAATAAAGAAATAGCTTATTTTAAAAAAATTCCCGGTGGCCTGGCGAACAGCGGCGGTGGCCTGGCGACGCCAGGACATGCCAGGCCCTGGCTACGCCACTAGTGTGGATGTGGGTGTATAGTCGCCTATTAGCAAATGGACTCTAGCTCCTTCAAAGTCTTATGAAAACAAGAGTTATCATATACCGTTCGATGCGCCTCAAAAAGCTCTACAACATGGTATACCAGATTGAGGAAAAAGTTTGTGCACCGCGTTACTATTATTAATATTATAACACGGCGCACGAACTTTTTCCACAACCTAGTATTTGTACTATCCAGTATTGTTAGTCTTGAATGTAGAATACATTGATTGCATTCGAGCTAATATGGACGTCGATGTGGTTGTGTTCTGCCAATGTGTGATATTGATGCTTCATTTTTTATACTAACCTGACAAATATTCTTTTTTATTTTCTCTTGCTGTTCTGTCGTATTTTTTGAATTGTTTAGATTAAAGAGAAAGAAAACAGGTAAAAATGTTTTTATGTTGCTGTAGAAAAGAATTTTTGCGATGTAGCCGAATACCTTCGACCATCAAACCGAAAACTTATCATTCACATGGATAACTCTTTCCTCGTTTAGTTGACTTTTATCCTCGCTTAAAAATTTACAAGATAAACATAAAAGTCATTTTTTGTCGAAATATAGGATGACTATTATAATATTTCGCCGACTTATACATGTAACCATGGTGTGCATTAATATTCCATCAAACAAATAAAGAGCAACTCACTTTTTGTCCACTAAATATTTGACATATAACACTTGTTACAAGAAATTAGCGTAAGACTAATAAACGATAATACTTTGTAGCTTAATGTGTGTGACGCTATGCAATCTTTTTTTAAATCTAGTCGTGCTCTTTTCTCTTTCTTTTTTTTGTCATGCTTCGTTTTTAGATGCATTGACGTCATCATGCGATTGTAATCATAACTTTCTGTCCCATATCGAATAGTAAGCCCTGGGGAGGTAATTGATAAGACTCTCTTTCAATCATACATATTAGTAATATTATGTAGAAAAAGAATTGAGTATTTTATTGTTCGTAATAACAAATTTCGGTCGCCTGACGTTTTAGTAGAACAAAAATCAAAATAGAGAGAATATCTTTTACTACACGTGGTGAATCTACATAACAAATCAGTGATAAAATATTTTTTCAAACTCTGTGTGTCCTCGAAATACGCATTGTATGTCAAATTGCAATAGAAAAATAGAAGGAAAGCCAATAGGGCAGTAACGTGTAGATTTCAACAGGTAGAATAATAATAAGCATTATAATAGCAGGAACCACTGCCCATATAATCAGAAGGGCCTTGACCGACACATCTAGGACAAATAATACTGGCTTCTTGACCAGAAAGAGCAGTACAATTGCAGGCATAACCGTTGAGAGCACATGGCTGGGAATATCCAGTTGTACAACAAAAACTTCGAGAGCACGGACTGTAGGGAATGGTTGTAGTACTAGTAGTACTTGTCGACGTCGTCCTTGTTGATGTGGTTGTAGTACTAGTGGTAGTTGAACTACTTGTGAGTGTGGTTGTTGATTCTAATTTAGAAACAAATATGTGAGAACGATCCATAGAATAAGAATAGCAGATACAGAGTAATTTTTTACAAAAGCATGTAACCAGCATTTTGGGTTGGATACTCAGTCATACAAGAGAAATATCTGATCGGTATGGTACTACTTCGAATATGAAAGAGTGCGATGATTATCTCATAAGCTACTCTTATTCGAACTCGTATTTACTACCTAGCAGGTCTAGTACTGAGAACCACTGATATATCTATCTGCAAGAGTATGCTTTCATCTTCTTATTGTTTATTGTCGATAAAATATATTTTGTACTAACCCGTAGGTATGCGTGTATTAGCCATGACAATCATTGTCACAGCATCCACATTTGTGATCAGGTTATTGTATTGGCTTTCTATACCTGTAAACAATTTACAAGTGCCTGTCGAATTCTGGAATGTCGCTGCTTGACAATTACTACGAGCTAAGCAGTTTATTCGACAATATTGAATATACGAAGCTGCAATCGTTGCCAATGGTACACAAGTAGTATTTTCACATTGAAATTGCCAATCGGCCTGTATCGACATAATAAACGAACGTGAGGTTTGTGAAAACAATTGCTGTACAACAACAACCAAAAGCAATAGAATAGTATTAGTTGTGCTCATTTCTAGCGATGTTTCTAGTAGACGAGACAAATTTATTTGAAAGGAAAAGTTTGATGTCTGCAAAATGTTAAATATCGTACATTGTGGAGCTCGATAGAGAAAAACAAGTAATGTTATTGATCACCTGGAAATGAAAAGTATATAAGTGAGAATAGCGAAGTACTTTGTTAATATTAAGATGCTTTTTCATACGTTTCAGAAGAATGCTCACGTGAATACTACGACCTCACAATATTTAAAACGTATGAACATTCATTATAAACGCAAAAGTTTTTACAGTCAACAGGTACTCCATGATTTGACAATGACACTGCTTTTGAGCTATATTAAAGCGGCATAATACTATATAAAGCGCACTCTAAGAATATAAATTTTCTGTTTTTAACACTATTTTAACACTTTTCGATGAAAAGAATGCAGTAAAGCATATTTCACGACCAAACTCGTCAAGAAACAAAACTTTTGTTACACTTCATCGAGCGCTCAGTTCGGTTTTCGTATGAAATATACACGTATTTCACAATCAATAATGAGTTTTCATATGAATGTCCACTAAAACAGATTTCCAAGCAAGTCATTCATTTACGTACTGAATCAATTTATTGATATAGTATAGCAGCAAGCATAGGTGTGGATATAATAAAAAGTTTTTGAAGGACGTGCTACAAAATCGAAGGATAAATAGAGGAGAGTTTTTTTCATTATAAAGATGATTTGTTTGGAGCTTTTCGTGTAAGGATAATTGCATACCTGGAAAGAGATTGAATAAGAAATTTAACATAATTTCACTACGTTTAGTCGTGCCTATAAAACAAAACTGATTAAAAAATAAACCAATGAGAGAAAAAACAAAAGAATAAGTCAAAATTAAAACATCTGACCAATCATAAAAATGAGAAATGTGTATCGGATTATGTAATCATCTTCGTGTCTGTCCGTTCGAAAACAATTTTTTCCCTTTTTATGTGTTCATGTACAGCAGGAACTCGTTTTTATTGAATCATGAATGCATTTTCCATAGTTTTTGCCATTGCCTCATCCATGAAAGAGCTGATCCAGCATCAATTTCTCAAGGTTTGGTTTCTTATCCCGAGCCATTTTAGTACCAGTATTCTAATCTGCCTGACATCTAAGCATTTATCAATGGATAGATAGATTTGCAAACTTTAGCATCACAATCTCTGGCGATGAGCCAGAATTTTTCTGTCTCACCGGTTGGTATGTATTTCCAGCTCATGTATATCTGAAAAATAGAGACAAGGGACTGGTAGAATATATATTCACATCAGCTTCATTCAGTATGATCAACTTTAAGAGAACTGATCAAACCACATGCATTCGTTTCGCTAGACTACAAATATTATAATGGGCAAAACTATGTTAACTTGCGGTATAAAATCAACGAGTCATCCGGTGAGTATACTACCGCGGCACTCTGCAGGTTTTGAGGCAACTATTCTTCATCACCACTCAATATCAGTTTTTTCCTGAGCACTATCCTTATTGTTTTTCTATATGAGAAATAAGTCGATCGGTTCACCGATTTAAGCTAATGAATAAAATCTTTAGTTGCTTTAGTCGATCAAGTATGTCGTGAAAGTCGTACACTGATCCACGTAGAGTTACTTGCGTGATGCCAGAAATCAACATTATCGTATACGAATAGTATTGCTTCACATTGTCCAAAAGACAAGCATCGAACTCAACTTGCTGTACGGGTGTTGTCTTCGAGAAACTTTTCGTGATTGTACTGGACAAATCTGCTTCCATGTCATTTTTGACCGTATCACATAATCGCCGTACTACATCCGTCTAATTCTGCGTGTCGTTCTTTAAGAAGAACGAGGTCATCTGTAAAAACTTCTAGCTTCTTTTTGCCTATATGATTCACAGGGATATGGCGGAGCATTCTTGTGTTAGTATTGATATACATGCTGACGTCTTGAGCAATCACTACCCAAATATCTTTCATACTCAGTTCAAGTGGATAGTGACGTGCGTACGCAGTACATACAGCTTCAATAAAAGCATTCTTACATGAATGAATTTGTTGATTAGGTTTGACGGAAGCCACAGAGAAACTCATATTAAGTGCAGCAGTGTCTGTGAATGAGAGTGAAATGCAGAGAAAAAAATAAAATACATATAGCAGAAGTGGCATTGTGACCTAAAAGTAAAAATGCGAGTGGCGAACGTTCTTTGCCGTACTGTATAATAATACATGTGTTTACAGTGTTTCCTTTCGCTATGCTGTCTAATACACACAAGTGATGTTTTTCATAGAAAGTCATGAAGCTGCTCATTCGACTAACCTTGGCGTAAGTATACCTTGGATATTTCCCACACAGTGATGAATCAGCGAATAAGCACACATCACGCCAGCGTCTGAGATCTTGTACCAAAGTGCAAGTTTGAAAATGATGAATTCAGCTACACTTTATCGATTAATTTTATTAATATAATAATGAATGAGAACAATACTGTTTATCTGACGATTCTTCCTGCAAGTGTACATAAACAATAGGAAACTAAATATCTGATACAGAGCAAAAAATACATAGGTGAAATGATTTTATAGAAAAGAATTCAGTGATGGACAATTCCGGCGTGTATGACCTTTAAAATAAAAATACGCAAGATTAAGTAGCTTGTCGAATATATGCGTCTTTACCTGTCTCTTTGCAGAGACCGCATTTTCGTTGTTTTCCATCTTCGTCATTATCTGAACTTCGCCGTTTACGAGATGAAGTAGATTGGTGATTTCCACCTTGTCGATAAGTATTACCACCGGTTTGAAATGTTGTTGTTGCTGTTGTTGTTGATCTCAAATTAAAAATAGGCATAGATATTATCTAACATAATCACAGGATTGTCTTACTCATCTTTCCAAGCAAAAAAATTACAATTATCGTTGTTACCACAACGGAAAAAAGACCGGCCTCTGTTGGGACCATCTAAAAATAAAGAAAATCTTCATTGCAGAAAAAAGTCATTTGGCGATAGTAAAGCTACCTTTCTTCACGGTCAATTCTTTAGCATCAGTATTACAATTACATTTTGGTATTCCACTACTATTCGTCGGACGTATTTGTTCTTGTTGCAATGGTCTGGATGAATAAAATAAAAACACGAATATTCCAATCCAATGGTTTACCTAGCAGGACGGGTAGGTTGTTGTTGCTGTTGTGGTCTAGATTTCGCGCAATGCCGAGAAGAAATTCAAATAAGATAGAACATACCTGAATGGAGGATTGTTATTATTGTTAGGGACACGTGAAGCTTGCGGTTGTCTAGAGTGTAATTGCAGAGTAGTAGAAAACGATGGATATTCTACTTTCGGTGATTACCGGTTTTGTGGTGCATTGGCTCTTCCATTTGGTGGTTGGTTTCGATTAGTGCGATCACCAAATGGACCAGAGGAGGGTGGACGAGGTGGCGGAGGAGGAGGTGGAGGGTTTTGTCCTGGTGCGCCAAAGTATTTCGTCATTGCATCATCAAGTTTTTGAATTTGTGCTGCAGTGACAATGAAGACTTGTCGATATTTATCGATCTGTTCTCGAAGTACCGCTACAAAAGTCGAAGAAAATGTTTTTTCATTCAACTGTAACAAAACAAAATCTCTTTTACCTGCCGGTTGCGCTGTTCCCTCACATATTCTAGAAAGAGAAGAGCAATTTCACCGGAAAACTATGCTAAACAACATACGCTTTCAGTTGACTTTCAAGTTCTGCACGAAGAAAAGGTTTTGACAATGCATGACCCATCTTGTCGTAACCTTCGCATAGGCCAAGCCCTAACTTTTCCGGTTCGAATCTTCGCTCGGAATTCATTTTTGTATACACACGTTCTTGAATTTTAGCAATATGCTCTGCATGTGTTGCATCAGTACCTATATGGATTTGTTCGAACATTCAAATGGCAATTATCGCAGCTAATAATTACCTATGCCATGTTTTTCCATCAAAGCAATTAAATCTGCCTCGGTTAGCAATTGCGGCGGTGTTGTTTCGCCTTGGACCATTTCAATTTTCGTCGGATAAAATGTTTGATTTAAATCATAGAGTGGCAACGACTAATGAAAAGGAATTTTCTCTATATCGAACAAACAAAGTGTGAATTTGTGTCGTCTTACTTTCTCAGACCATTTGTCATAAATATATACCTCGAGATAGTTTTTCTCGCGAATAATCAAGCCAGATGCATTGAACTAAATTATAAATGCTAGTTTTTCTTGACAAGCAGTTATCGAAACCTACTTTCTCGTTGGCAATTTCGATTTTGATCGTTGTTTCGTCGCCTTGAGCATCTTTCGAAACACAAGCCAGAAAATGTCGAACAACTAGTTCGTATAATTTATTCTCATCTTCCTAAAATCCAAAATCATTCGAAAATAAGTTAGTCAAGTTCAACTAAGCCTGCACTTACCGTTAATTGGCCATCAGGATAACGTGTTGGATGGATCGGTGGATGGGCTTTATCAGAGTTCTTTCCATTTCTTGGATGCGGTCCATCGTTAAGTACACGTTGAGCAAAAGCGCCCCAACGTTGATCACCGACTTGATTTTGAATCAATGGATTAAGATTAATCTCATTGGGAAAGATGTTCGTTTCCGTACGTGGATAACTGATTAAACCCTTCATATACAATTTCTCCGCCACTTCCATTGTCTTCTTACCCGTCATACGTAATTTTCGACTTGCTAATTTTTCCATTTCCTAAGCGCATAGAAACTGAAACCTATTGTTTCATTGGCATCGTACATACCACTGTATCAAGTGCAGCAGGTCGCCACTTGGATTTATTCTTCGATTTAATATCCATTACTTTGGCTAATGGTTCATCCATAATCATATCATAGATCATTAAGCACGGTTGATGTTCGAATAAACGAACGCGTTCCCATGTAAATTCGCAAAATTCGCCACTTTCTGTTTGATGCTCGACAGCAATTTTCCAAAATGGTTCTCGAATAAAATTCTCGCGTTGGAGATAGCGTTCAACAATAAAACCTAAGGTTGGGAATTGACATGAACCATAACTGATCACTTGCTTAGAATCGAAGCCAAATAAACGTTGCAAACGTAAGGTTTGAAAGCGTGTAAATGCTGCACCAATACGTAAATCTAGTTCTTGACGAACGTCAACAGCAGCACTGATACGTCTATCCGGTTGAATTAAATTCGATAGCGCTCGAGCTGCACTGCTGTAAGTAATTTCTGAAAAGCGCGCTCGATAAACTTTTATACCAGGTTTGACTGCTTGACATAGATCGATAATTTCATATCCAATATTTTCTCCTTCACGATCACAATCGGTCCATATGATTAAAGTTTGACATCTAGCTACTTCCCGTTTCAACGTTTTTTCAATATCTGTAGCACGGTCGGTAACTTTCTTCTGAATAGGAGCATCGAATAGTACAACGGGATCCACTTGTGCCCTAGCAAGTTGTTCAAATCGTGAATTAAAACGATGAAAAGGTATCCTACCAACTGTTATGGGCTGAAGTAAAATCACAATTCATGATATGACCGGATACAGATGTAAAAGTCATTTGCACCGGCTGGTTGAATAGCTGATAATTAAATTCATAAATTTTATTAAATTTTGAAAAACCCTCACGCTAAAAAACAATAGAAGTGTGAGCACAGTAGCATTGTAGACTGGTCTTTACCATTGATGCCGAATTTTTGGAAAGAAGACGAGCTAAGGATTTAGCTGCATCATTCTTTTCAGCAACATTGAGCACTCGATGCATGACTACTTTCAATAGAATCGAAGTTATTCTCATTCACTCATCTACAAATAAAGAGAGAAGAAAAGATTTCTTTATTATTATTAGAATTCGATTATATGCATTGCGGGTCCATTCGTTTCGCTCGAGTATATCTGTCGGATTCCGTATGATCCGGCATGAACAACGTTATTGCTGTTTTGACTACACAAATCACGCATATTTGATACAAATCGATCGTAGAATTCCTGTCCTGTGTCTTTGTTTATATTATGATGATATTGAAACCGGTGTGAATTGAGCCGACCACCTAATGTTGCTTGTGGAATAATCAAAAGATCCCCAGGTAAATCGACAATTGTTTTCAGTCCACCATTCTCACTTTCGCATAGTTTCACAGTTGCAATTTCTTTCGCTAAATTTTTAAAATTGAGTTTTAAGTATTTCGTACGATCATCCTACCTAGTTTATCCACGTCGTCTAGTTGAGCGTCTTTGATAAAAGCGACAAAGACAACCATGCCACGATTGATCTTCAATATGAATGTTGAGAATAGCACTTCAATGTCATTCCAACTGACTTACCGTAACTACAGAATCATCTTGCAAACGTAGCGTTGCTTTGGTACATTGTTGTAACAGACAACGAACTCGAACAGTCGACATCAATCAAGAAAAGAAAAGAAGAAATATATAAATATAATCTATTGATTTATTCGGTTTCTGTGGAAAAAATCTTTATTCAAAACAAATGAGAGAAAAATCGGGTTCGAAGTTTTAGAGTTTTTCAATCAGAATACTTGATGCTCCACCACCGCCATTACAAATACCAGCTACACCCTTTTCACCAGATTTCAATGCATGACAAAGATGGACGACAAGTCGGGCGCCGGACATACCGATCTACAGAACAAAGAAGCAGCTAGAAACAAAAAACCGATGTGACTACAAAATCACTAACTGGATGTCCAAGAGCAACGCCACCACCATGTACGTTCAGTTTATCGTCGCTAATTCCGAGCAATTTACCGTTGGCTAAGGCAACAGCGCTGAATGCTTCGTTGATTTCCCACAAAGCAATATCGTCCTTGTTAACGTTTGCGAGTTTTAAAAGCTAGATAAAATATCACGAGAAAATGTCGTATGCGAAAATAAATTGGTTTTCTCACTTTAGGAATTGCTAAAGAAGGAGCTATACTAAAATCAACGGGATCAGTTTCGGCATCAGCAAAGGCTAAAATCAAAACCCTTGTGAAAAATTTAGCTGTTAATGGATTTGCTTACCAATGATGCGAGCTATCGGTTTACAACCAAGTTTCTCTGCTGCTTGACGTGTCATTAATAAACATGCAGCAGCGCCATCATTGATTTTCGATGAATTGGCCGCTGTAATCGTTCCATCTTTTTGAAAAACAGTTCTTAACTAAAAATAAACTCAACACACGTAAGGGTTACACTAAACTTCTCTTCTTAACATACAGTTTTCATTTTTTCAAAATCAACCCTTTTATATTCCTCATCTTCCTTGACCACAACTTCACCCTTCTTTGATTTAACAGTCACAGGGACAATTTCAGCATTGAATTTGCCTTCCTTCCATGCTTTTGCTGTACGTTCATACGATTGCTTGGCATACGCATCTTGATCTGCACGGCTAAGACTTTCTGCTTTTGCCGTTTTCTCAGCACATAAACCCTAAAAATATTTTAAACGAAAGCCACAACTCAACCAAACAAAGTTTACCATGGGGATTTTATCAAAAGCATCGGTTAAACCGTCTTTAGCAATACCATCTTCCAATTGAAGATTTCCATAAGGTGTATCACCTCAAAACGAAAACTCCAAATTACATTTCAAATATTTTGCACAGCAATTGATTCTTACCTCGTTGAAGATAATAAGGTACATTTGACATACTTTCCATACCACCGGCAATCATGACATCTTGATGGCCACACATTAAACTTTGAGAAGCCATCATGATCGCTTTCATGCCACTTGCGCACACTTTGTTTACTGTGGTACAGAGTGTTTCTTTTGGTAAACCAGCATAGATGCTTGCTTGACGTGCGGGTGCTTGACCAACACCAGCTTGTACGACATTACCCATATAAACTTCTTGCACACGATTAGCCGGTATTTCTAATCAGCGATGAAAAGTCAGTGTCACATTGATATAGATCCTAGTAAATTTAGACCTACTTGCTTTTTCTAAACAGCCTTTGATGGCTGTAGCACCGAGTTGAGTTGCCGGAACGGACGCAAGACTTCCACGAAACGAGCCGATTGGCGTTCGGACAGCACTGACAATCACAACCTCCTACGCGTAAATAACATCGATGAGTTTCATTGATAAGAATAATTCTGAACTCACATTGAGATTCGGTTTAGTGGAGGCAAATCGATGTTGATTGACAAAGATTGACACCTGGGGAAAGAAAAGGATACATAGCCTCAGAAGTGCTTTTGGGCTACAGGTCTTACAGGAATATATGTGGATGTTCCATTCGAACAGAGCACACGTGAAACTGCTGAGAAAGTCAGTCGTGAAATCATCTACAAGAGCATCAGTTAAATTAGGTCATTTGAATGTTGAAAAATCCCCCTTGTGATCTTATGGCTGCGAAACGATCGAGAAAATATAAATAGTTTTTAGAAATACTATTGATTGGAATATATAAATAACAAATAACAAATTCGAATAATATGCCTAGCGCCATCTATCCAACTGTATTCGATCCAGGTAAATCGAGTTTGACAGCGTATTTCAGATACATTTATAAATCTGTGAGAGTTCATTTTTCGAAAACACAACATTCGAATACATCAATAATAAACTTATTTATATAGTGAAAAAGAAAGGGAACAGTATGAACTATGTTTTAAAAAATTAGTTAATCGTCTTCGTCATCACCATTTCCTTCTTCTTCCTCTTCCTCCTCCTCTTCTTCTTCAGCTTTTTGTTCTTCGGCTGCCTTTGCTTTCGCTTCATCTTCTGGCAATGGATCATCGGCTTCAACAATTTCTGGTCCATCATTATATTCATTAGCTGGCAATGGTGGCAATTCCGGTCCATAGTCGGTTGTTACGTATTTGTGTCCATAACCAACGTAGATATTTTCCCAAGCCATTCCACGAGAGAATGCATACGCGCCGGGCCAAAGATTCGATCGAAGGAATGCACATGCATACTGTGGAATAAGACTTGAAGAGATTTTGGCCGTCCATGCTTTTATGCTTTCAATTTCAGCATCAGCACCAATGGGTGTTAGAAGTGGTGGACCTTGTTCGGGTTCGATTTCTTCTGTTTCGGCTTTCATTTCTTCTTCGTCCTCGTCCTCGTCTTCCTCTTCTTTCTCAGCATTTTCACTTGGATTCCACCATTTTGTTCGGCCTTGCGGGAGAATGTATTGGGCATGATGAACCTAATGACATTCACACAATTATTTTAAATAGGCGAANTTTCGATTTCTATAAGATACAACTTGCCAACTCTACACTATCTTGAAAAATAAATCTCCACAACTCACAATTATTTGAAACATTTAGGCTTCTTTTATTTTCATTCCTTTGAATTCGAGTTTAATTCTGCCTAAAGTATAACTCTGCCTGGCACATATATCAACGAGTTTTGTTGGAATTTATTTTGTGAAAACAAAATCATAATCTTTTCTGCAATAGATCTCGGAATTTTTCTGATGAAGATCTGTAGCTCTCTGAAGTATGAAATAACCTTATTATCATTAACCTATTTGGTAATTTTGTCAATTAAGTTATATTACAACGCTTTAAAATTTCTTTCACTTGGTCTAAGCTATGAATTTTGATTTTTTAAGCATTTTAATTGACGTAGAAGTATTGAATATATATTATGAGTACTTGAACATGTTACATTTTCCATAAAGCTATTATTAATAATTAACAGTAACAGAGTGCTTGCTGGTTCAAGAAAGATGCGGACATTTTCTAATAAATCATCAGACAATTGATTTGAATAATTCACGGGCAGTGTTATTTGTACGATATTTGCTATGTTAAACATCTTGAGAATTGATGACCACACGAAGCAGTTATAGTACTGCGGTGAATGTATTTTAAGATGAATGGCTTTGGTAAAACGAAGATAATTTAAGAATGTTTCTTATAAAAAATAGTCTGTAATTCAAACTACGTTACATATGACTTACTTATGCGTTTAGATCATCAGATGAATCTACAGAGATAATAACCTATTCAACTGTATCGTTTTCTGTCATCATAGTCACCACAGATGGAGAAAGCCGTTTTAGATTTAATTTACATTCGAACGTATTCACACATATTGATAAAGTACAGAGAATATAACAGGATGAGTACAGCTTTCTCGTATTATATTCACAAGTGACAAACCATTGCTTATGTTCCGTCTGGAATGCTGTTTGAAATGAAGAATTAATTAATTCGAGTTTTTCGAATGATTTCCTTTGAAAGAACGAATCGTAATCAAGATGGAATTTGAGTTTCTTTAATTGTGTTCATTTTGATTTAATAAACTATTGCCACAGGCAGACGATCTATTCGTCGAGCAATAATTTTCAAATACTTCAATGAAGGTGTTAAGGAAAGAAACTATTCAATTACATCGATGTCCTGAGAATTCTTTTCAATAATCAGAAATTGTAATTGATGAAAAGCAGGAATATCAGAGGATTAGAATGGAAATATTTACTGACTCGGTAGATCAAAGCGATTTTTAAGAACAGCCATGTGTAAATGAGAAGAATATTGAAATGTCGAAGTGTTGATTGGGTAAACATGAAAGTACCCACAAGTCTCCTGATGTCGGAAACCATCGGCTTAATTCATCGTATTCTCTGACGATTGCGGAAAATGAGATGAGTAAAACAGTACGATTAAGATGTTTTATAAAAAATTTCAAATTCATTTGATCAATATTCTCCAGAGTTAAAGATCGAAGTCGAGTAAATTGTTGAGCATGAAAATATGGAAAAACAATGGAGCAATGTCCTCCGAGTTATTGAATTCAGTTGAAAATGTCAATGAAATAATATTTCCTTCTTTGATCAACCGATAGAGAAGATGGAAATCTTTTTGAAACAATCCCTTGAACTTGAAAATCCATCGTTCATAAGAATTAACTATTAATCAAAAGGATCGAGATAGACATCGTATTGAGAATACAATCGTTTGCGTATCAAGATCGTCAAAAATGCGATGAACTACTTCGACAGGTAACGCTTCCATATGGTTAAAGTATGTAAAGAGATGAATATCAGTTGGAAAACAGTTTTTATTTTCAACAGATGAATACACAAATGGATGAATAAGTATAAACACTGTTTGAGAGAATAAAAGCAAAGAAATTCGAAAAATAACTTTCATCAATATAAGAAGAAGCCACTGTTAGTTACAAAAATGTATATGTGAATAAGCAATACATGTCCTAATCGTCACATTTTCATAGTAGCATGTTTTTTTCCGGATCGAATATGCAGAGGGAATTAGAGCTATCGTTTATAGGGAGTTTTAGTGGAATTTCTCGATTGTAATGGTCGACTAGGATCTCTTTATGTTATGAATTTCTATTTAGTTTCGTGCATAATAAGACACTGGCTGGATAAAATTTATTTTCATCAAACTGTTATCCGAAAATATAAAATGAGGAAAATAATTGATTATGAAGCATCATAATTAGTTGTTTTTTTTCACAAAAATTGCTCGGACGATTATATACGTCGTTAATAAGCAAGTGGTCAATATCTGCAGTTTGGATACCATATGTCACCTCACTTTTGGTTTTAATATTTAGTGATCGAGCAATTGAGAGTTCAATAATCTTCTTTCGTATAATCAATGCAATGTACATAACAAATATCGACACACCATGTTTTATACCCTCATGCTTCGAACGAAAATAAGAGAGAAGATCTTCGCTTGTGTTTCAAATCTGAAGAACGAAGAAGATAACGAGGATGGCAAACACGACAATCGGACACGAAACTAAATGACACTGCTTTTTTTCTCCTTATGACCATTGCAGTACAAAAAAATTAAATATATAGGTATCATATGAGCATAAAATACGATACGCACGAGTCGTTTTATATACCAGTGCTCCCTTCTTTATCACTCGCGGTACATGCACATGTGCAATACGTACGTTCGTTTTATTTAGATATGAATAGTGCACTTCTAACCGACGACAATGCGATGTGGAAACAAAGATTCCGTATGCATCAATATGGAGGATACTTAGCAAAGTGTAATCATCAACGTGGTTTAGTGATAAGCAATCAATCGGGTATTTATCAATTATATTCATGGACTGTATCGAATGGGCAACTGCGTCAGTTAACAAATCATTCGGAGGGTAAAAGGGACGGATTTATATCCTGTGACGGTCGTTTTGTTTATTATCTGAACGACACGAAAGGTAATGAAACTGGTCACTATACTCGCATCGATGTGGAGAGTGGTAAAGAAGTAGACTTAACACCTGAAAGAGAACCCTACTCGTCGTTAGGATTTCACACGGATGGTATTGGCAAAACAGTAGCGTATCTAACTACTGATCATGAAAAGGGTTGTCAACTATTTACACAATGTGTAACAATGGATTCTATTGGTGAACCGAATTTGATCTACGAAACGGCAAATTTGACAATTAATCCGATTTTATCGTATAACGGAGATCTTGTGGTCATAGAAACTACCGATGTTAAAAAGGGTATAGGAAGTATACTGGTCGTCTTTGACATTAGTAATAATAGACGTTTGATTAGCACGCTCGATTACGGGCACGGAGTTAATGTGGTACCAAAACAATTCGCTCCATCACCGAACGATATACGTCTTTTAGCGAAAAGCAACCGTACCGGAGCGAATCGACCATTGATTTGGAACGTACGGACTAACGAACAAATCGATTTTATACTTGATGAGTTCGGCATCGAAGGAGATATTGATCCACTCGATTGGTCGGAAGATGGGAATTTCATTCTTTTATTACAAATTCATAATGCTGTTTTTCGACTGTACTGTTATTCTATTGTTGACAACACTATAAATGCACTGATAGAACAGCCATCCGGCATGATTCATGATGCACGATTCGGCCCTGATGGAACGATTCTGGTTCAGTGGGAAAATGCACATACACCTCGACGAATAGTTGCATTGAATGCTAACAATGGAGCATTTGAGAAAGTTATGCTCGGACCACCGAAAATTGAAAACTTGATAACTCGCTCACAACATTCAGTGACATTTTCATCGTCGGATAAACAACTTATACAAGGTCGACTTACCTTGCCTAGTATGCATGCTGATGGACCATTTGCAACAATTATTGACGTACACGGCGGTCCTGCATCTGTTACAAGTGAAAAGTTCGATCCAGTAAGTGAAGCATGGGTCGATCACGGCTTTGCATATCTATCAATTAATTATCGTGGCTCGATAACTTTTGGACGTGAATTTGAACATAAGATTTATTCTGACATTGGCCATTGGGAAGTAGAAGATATTGTCGCTGCACGTACTTGGCTTGTTGAACAGGGTATTGCTCAACCCAACACTATATTTCTAACAGGTTGGTCGTATGGTGGGTATCTGACTTTGTTGACTTTAGATAAATAACCGAGTCTGTGGGCGGGTGGATTAGCAGGTATTGCTATTGCCGATTGGACCATGCTCTATGAAGATTCGGCTGAATCGCTGAAAACTTACGAAGTATCCTTATTTGGCGGTACACCAGCTGAAAAGCCGGAATTATACGCAGCCGCATCTCCCATCACGTACGTCGAACAGATCAGTGCGCCTGTACTGATTATTCAAGGAGCTAATGATACACGATGTCCTGCACGTCAAATGAAATGCTTCGAGGATAAGATGCGTCAGCTCAATAAAAAGTTAGAAATTGAATGGTTTGGTGGTGGACATGCACTCAATGCTTCGGAACAGCTGATTTTACATATCGCAAAAATGCTATGCTGGACTCACAGAGTACTTGAAGAAAACAACGCAAAAACTACCAGTTGAAGTAAAATAATCTTTGTTATACCATTACAATCGTAATAAAAGTATACATCACGTTGCTTCGTGTAAATAAATAAGTCGACAGCTGTTCGTAACTTTCTTCCATACACGTCGACGGACAGTGGCGTGTCTTATATCTCTGTTATGTGTAATTCGATTTATTCTCTTTTTTTCTAAAACCAAGATTGACTGTCTTATCAGTCTCCATCATGTGTATATTCTTTTGTCTATTCTGACACTATAAAAATGTGCCTTCAGCTTTCATTTTTTCCCAGTGACATATACAGCGCGCGCCGCAGTTTTGATGTTCTAAAATAAGAACATGGAATTCGAAAGATCTAACATTTTGAAAAAATGTATTATAATATGCTGGAACCCGAACACGAATGGATCGCAAACAACGACGGAAATATCGTTAAATTCCTTATTCGATTTGGTCAAGGATATAAAAATATTCCATTGTATTGATCAATGCATCGACTTTGTGTCCGACGTCTCTGAAGAACAAATTTGTCTTGCTTTATGTGCACACAATGTGGAATCTCTTTTACCATTGATTCATGACATACCTCAAATTCAATCGATATTTATTAAAAGTGAAAACGGAAGTAATGAAGGATTGAAAATGAATCGATGGACAAAATTCAAAGGATCTTTCACTGATATAGCCGATTTTTGCAACCAATTCAAAACAAACCTTCGAAAATCTGAACACGATTTCGCTTCGGTCAACTTTGCGTACTCGTTAACAAACGACCATCAGAGAATACTCGATGCGTCATTCATGTACTCGCAACTATTGAAAGATATTCTATTAAGCAAGGAATACGATGACGGAGCGAAAAAAGACTTTATAAACTACCTTCGACAACAAGATGCTAATCAACCTTCAAGATTAAAAGACTTAGATGTCTACGAACGAAATGAACCTCCTCTATCATCGATATGGTGGTACACAAAAGCGGTGCTCTTCTACGATCGAGTTAATAAAGCTCTTCGAACACAAGACACCGACACTATTGTTCATATGGGCGTCTACATTCAAGAACTTCATCGTGAAATCGGTAAATTACATAAGGAGCAACAATTTGGGAGAAAGCTGAGGGTCTATCGTGGTCAACTTATGCGCGTAGATGATTTCGAAAAGTTGCAGAAAAACAAGAGCGGTCTCTTGTCTTTCAATAATTTCTTGTCAACCAGTAAAAACAACGAGGTTTTATTGCCATATGCAGATAGTTCGTATTTGCCGGATGACTCAGTTGGAATATCTTTTCACATCGAAATCGATCCGGCGATATCGTCAATACCATTTGCAGATATTCACAATCTAAGTCAACATAAAGATGAAGAAGAAATTTTGTTTTCCATGCATACGATTTTTCATATTGATGAAATCATTCAGAAGTCCGCAAAGTCTTGGCAAGTGAATCTGACATTAACTGATGACAATGATCCAGTTTTAAAACAAGTAACTGACTACATGCGCGAACAAATTCGCATTGGTTCAATCGACAAATCGCTCGTTTATCTACTCATTCGTATGGGTAAATATAATGATGCCGAAAACGTTTGCAATGNTTGAAGAGAAGCCATGACGATTTTTCTTTCATCTATGATTTTCGAAGTTTCGTACATACGTAAAACTCACATTTTACGACGCTGATTTCTGTAAACTACTCTCTTCATATAAACAATTTGACCGGAGTGGAAGAATAGTGTTCTCTTTTCTTTTTGTGTGATTTCGTGACTATAGATCTTGCCATTGCAATCATTCTTTCCTCTGTTGTGCAAATGGCAACGAGTGAGTGTGAAAAATTTCGTATTGGACGAGAGTTTTTAGAGAGTGTTGCGTGGCCTTCTCAATTGCGTAAGCCGGCTCACGATCGATGTTATTGTTATCAATGCTATCCATCAAGTCATCCCGACGCTCTCACCGTCGCTGGTTACAAATATGTTATTCCGCATGGATGGACTCGTTTTGCTGTTTCGGTGGACAGTGACATCTGCGAGCTTCACAATGTATGGAGTACGTGGTTGATTTGTTACCATGGAACTAGTATTGAAAGCGCTAGATCCTGCGTCGAACATCGACAATTGCTGTTGCCCAACGATATTACCATGTATGGCAAAAAGTTAGAAATACCAAAAGGTCATATTCCGAAAGAGAATTACATTTTTACAACGCCATCAATTACTTATGCGGCACATCAAGCTTACGCTCGTGCGTATCATTTCAGATCGCCTCATGATTCAAGACTCTATACTATAAAAGTAGTATTGCAATGTAGACAAAAGCCCGACTCAATTATCGTACAACCGGAGACAGTTGGTGCGCAAGTGCGAATGCAAAGAATATGCACGCACATTCCGAATGAAGAATTAGAGTGGAAAACGCAACATCGGTCATCTGTTGTCATTTATGGCTTACTGTTACAGATAAAGAAATGCGACGAGAATGATACTAGTAATCTGACGTCGCTACCATCATCATCGTCAGCCACTCATTATAACAGTACGCGTAACTGCGAAAACACAACACAATTATTTTCTTGTCAGTCAATAGCAGTTATTTTTAGTCTCTGTTTTACATAGGCATACCAACTATATCAAATACAATCCCAAGAGATCCACTGAAAAAACTTTCGGGCACTGTGTCGCCTATTTCAATGAGTATAGATTCGACAGACGAATATTCCATCGAAAGAGATGCAATGTCAACGAAACAAGTATCTGTCCTGGTCATGATTTTGGTAGCAACACTCCTACCTATAGCTGCTCTGGTCGTTGGTCAAATTTATAAATCTGACTGTCCTATTCAATCATGGATTCCACAGTGGATGACTGTTTTCGGAGCTGTGGGTATAGGTGTTTTTGGTACCGCATTCACTATCGTAGGTGTTAATTAGCATATATTTCGTACACTCATGTCTTGTTTATAGTTGCTTATTTCATTCAAGTGCTGTGGCGAAGATAGTCATATCGGAGGGTGTATTACGAATTGTTTTGTATGTTTATTAGCATTCTTCTACTTCTCGTGGTTAATCGCGGTACAGAAAGAAGAATAACCAAAGCGTTTCGATCAGTTGAATAATATGTATGTTTTCTTCTCTAGGGAAGCGTGTGGGTATTTGGCGTGAGACCAAGTGTTCAATATGATAAGCGAATCCCAGAGAACTACTGTCAAGAAAATCTCTACAAATTTGCATTCGGATTACTCATAACACAATACTCACTGATCGCTATTGCTTTGTGCATCGGTACCAGTGCTTGCTTATTTATTTTTTGTGTCGATTAACAAAAATAAATCAAAGAGAAAGTGGAGTTTAAAGATTGTGCTTTTATTCTCTCTTCCGTGAATAAATTGAAGGTAATCGTTTCAAAAACTTTTTTTAAAGAATGCTAGATACATCCGAGTACTGCCATTCAATTTCAATGAGCAATTTAATGTGCTATAGAAATATCAAATTAAAAGTTTTACTCCACGATGATGTTTCGACTTCTTAGCTAGTTTTGTGCATGTTCGAAACGGTAGTGCATCATTTTCAAGATTTCTTCAACGGTTTCTACCTTAGTATAACACAGATAGTCGTCAACATTGAGGACATGGCTGCTTTGGAAGATTTTGTCGAATAAAGTAAGACCTCTGCATAGTAAACACTAGCTAGACCGTTCAAAATGCGTTCAATGCAGGCGACGTCGTATTAGGTGAACACTTACATTCACTTGACTTCCTATGAATCGATGAACAGTTGGATGGAAAATACATATAAATAAACAATGAATGTAATTCTAGATGCTAAGTACATCGTCATGCATACAGTCAGTCAATTTCCTGTCCTTCCGGTTTATACATGCAATGCATCATTTGTATATTGAGTATTATTGTTCATTCACTCTGTAAAAGGATGATGTATATAAATCATCCTCTATTAGCACCAGGCATCTCGTTCTCTCGCATTCTTCACATTTTTTTTCGCATGTGCTCACATATGTTTTCTGTTCTCTGCACAGCATCTTCTCATGACATCATGTAATCATCATTTTGTGTTGTCATCTTTCTTTTTGAAACCGTGATGATTTTTTGGCAGTAAATATCATTCGTCCATTCTTCAGTCATTTCGTCTCTGAGCCCACACTCGATACATATGACGGATTTTTTCGTAACAAATAGACCACCAGTGAGTTTTGTTAGCACTGCTTCAAGAAAACAACACGACAGACTATTTTATCTTCTATTCTTAGATTTATACGCATATAGTTTTATTGTATTTATTTTCCTTGTATTTCACCAGTGTTCTCAATATTCCCTAGGCTCTGTTTTATCTATCTTTGACTTTTATCCATGTAGCAAGCATCGTCGAATTTTAATCTGTGGCAACATTAAACATAGTATCATTAAGACCCACAAAGGTTCTGGGAAGAAAGTTGTGGCATTGTTCGACATCCTACATAAGGCGTATGCACGTCACGGCCTTCGTCTATGATTCTTTTCCTACTTAGCATATTTCTCTCTTAACACAAATACAATCATCTCTTACAATCCAACTAGCTACAAATGTATCCAACAAGAAGCGACCGTAGCATTAGCATGAATACTTGTACTCAAGGAACACGAACTGATAAAGCACGAGGGGTGTGACAGTGAGTGAATAGCATTTGAAAAAATAATGATTATTTTGTTTTATTTGTAGAGCATGTTGGTTGAACCTCCAGTGTTGATATCGACTTCCGTGAGATAGTCAGTCAAATATCGTCAATGTTGTTGAAAATAAGTGGTGTCGCCCCACTGGCATCACTATCACCGTTCCTGATTTATGTCCGCTAGCATCAAAAGTTCTACATTTAACTCAATCGACATAGATTCGTCGACCACGATACTATCCTGACAAAAATCAAAGCTCGACATCACCACCTTATGGGAGAAAATCAAACTGTTTTCTTCCCATGGTCGGCCCTTTACTAGTTCCCAGTAGTTGAGATCAACAAACCAACAATAAAAAAGCGATTACCATACTCAAATAAAATTTGACTACCCAAGAACTGAATGAACAGAGTGGCATAAGAGAAAAAAATCTATAAATAATTGGTTAACCGACCACAAAAGATGAAGGCTACAACGTCAATTTGAATCTAGTTTCAAACTCCAACACGGATGTAGAGTCGAACGACTCTGGGAGCTCACTTGTATCCATTATAGAGCTTAAATTCTTTTCTTGTTTTCGATAGTGTTCATTTTGATATTCGTTTCGATCTTTTATTGTTGAATAAATTAGGTCTTCTCCCTTTTTTCGAAATATTAGCTAAAAAATTTACTCATATTGCTCAAGTTGACTTCAAAGATAGTATGATCAATTTATTCATTCCCACAAAATGCCTTGATGTCTATGAAGAAAAAGAATAAATCTTCAGTTGAAGTTATATCGTTGAGCTAGGGTAGCAATCTTCTTCATTTATATACAACATTATGGTCAGTAGAGTTTTCCCTAAACAGTATCATTCTCTAAATTCAAGTGTTTTGTAAGCTTACCAATATATTCGTTTAGTTGTCTCAACGAATGTAACTTTGTCATAATAGAGTCAAAGAATTGTGCGTGGGCCCCACATCCTGAAGATAGAGCTAACAGGAGTTCAAACTAATAAAACAGGATCGTGTTTACACCTATGGTAAGGAATAATTATGAAACTGAGATTTTACTGTCTTTCGAAAATCTCCTACAATAAATATACTCGTTCTATATATTAGATGAAAGCAGACAAGATTCATAACGAAAATATTGTAAGGAGTCGTAATTGTTGAACATCGACATGATAGTATTTCACCGTACATATAGTTCTGTAAAAAAATCTCTCTGTTGAAGATGAAATAGTTACAGTTCAAGATTATGGACACGTCATGTAGAATATTTCTTGTTTCGTCTGTCCATCATCATAACCATTTGCGTCTAGTATAGACAAACTCTGATTATTTATTTGCTGACAAAACCAGTAAACTGTTCTACTAAGTATGATTGATTTGTTTTACTCAGTAAGCGACGTGTCCGAAACAAAAGAAATAAACAAACGCCTGGCATATTATCTTGAATGTGGAAATGAGTTTTTTCTAATTATTCTACAATGAGACAATGTTTTACGCACCATTTAATTGATATCTCGAGAGTAGTCGATCAAGAATATTTTCTGTTAGAGTTTGCATATTCTTTTATTTAAATGAGAAAAGAAGATGATATTTTTTTCATCTCTGTTCCTAGCTAAATAGCTGCACATGTAAACGAACAAATACATGATGTGTATGGAAAATTCCTCGCTATAATATACGTTTTGTTTTCTCTCTTATCAATTGCGAGAAGAGATTAAGCTTTCGAACAAAAAATAATTACGTCACGAATGAGAAAGAAAGGGAAAAATACATCTTGATATGTTTGAAACAATATGGTATTTATCCTTCTTTCACAAGCAGTATGGAGAAATCCGACTCAGCTTCTTATATAAATTCTGTGCGTGTTAGATTACTTTTATATATCAAAACTAGGGATAAATGGTAAACTGTATAATGGCTGAAGCTACAGATATATCGAAAACTGTGGAATGGATGTGGCAATTGAAACCAAATTCATCGTCAACAGATGAACCAACAACATGGAACCATTATTCAGATGTCGAGAATCTAATTATCGAAGAGGCATTTTCCAATAAGCAACAACGAGCTATCTTAGATAGCTGCTTTATCGATTTTGATAACGAAATTCAAGTATCCAATAGTGACAATCAAGATCAAAGACCTGTGAAACGAGTAGTGGGCAACAGAAAAGATAAACACGTGAGAGAAGCACGATTTATGGATCTTCCAGTTCCTTCGACTGGTTTCTTTGGCGGCCAATATGGATTCGTCTCACCTTTTATTATTGAAGTGAGAAAAGATTTGGATCTAGAGGATTATCAACTTCCTTCGAGAAAACCACAAACAATACCTATGTTAGTCGAAAAAGCGGCCCATGGCATCATTGCAGAAGGTGAACGTATCGGTAAACAAAGAGAAGCTGAAAAACTGGTTAATTTACTTTCCGAGAAGAAGAACAGTGGACGTGTAGAAGTTTGGAAGCGTTGTGCATATCTTTACTCATTGGAAAGTTTTCTCTATAAGACTTTGAATGCGGCTATGCGATTGGTGGGAAGCCAAGAAGATGAAGAAATCTGGAGAAGCAAAATTCCAACACTAGGTCCGTTTTCTTTATTATTGTGGGATGATCCGTGCAATAAAAGGATGAAAGCGAACATTGAATTGTATCGAGGAGCTAATCTAGAAAGTGAACAGATCGAGATATATAAAGGAATGGCTGCACGCAATGATAAATATGGTTCATTTCAAGGATTTTCATCTTGCACTCGAAATCGAGCAAAAGCAGAAGCATTTGGAAATACATTGTTTATCATACAAGTGAAGTACGCTTTTATCGCTGATTTGAGCGATTTATCTGAGTATCCTGAAGAAGAAGAAGAACTTATTATGCCAGGCGTTTGTTTTCGTGTCGTACGTGTTGACTTTGATTACAAGAAGAATCAACATTTGATTTATGTGGAACTCCAACAGAGTTGGTCGAGTGAGTGAATATCTTTCGAACAAATGTGAAAACGAAATATTCTTTTCCTTTGTTTGTAGTCAAAGATAAGAAGCATTTAGAAACTAAACTGGCTCTTGAAGCAAGCTCTGGTGAATTTTGTGGTATGTTTAATGATATTCATCGTCCTATTTATCGTCTTCTTGCTGACGATGATCAGCGTCAAGCTCATCTTGATTTTGATGATTTTGCATACGATGATTATGATGCTGGTCTTCATCTGAAACTTGATGATCGCGATTATGATCGCTATGGTAAACATCTTTCTCAACAATAGACTACATTGAAGTTAAAAGTATCCTTTTTTTTCTGTAAAATATTTGAAGTACAACACAGAAATTGTTTCCACAGTTTCACGTAAGAGCTCATATAAGAAAGGACTTATTTTTTATATTAATCAATGACAAATTTGCTTATGCTAGTGTAATTGTTTCCATCGACATTATTTTCAGTAGTTTCTAACCAACTACTATAATCGTTCCAGAAAAGATACGCCGAATACAATCACCTATAGACTAGAAAAAACTATTCAATTCAATGAGAAAACGCTTTTCTCTAAAGTTACTCTTATGCCGTGCATGACCGCATGGAGACATACGAAACAACTGTAAGCCAATTGGCCAAGCTCACCCATATATTTGTTTTCAGTTAATAATCTCTGTAAGAATGTGTACAGTTACAGAAGAAGAATCAAAAACTAAATAACTTTTTCAGTTGAATTTTATATCATGTGCAATTATATCGATAAGGGCAATTCTTTGTATCGCCCAATACTTTCTACGTGAAAGAAAAAGAAACCAATAGCACCACAGGAAACATATAGCTGCTTAAAAAAAGAATCTTTACAGAAAAAACATTGTATGGAAGAATGAATTAAAAAGGAGAAGAAATATTTTGACATAAAAAGAAAATAACGATACTCATCGCACTTCAAATATAGGATTGACGAGATCAAAATCAATAAGAACGATCTCGTCTATTGAAATCGTATCTGAAGAATTGCCATAAAAAATCAACCTTGAATCTGGAATTATCGAAAATAGTAGGTATCGAAGCACAATGTCAAAAACAGTAATTATCGAATTTCAACGTATAGAAAAGTAAAAATTACGGAATATAAGATCGTGTGGGAGAACAGTTCAAGAGTATAGGTACAGCTTTGATACACTTCCTCGCTGACTGACGAGCTCTGCTTCATCCACACCCACCCTCAAGATGGTGAATGCTGACCATTGAAGCGGTTGACCGAATGAAGATGTATAACCTGTGTCACCGGTTGGTGGTTTTGGTAGTATGGGTGTAAGTGATTGAGATCGTTGAAATGATGGGTTTGGAGGAACTAAATCGTGTGTCCATGGTGCTGGTTGGTTGAGTGGATACGACGAAATCGTCTTCGTATATGATGGTCATGGTATTATGGGTCTAAGTGCTGGATATAATGAATTTCCCGGTCTTGATTGTTGTTGTCGATCCGATCCAGGAAATGTAAGTGATTGTATTGGACGAATATTGCTTCGACTATTATCGCCACTTTCTACCTGACCTATCAAATAAGCCGATAGAAAGACAATGAGAAAACAACAGAATATCCGATACACGAACATTATCTTTCAATATAAAGATTCTAACGCAGACTCAGGGATATTCTGCTGTTTTAAATACTATCTTTCGCTTATTATCTATATAGTGAAAAGTATATCGAGGGATATTGCGAACGTAAGATTAGTTAATTAAGACGATAAAGTGTTTATTCTGATATGTGGGAGATTTCCCATAAGAGATTTCGCTAATTAAATTAGGAAGGAATATTTATTTTTCTTTTCGTTTCTAAGATGTTATTGACTTGTAAACAAACTAATGTCGTTAGTTTTTGTTCATAAGATTTTCTTCTGATCAGTATCCAAAACCATACAATTTTGCAGATACTGAAATTGCAACACATTTTTTATCGTTGTAGACAGCTTCTCGCAGCATAGATTCAGCACAAATATGACGTAAACCTTTTCTCACGATCTTCTCGATCATGTTTTTCTTCCTCAAGTTCTATTTGATGTTTCACACCTTCAAGAGCTGCGTGCGTATGCAACCTTGCCAGACGAACAACCACAAGAATCATTTCCAGTTCCTTCTAATACACATCAAATCGATCCCGACTAAGGTACTTATCAGTAATCTTGTGTTCTTGTTGTATCGCTCAAGGTTTAATTAACACTCGAATTAAAATATGTTGATGGATATAGATAATATACCGTCGTGGGATTTTCCCATCTTGTCGGAAAATATATCAACATGTTTTCGCTTGATCGTGACAATCTCTTTTATTACGAAAATACATAATTACTCTCACCTATGTTGACAGACGAGCAAAATAAAAACACTATAATTATTTTCTTTTTCTTCTAAAATAAAATTTAGTCTAACTCATCTTCGATTACGATACAATTACGATTTATAAAACTAAAATTGTTACTCAATGAGAATTTAATAAAATCTCTTTGAATCGTTGTAATAACTTGTGGAATAATAGCGCGATATTGATGGTTCGTGGGAAGAGAAATTCTCGATATTTGCAACGCTTTTTGAAAATGCAATAACGAAAGCGAATGTCGTTTGATAAAGTAATACAAGAGACCCATACTCATGTGTATTTCAATGAAATCCGGATGAGTCGATGGAAGAGATTTGTAATATATATTCATAGCTTTGCTGAAATGCATCAATGCAATTAAATATCTTCCTGTACCAAAATGCACTAAAGCAATGTAATTATGCGATGAAGCTACATCAGGATGATCAGGTTCAAGAGATTTTTCTTGAATTTTTCTTGCTTTTTCATGATATGTAAGTGCCTTTTGATATTCACCCATTGACGTGTGTAATTCACCTATATTATTAAGTATTAAAGCCAGAGAAGGATGATTGATTTGAACAGATTTTTGCAAGATTTCGGAAGCTTTTTGAAGATGTTGGAGTGCTAATGAATTCTGTCCCAATGTTCTATAGACTAAACCAATATTATTATGTGACATTGCTAAATCTGGATGAGTTGGCGGGAGAGTTTTTTCATATATCACAAGAGCTTTTTTATGATACATAAATGCCGACGCGTTCTCACCCATCGATCTGTATACTTCGCCAAGATTATTGTATGATTTAGCTAATTTTGAATCGTTCCATTCAAGGTGTTTTTCCCATATGGAACGTGCTCTACTATGATAATCAAGTGCATTGGATAATTGCCCCATAGTATGATACAATTCACCAATATTATTATAAGAAGCAGCTAAATCAATATGATCAGGCGGAAGAATTTCTTGCCGTTTTTTTAATCCTTCAAATAAATGTATTAATGCACTGTTCAAATCATTCTGCTGTGTTTTAATATATCCAATAATATTATGAAGACGAGCATCATCAGACATAGTTGTATAATCTGATGGTAATTCAATTTTCTTCTGACAAATTTCTTCAGCTTTATTTAAATTGTTCATCTTTACTAATAAATAAGCTAATTGACCAGATTTTGAATCGCAAATCATTTCGTGACGTATATGATCAGTAAGTTTGTTCAATTCGGGATCATTATCACTGGTTAAGAATAATTTAACTTTATATAATCGTTCATCCATTTGTTCGATTTGATGAATTCGAAATATCGTATTGATTGAAAATAAAATTTCTTTTTCACGATCTCCATAATAACTTACTTTATCTAATGATGCAAATGGAGTTGTTTGTATACTTAAATCAATATGCATTTCAAAGAAAACACCTGTAAGTTCTGAATCATCTTGTGCACTACAAGCACGTACATATGCTAACTCTTGGTCACATGTTGTTGAAAGAAAATGATTGAAAGAAAGAAGACCACCTTTATTCTCTCGTAATCTTTCAAAATGATTATTAAACATGCCTTGACCTCGATAAACAATCGATGGTTTTTCATTTGCGAAATCTTGATATAATAATTCAATCTGTCGATGTAAATCTCGAATAAAAAATCCCATTGTTAAAATAACATCTGTATCTTGATAACGGAGTGAGTCATTTAACATTCGATAGATAAAACAATCTCGAGTATACCATTGAATAGCCAATGAAGGTTTATAATTGTGATCAAATTCATCAATTATCCGATGACTTGTTTCATATTCAACTTCTTTTATTAAACACATATTAACAAATTCATCTTTCGATTTTTGATCAAATTTCATTTGAAGAAGAATTTCTTTTAGTAATTCGATATACATGAATGATGGATCTAAAGAGTGAAGATTTTCATTTGGAATAATTGTTATTGGAATTGAATTCTCTTGAAATTGATACATATCTTTGATAAGATTGTTACATAGAGTTTCGTCGGTTTGATTTGAAAGATGATAAATTGAATAAATTTGTGGAATATTCTCAATTAATGTTAGACAATGTTCAACCACATGATCAGAAAGAATGAGAAACACTTTTGTATCTATCAAATCAGTAACATAATCAATACAATTATCAATATCAGTGAATGTTTTTATAGAATTAATATATCGTTGAAGATGTTTGCTTAAATATTCCAGCTTTTCTTCTTGTTCATCGATATTTGAATGTAACAAAATAACAAGAAAATTCGAATGTTTTGACTTCATTTTGATTGCATGAAAAGAAATTTTTGTATGAGAAAAGACTTTTGTTGATGATGTGTTTAACCGATAGGGAAAAAAACAATTGAAGAATGAGTCATAAGTACGTTGTCGTGAGTCAAAGTTGGAAAAACTCTTTGGAGACTAAAATATATCAACGAGTTTTGTTGGAATTTGTTTGATGAAGATCTGTAGTTCTTCGAAGTATGAAATAACCTTATTATCATTAACCTATTTGGTAATTTTATGAATTCTAATTCTTCCAATACAGAAGTTTACTTTCAATAAGTTATATTACAACGCTTTAAAATTTCTTTCACTTGGTTCAGGTTATGGATTTTGATTTTTAAGCATTTGAATTGACGTAGAAGTATTGAATATGTATCATGAGTATTTGAACATGTTACAGTTTCCATGAAGCTATTATTAATAATTAACGTTGACAAATTGCTTGCTGGTTCAAGAAAGACGCGAACATTTTGTAATAAATCGTCAGACAACTAACTTGAATAATTCACGTCCAGTGTTATTTGCTATGTTAATCATTTTGAGGATTGATGGCTATACGAATGTTTTCTATAAAAAATATTCTGTTAGTAACTGAAACTACATTCAATGTGACTTACTTGTGCTATTAGATCATCGGATGAATCTACTGAGATGATAACTGATTCGACTGTATTGTTTTCTGTCATCATAGTCACTCAGATGAAGAAAGCCGTTTTAGATCTAGTTTACATTCGAACGTATTCACAAGTATAACAAACCATTGTTTATGTTCGATCTGGAATGATGTTTGAAATGAAGAATTAATTAATTCAAGTTCTTCGAACGATTTTCTTTGAAAGAACGATTCGAAATCAAGATGGAATTCGAATTTCTTGAATTGTGTTCATTTTGACTCAATAAATTGTTGCGACAGGCAGACGATCTATTCGTCGAGCAATAATTTTCAAATACTCCAATGAAGGTGTTAAGGAAAGAACCTATTCAATTACATCGACGTGCAGAGGATTCTTTTCAATAATTAGAGGTTGTAATTGATGAGAAGCAGGAATATCAGAGGATTAGAACGGAAGTTGATACTGACTCCGTAGATCAAAGCGATCTTTAAGAACAATCGTATGTAAATGAGAAGAATATTGAAATTTCGAAGTGTTGATTGTGTAAACATTGAAGTACGCACAAGTCTCCCGATGTCGGGAACCATGGACTCTCATCGTATTCTCTGACTATTGCAGAAAATAAGACGTTTTATAAAAAAAATTTCAAATTCATTTGATCAATATTCTCCAGAGTTCAAGATCGAAGCCGAGTAAATCGTTGATGATGAAAATATGAAAAAACAATAGAGCAATTTCCCCCGAGTCATCGAATTCATTTGAAAATGTCAATGAAATAATGTTTTCTCCTTTGATCAACCGACAGAGAAGATGAACATCTTTTTGAGAGGATCGAAACAGATGTCGTATTGGAAATACCATTGTTTGTGCATCCAGATCGTCAAAAATGCGATGAACTACTTCGACAGGTAATGCTTCCATTTGGTTAAAATATGTAAAGAGGTGAATGTCAGTTGGAAAAAAGTTTTGATTTCCAACAGATGAATAAACAATGTTTCAGAAAATAAAAACAAAGAAATCCGAAAAATAACTTTCATCAATATAAGAAGAGGCTGTACTGTCAGATACAAAATGTATATGAGAATAAGCAATACATGTACTAATCGCCACTTTTTCATAGTAGCATATGTTTTTGTTCAGATCGAATATACCGAGAGAAAGAGCTATCGTTTCTAAGAAGTTTTAGTGAAATTTCTCGATTGTAATATGGTCGACTGGGATCTCTTTGTGTTATGGATTTCTATTTAGGTTCGCACATAATAAGACACTGGCTGGGTAAAATTTATTTCTATCAAACTGTTGTCCGAAAATATAAAATGAGGAAAATAATTGATTATGAAGTCCCATAATTAGTTGTTTTTTTTCACAAAAATTGCTTGGGTGAATATATACGTCGTTAACAAACAAGCGGTTCATATCTGCAGTTTGAATGCCATATGTCATCTCACTTTTGGTTTAAATATTTAGTGGTCGAGCAATTGCTGGTTCAATACTCTTCTTTCGTATAATCAATGCAACGTACATATCAAATATCAACACACCATGTTTCACACCTTCATGCTTCGAACGAAAAAAAGAGAGAAGATATTTGTTTGTGTTTCAAATGTGAAGAACGAAGAAGATAACACGGATAGCAAACGCGACAACCGGACACGAAACTAAATGACACTGCTTTTTTTCTCCTTATGACCAATGCAGTACAAAAAAATAAGATATAGAGGTATCATATGAGCATAAAATACGATACGCACGAATCGTTTTATACATCAGCGCTCTCTTCTTCATCATTCACGGTGCAAGTGCAGGCGCAATACACACGTTCGTTTTATTTAGATATGAATAATGCACCTCTAACTGACGACAATGCAATGTGGAAACAGAGATTTCGTATGCATCAATATCGAGGATACTTAGCAAAGTGTAATCATCAACGTGGTCTAGTGGCAAGCAATCAATCGGGTATTTATCAATTATACTCATGGACTATATCGAACGGACAACTGCGTCAGTTGACAAATCATTCGGAGGGTAAAAGGGACGGATTTATATCCTGTGATGGTCGTTTTGTTTATTATCTGAACGATAAGAAAGGTAATGAAACTGGTCACTATACTCGCATCGACGTTGATACTGGTAAAGAAGTAGATTTAACACCTGGAAGAGAACCGTATTCGTCGTTAGGATTTCACACGGATGGTATTGGCAAAACAATAGCTTATCTAACTACTGATCATGAAAAGGGTTGTCAACTATTTACACAATCTGTAACAATGGATTCTATTGGTGAACCGAGTTTGATCTACGAAACGGCAAATTTTACAATTAATCCGATTTTATCATATAATGGAGATCTTGTGGTCATAGAAACTACCGATGTTAAAAAGGGTATAGGCAGTATACTGGTCGTCTTTGACATCAGTAATAATGGACGTTTGATTAGCACGCTCGACTATGGGCACGGAGTTAATGTGGTACCAAAACAATTCGCTTCATTGCCGAACGATATACGTCTTTTAGCGAAAAGTAACCGCACCGGAGCGAATCGACCATTGATTTGGAACGTACGGACTAACGAACAAATTGATTTTATATTTGATCAGTTCGGCATCGAAGGAGATATTGATCCACTCGATTGGTCGGAAGATGGGAATTTCATTCTTCTATTACACATTCATAATGCTATTTTTCGACTGTACTGTTATTCTATTGTTGACAAGACTATAAATGCACTGATAGAACAGCCATCCGGCATGATTCATGATGCACGATTCGGCCCTGATGGAACGATTGTGGTTCAGTGGGAAAATGCACATACACCTCGACGAATCGTTGCATTGAATGTTAACAATGGAGCAGTTGAGAAAGTTATACTTGGACCATCGAAAATTGAAAATTTGATAACTCGCTCACAACGTTCAGTGACATTTTCGTCGTCGGATAAACAACTTATACAAGGTCGACTTACCTTACCTAGTACGCATGCTGATGGACCACTTGCAGCAATTATTGACGTACACGGCGGTCCTGCATTTGTTACAAGTGAAAAGTTCGATCCAGTAAGTGAAGCATGGGTCGATCACGGCTTCGCATATCTATCAATTAATTATCGTGGCTCGATTACATTTGGACGGGAATTTGAACATAAGATCTATTCTGACATTGGCCATTGGGAAGTAGAAGATATTGTCGCTGCACGTACTTGGCTTGTTGAACAGGGTATTGCTCGACCCAACACTATATTTCTAACAGGTTGGTCGTATGGTGGGTATCTGACTTTGTTGACTTTAGGTAAACAATCGAGTTTGTGGGCAGGTGGATTAGCAGGTATTGCTATTGCCGATTGGACCATGCTCTATGAAGATTCTGCTGAATCGCTGAAAACTTACGAAGTATCCTTATTTGGCGGTACGCCAGCTGAAAAGCCGGAATTATACGCTGCCGCATCTCCCATCACGTACGTCGAACAGATCAGTGCGCCTGTACTGATTATTCAAGGAGCTAATGATACACGATGTCCTGCACGTCAAATGAAGTGCTTCGAGAGTAAGATGCGTCAGCTCAATAAAAAGTTAGAAATTGAATGGTTTGGTGGTGGGCATGCACTCAATGCTCCGGAACAGCTGATTTTACATATCGAAAAAATGCTATGCTGGACTCACAGAGTACTTGAAGAGAACAACGCAAAAACTACCAGTCAAAGTAAAACAGCTGCTTTGTTTTGAGTTATATTGTTTTCAACGAGTTCTCGTCAAAACGTGTTGACTGAATGTCGCTTTTTTACAAATGACTTTTGTTATCCCATTACAATCGTAATAAAAGTATACATAAACATTGCTTTGTGCAAATGAATGAGTCGACAGTTATTTGTAACTTCCTTCCATACCCGTCGACGGACAGTGACGTGTCCTCCATTTCTGCTATTTGTAATTCGATGTATTCTTTTTTCTAAACGCAATATTAACTGTCTTATCAATCTCCATCACGTATATATTCTTTTGTCTGTTCTGACACTATAAAAATGTGCCTTCAGCTTTCATTTTTTCCCAGTGATATATAAAGTGCGTGCCGCAGTTTCGATGTTCTAAAATAAGAACATGGAATTCCAGAGATCTAATATTTTGAAGAAATGGACTATAATATGCTTGAACCCAAACACGAATGGATCGCGAACAACGACAGAGATGTCATTTAATCCATTATTCGGTATGGTCAAAGATATAAAAATATTCAATTGTATTGATCAATGCATCGACTTCGTATCTGACGTCTGTGATGAAAGAGTTTGTCTTATTTTATGCGAGTGCCATATAGAATCTCTTATGCCGTTGATTCATGACATACTCCAGATTCAATTAATATATATTCGCAGTGAAAATGGAACTAGTCAAGAACTGAAAATGAATCGATGGACAAAAGTCCAAGGATCTTTCACCGATATAGTCGATTTTTGCAATCTATTCAAAGCAAACCTTCGAAAATCTGAACATGATTTTGCTTCGGTCAACTTTGCATACTCATTAACGAACGACAATCAACGAATACTCGATGCGTCATTCATGTACTCGCAGCTATTGAAAGACATTCTCTTAAGTAAGGAATACGATGACGAAGCTAAAAAAGATTTTATAAATTATCTTCGCCAACAAGATGCTAATCAACCTTCAAGATTAAAAGAATTAGATGTTTACGAACGAAATGAACCTCCTCTATCATCGATATGGTGGTACACAAAAGCGGTGCTCTTCTACGAACGAGTTAATAAAGCTCTTCGAACACAAGACACAGACACTATTGTACATATGGGTGTCTACATTCAAGAACTTCATCGTGAAATCGATAAATTACACAGAGAGCAACAATTTCAAAGAAAGTTGATGGTCTATCGTGGGCAAATTATGCTCGTGAATGATTTCGAAAAGTTGCAGAAAAACAAGGGCGGTCTCTTGTCTTTCAATAATTTCTTGTCAACCAGTAAAAATAGAAACGTTTTGTTCTCATATGCAGATGGTTCGTATTTGCCGGATGATTTAGTGGGAATATCTTTTCACATCGAAATCGATCCGGCAATCTCGTCCATAGCATTTGCAGATGTTCAGAATCTGAGTCAACATGAAGATGAAGAAGAAATTTTGTTTTCCATGCATACGATCTTTCATATTGATGAAATCATTCAGAAGTCTGCAAAGTCTTGGCAAGTGAATCTGACATTAACTGATGACAATGACCCGGTTTTAAAACAAGTAACTGACTACATGCGCGAACAAATTCGCATTGGTTCAATCGACAAATCGCTCGTTTATCTACTCATTCGTATGGGTAAATATAATGATGCCGAAAACGTTTGCAATGATATCTTAAAATCTGCATCGATCACTTTGCATACCCGCTTAGAGTTTTACAGAATGTTAGGAGCTGTCAAACATCACCAAGGCGATGATAATAGTGCACTCTTACATTTCCAAACCGTATTGGACCTTTTCCCATCATCGCCAATCTACGATTATGATAATCTACATGATATTTACAGTAACATGGCTATAGTCCACGAGTCGAGAGGAAACTATTCCATAGCTTGCGAATTTTATGAAATAGTGGCTGAGATTCGTGAAAGGTTTACTCCAGATAGTACTTATGAATTGGGAACATTATACAATAATATCGGAATAATGAAAAATTCTATGGGAAATCATTTTCTTGCATTGGAATATCTTCAAAAAGCGCTCGAAATTCTTCAGTCGGTATTACCAGCTGCCCATCCAGATCTGGCTCAAATTTATATTAATATCGGTACGATTAACGTCACTATCGGAGAACGCACAACTGCTCATCAATACTTTGAAAAAGCACTTCAAATTCAAACCAGATCACTTCCATCCGATCATCTGGATAGGATTGGTGCATTGAATAACCTTGCCATGACAAGTCAATGTATTGGACAGTACAAGATGGCAGTTGATTACTACAAAGAATCACTCGATCTTTTAAAAGTCATTGACACTTCTAAATATCATCATTTAGGTTTAATTCATAACAATATTGCTCAACTAAAAAAAGCATTGGGTGAATACGATGAAGCAATCGAATACCATTTGAAAGCCATCGATATCGAAGAGAATATGTCCTCTATGTCCAATCTCAGACTGCCGGTATTCTACATCAACATCGCTTTTACTTATAGCTTGCTGGCAAAGTTTTCTACAGCACATGAGTATCTTAAAAAAGCGTACGTCATACAAAAGCAATCTCTTTCACCTGACCATCGTGAATGGGCTCGAATGCACAACAGTATTGGGCTGGTCTATCATGCCGAAAAAAGAGATGAACTAGCAAATAAACACTATAGAAAAGCTGTTGACATCCAAGAAAAAACTTTGCCGTCAACTCATCCTGATCTGGCTGCGTTGTACAACAACCTTGCTGATACAGAACGTCGATTAAAAAACGAGTACATCGCACTGCAGTATATTGAAAAAACACTTTCTATTCAAGAAATCCATCTTCATCCGAAGCATCCAGAAATTGCTCGAACATATAGCAATATGGGAACTATTTTTATGACTATGGGGAAATATTTGGATGCGGAGGTTTATATAAGAAAAGCACTGGAAATTCAAGAAGAAGTACTATCACCGACACATCCTGAACTAGGTAAAACGTATGGTAATATTGGCCTTTTACATTGCTTCAAAAATGAATGTTTTGCTGGACTAGATTATCTTCAAAAAGCGCGTAGGATTTTTTCTATAGTATTTTCACCGGATCATCCTGATTTAGCATGTATTGACAAAATCATCTCGGATGTTCAATCACGCATGTCTTCGCAAATGTGGTAATCATTAAACTACAGAAACAATAATATATGTTTTACTTTTGAAAATAAATTTGTTTTCAACAATGTAAAAGAGCACTGGCAGGATTGTTTGTCTCTGTTTCTCGTAGGCACTAACATACTCAAAAGTATTGTGTGAAATTGTTTATCTGAATAGAAGTCAGAAGAATAGTCCGGTTCAATAAAGTAATGACGCTACTTTACCTACATTACAAAGAAAAAGCAATAGAGTTTCTACTACACGGCACGACAGAAGTTGATGATTTTATAATCTCATACTACAATCGCAGTATACTCTTCTCTTTCAATCTTCATACGTTATCGCCTAGATCACATATTTCGTTATGCTCATGATAGTCAAAGCTAGATTCCAGACTGATTGGTTTTAATTCCTGTGAAAACTGGACCTTCAATGATGATTTTGCAAACGAAGAGCACGAAAATCCTAAAAATATTCTAAATATCTAGCTATAAGCATGAATAAAATCAAACAACTCGGTTGCTTTTTTGCAAAAAAAAGGTAACCGAGTGTCGATTTGCTCATGGATATGCGAATGAATCGCATCCTAATGCTTATGGCTCATGAGGAAAGTGAACGTTGGGTTTTATCCACAAGCGCGGCTCGATCGATACTCATTCTTCATCTCCACTTATTATGTTGTTTCGCAATGCATATGGCGCAATTACCTTTTCTCTTTCTGCTTCTCCTCTACGTCACAGCCACNTGAATGGGCTCGAATGCACAACAGTATTGGGCTGGTCTATCATGCCGAAAAAAGAGATGAACTAGCAAATAAACACTATAGAAAAGCTGTTGCCATCCAAGAAAAAACTTTGCCGTCAACTCATCCTGATCTGGCTGCGTTGTACAACAACCTTGCTGATACAGAACGTCGATTAAAAAACGAGTACATCGCACTGCAGTATATCGAAAAAACACTTTCTATTCAAGAAATCCATCTTCATCCGAAGCATCCAGAAATTGCTCGAACATATAGCAATATGGGAACTATTTTTATGACCATGGGGAAATATTTGGATGCGGACTTTTACATAAGAAAAGCACTGGAAATTCAAGAAGAAGTACTACCATCGACACATCCTGAGCTAGGTAAAACGTATGGTAATCTTGGCCTTTTACATTGCTTCAAAAATGAATGTTTTGCTGGACTAGATTATCTTCAAAAAGCGCGTAGAATTTTTTCTATAGTATTTTCACCGGATCATCCTGATTTAGCATGTATTGACAAAATCATCTCGGATGTTCAATCACGCATGTCTTCGCAAATATGGTAATCATTAAACTACAGAAACAATAATATATGTTTTACTTTTGAAAATAAATTTGTTTTCAACAATGTAAAAGAGCACTGGCAGGCAGAGTTTGCTACAATGATATCGGACACCACCTTAGTTGAGGAGAACATCGATATTCTGAGGGTGACAATTATGTGTCTCTGTTTCTCGTCGGGACCAACGTACTCAAAAGTATTGTGTGAAATTCTTTATCTGAATAGAAGTCAGGAGAATAGTCCGGTTCAATAAAGTAATGACGCTACTTTACCTACATTACAAAGAAAAAGCAATAGAGTTTCTACTACACGGCACGACAGAAGTTGATGATTTTATAATTTCATACTACAATCGCAGTATACTCTTCTCTTTCAATGTTCATACGTTATCGTCTAGATCACATATTTCGTTATGCTCATGATTGTCAAAGCTAGATTCCAGACTGATTGGTTGTAATTCTTGTGAAAACTGGACATTCCATGATGATTTTGCAAACGAAGAACACGAAAATCCTAAAAATATTCCAAATAACTAACTATAGGCATGAATAAAAACTAATACTTCGGTTGCTTTTTTGTAAAAAAAAAGTAACCGAGTGTCGATTTGCTCATGGATATGCGAATGAATCGCATCCTAATGCTTATGGCTCATGAGGAAAGTGAACGTTGGGTTTTATCCACAAGCGCGGCTCGATCGATACTCATTCTTCATCTCCACTTCTTGTGTTGTTTCGCAATGCACATGGCGCAATTACCTTTTCTTTTCTCTTTCTGCTTCTCCTTTACGTCACAGCCGCACTGTCTGTCGTCATTTTCTGATACTATGTTGTACATGTTGCTCAATACTCGCGTTTCGCACATGCACTTTCGTAAGACTTGCTGAGTCATGATCTGTGTTGGTCTGACAATCAGCGACTTTGTTTTGCATTTGTCGTTGGTATAAAAAGAGAAGGGAGAGTGTGGAATCGATATTCTTGCGCAGTGGTGGTACCTCATCCGATGAGCGTTGTTGTGATAGGAGAGGTAATTGCTAGTTGCAAACTACTACCAATGCCACATCGGTCGTTGTGACCGGTGTAATTTTTCCAGCTTCTTCGGAAGCGTCCAAAACAAATTTGCAAAATCTGCATGCGAGTAACAAACAGAATTATATGCATGCTTTTATTCACGTGGTAAACAAGATCAATCTTTTTTCCATTTTTTAATACAGTGAAACAGAACCAACTTTGAAAAAGACATTGAAAAAAAAGGAAGAAACAAAAGTAAAATGCGAGGCGAAACAATAAATAACGGATGTAATACTTCATCGTCTGTCAATACTACTAGTAGTACACGTTAGTGGAGTGCCCTCACAATTATTGCTGCAACATTCCGATCCCGTTGAGCATGTTTGTCCCGTGGATTTGCAGCATTTTTTTCCTGATGAGCACTCGTATATATTGTTAAGATTGCCACAACAGTCACCAGGGCTGTTACATGTTACTGCGGACGCATCGCATGCTAGAAAATAACAAACATCATTCAACCATCTATAATTATATGTCATATAAAAGATACTGAGTGTAGTATTTTTTCTGCTCTATAATACAAAGTCAAAAGATCTACATGTCTTTGTACCTGATGTAGTCGTTGAAGTTGATGTGCTTGTGCTTGTGCTTGTGCTTGTGCTTGTGCTTGTGCTTGTGCTTGTGCTTGTGCTTGTGCTTGTGCTTGTGCTCGATCCTGACACAGTAGTAGTTTGTGTTGATGTGGAACTAGTAGAAGCTGTTGCAGCTAGACTCGTAGATGGTACAGCTGTCGTTACTGTTTGTCCTTAACAAAAAAAAACATATCAAATAAAGCTGAACATACGGATATGATTGAAATTATATCGATTATTCATCTGAATAATGAGCATATCCTCTTTCTGTTCGAATATTGATTATTTTACCTGGCGGAACATGTCCAAATGAGCAAAATCCTAATTGGATAGTAGCAGTAGAGCCGTTAGCCATAGTAACTAACAACGCTGTATTGGAACGTAGACTAGCCAATACTTTTTCGTATACTTGAGCAAATTTCTGCTGACAACCAGCGGTTCGACATGATGATCGTGGTTTGATAAGGAATCCAATGAAAAGATAATCGCCACTTTTACCAGGATTTGTCGCGCATTGTTGATCCTTTGGTCTACAAACAAAAGTCTTGAAACACTTCACCAGATTCCTCAACGTACTCGCTTTGTCGTCGCTTTCTACTATTACTTGTTATTGCAGATGGAACGAAAAGTGTTGTAATAACAACAATGTCTGCACTTGGATACTGCTCCATCAACTACACGAAAACGCCATGTAGAATAGAAATCAACAGATACAAAGCAACGTACTTTGGACGCCATACTATTCACACTTGGAGTCACTGCTAGATTGGTAATTTTAAAATCCGTACCGTACGTAACATTCAAGGGAACTTGAACTAAAACAAACAGATCGTTTATGTCAAAAAAATCCACAGCGAAACGAGAGATTGTACAAGAATTCACGGTATCGATGTCTTGACCGTGCGGTGACAGGAACGTTGGAATTAGACTGAGCACCACAATGGCTGCAATTAAACCAGGAAGACAGAGACAACAGCATAGAAGTGCAAATGGTAATCGTCTCCTAGGAGAATGGAAAAGATTTATCTAAGTAATCCATCATAAACCAAGAAATCCTACCGGATTTTGTCTCTTTTTCTCTCTTCAGTGTACATACTATAAGATACCGATTAAGTATATATGTCTACAAGACTAAATCAAACAAATGCACTGTACTTTCATTAGATAAGCGTATTAATGATGTATCGTATACATATAAAATAACTAGTTACCTGTACAATCGTTATCCTGATTGTTTTTATATCGTTCTGTCTCGCGTTCTTATTTGAACTTCCGAGTGTCCCCATCAATCGTCTACCTCAAACCTTGAGAAATTTCCTAATTGCTGAGTATTTACTGTCGTCGTTTTTGTCAGTCATACACTGTATGTTATTGCGCATTTTGTAATATATATCTCTTTATTGCGATTTTAAATAGTCGTGAGTGATTTTTTTTTTGTGTGAATCATCAAAACGTCTCGTATACTATTTTATTGTTTTCTTTCATCGATATTTCGTCGTTTATAATCGATATTTACATACATCATCATCACAGTACAAGCACCAACAGAAAGAAGAACTAGAAAATTCAATAGTTGGTATAAACTAGGTGGAATAAACAAAAGTATCAAAGCTGTTGCATTGTTCAATTGAACGAGAACTGATGCTGAAAGTGATTCCGGTAATGGAAACGTGATCTCGGCCAACGATTCATAAACTAATGGTAACGCTGAACCCTGGAAAAGTCCGGCGAATGTCACGGACAAAGCAATGCTTGTCACAGTTGGTTTGAAAATCGGTTCATCATTGAATATTGTGCGAATAGAAAGTTGAAACCATAGAACAGAAAAGAAACAACCAACCAACATTATAAATATAATAGACTTGAAAGAACGACGAAAATAAGGTGTATCAGCTATCGTACTTGTGATCAAACCACCGGTAATTGTTGCCAATGAACAGCTAAAACCAAACCAGCCTAAATCGAAAATTGCTAAGAATTAAATTTCATGGCATTGTGTTCTACCTGACTGTTGTTCAGTGAAATTTTCCGGCGCTAAAATGTTCGCAAATAGTCCAGTCCAGGCAGCAAAAACACCACCAGAGATTCCACCTACAGAGCACAGTAGTTTGAATGATGGAATTGAAAAGCATCGAAAAATATCATTCATATAATTTCGTAGAGAATTATCATTGTTTTCATTCATCGACGTGTCCATTAAAGACTGAGCAGCAGCAGAAGGTGCATGCGGAGGATGTGACGGAAAGTAACCAAGTGTCATCAATAATGCAACCAAAGCAAGAATAAAATGCAGATAAAGTAATTGTGGAATCTGATCCGATGTTGTCACGATCCAGGGATGTACAAGAAAACCGAATGTAGAACCAAAAGCAGCAGCCATAATCGCTAAGGTAGTTGCACGTGTTCGTTCGTTCGGTCCAAACCACAAACACGACAGTTGTGAAACAGGAGCCATGACTAATGGGCCACAAGCGGCATTTAAAATTTGACCGAGATGAACAAAAAGAAGTGATATGGATGTAAACGAAGGATTTGATGGTGAGAGAAAAATGACGGGTAAAATTCGAAGTGAAGCAGCAATAAAACAAATTATTGCAAGTAAGAGAATGATCTTGCGAAGACCATGCCGTTTGTTCAATAAGAGGTAAGCTAATGGTAAGCAAGGAATAAAAATAATTGGTCCCCAATTGAGGAGCAGATTCACTGTACTCTCGCTGATATGATAATATGTTTGAGCACTTTGTGAAACCGGTGAAAACGTTAACCAAAAAAGACATTGATTGAAAGCAAGGAACATAAAAACGAAGAGGACATAAAAACGATGGCGGTATACAGGGTAAATCGATACTGCCGAGGATCCATATAGAGAAACAGATACATTTGATGATGTTCGTGTTACCATTACTAGAGATCTATTTGACTATATTAAGTCAGTAAAATAAAACAATTCCACCGTCACTATCTACTTTCTATTGGCAATCCGTAATCACGAAGGAAAACAGAATATATAAATCGATCTATAGCTGTCGTTAACTGTCGATATGTTTTGCAGATATTGTGTATACATTGTGTAAGTCTAACTCTAAAGGCAAGTTCACAACGCCCTTGACTAATAACGAAAGAAGATGCAACCACTGGCTGTGATATTCGCAAGTATTTCAGAAGGGCAAAGTTAGTTGGCGTCGATGAAATACTGCGCAAATGGAAGTAAAAAAAGTAACCGAGTGTCGATTTGCTCATGGATATGCGAATGAATCGCATCCTAATGCTTATGGCTCATGAGGAAAGTGAACGTTGGGTTTTATCCACAAGCGCGGCTCGATCGATACTCATTCTTCATCTCCACTTATTATGTTGTTTCGCAATGCATATGGCGCAATTACCTTTTCTCTTTCTGCTTCTCCTCTACGTCACAGCCACACTGTATGTCGTCATTTTCTGATACTATGTTGCTCAATACTCCCGTTTCACACATACACTTTCGTAAGATTCGCTGAGTCATTTTCTATGTTGGTCTGACAATCAGCGACTTTGTTTTGCATTTGTTGTTGGTATAAAACGAGAAGGGAGAGTGTCGAATCGATATTCTTGCGCAGTGGTGGTACCTCATCCGATGAACGTTGTTGTGATAGGAGAGGTAATTGCTGGTTGCAAACTACTACCAATGCCACATCGGTCGTTGTGACCGGTGTAATTTTTTCAGCTTCTTCGGAAGCGTCCGAAACAAATTTGCAGAATGTGCATGCGAGTAACAAACAGGATTATATTCATGTTCATATTCACGTAGTAAACAAGATTAATCTTTTTTCCTTTTTTTAATACAGTGAGACAGAACCCACTATGAATAAAACATTGAAAAAAACGAACAAACACAATTAAAACGAGAGGAGAAACAATAAATAACGGATGTAATACTTCATAGCGGTTCAGGTTCAGGTTCAGGTTCAGGTTCAGGTTTAGGGTCAGGAGCAGAACACTTTGAACTGTCCACACAATTACCGCTACAACATTCCGATGGTTTTGAGCATGTTTGTTCATTGGATTTGCAGCATTTACCTCCTGCTAAGCATTCGTATACATTGCCAGTATTGCCACAACAGTCACCAGGACTACTACACTTTACTTCGGATACATCGCATGCTAGAAAATAACAAACATCATTCAATCATCTATAATTATATGTCATATAAAAGATACTGAGTGTAATATTTTTTTCTGCTCTATAATACAAAGTCAAAATATCTACTTTTCGGTTGATCTGATGTAGTCGTTGAAGTTGATGTGCTTGTGCTTGTACTTGTACTAGTGCTCGTTGCTGACACAGTAGTAGTTTGTGTTGATGTGGAACTAGTAGAAGCTGTCGTTACTGTTTGTCCTTAACAAAAAAAACATATCAAATGAAGCTGAACATACAGATATGATTAAAATTATATCGATTATTCATCTGAATAATGAGCATATCCTCTTTCGCTTCGAACATTGATTATTTTACCTGGAGGAACTTGTCCAAATGAGCAAAATCCTAATTGAATAGTTACAGTAGAGCCGTTAGCCATAGTAACTAACAACGCTGTACTGGAACGTAGACTAGCCAACACTTTTTCGTATACTTGAGCAAATTTCTGCTGACAACCAGCGGTTCGACATGATGATCGTGGTTTGATAAGGAATCCAATGAAAAGATAATCACCACTTTTACCAGGATTTGTCGCACACTGTTGATCCTTAGGTCTACAAGCAAAGGTCTGGAAACACTTCACCAGATTTCTCAACATACTCGCTTTGTCGTCGCTTTCTACTATTACTTGTTATTGCAGATGGAACGAAAAGTGTTGTAATAACAACAATGTCTGCACTTGGATACTGCTCCATCAACTACACGAAAACGCCATATAGAATAGAAATCAACAGATACAAAGCAACGTACTTTGGACGCCATAGCATTCACACTTGGAGTCACTGCTAGATTGGTAATTTTAAAATCAGTACCGTACGTAACATTCAAGGGAACTTGAACTAAAACAAACAGATCGTTTATATTAAAAAAATCCACAGTGAAACGAGAGATTGTACAAGAATTCACGATATCGATGTCTTGACCGTGCGGTGACAGGAACGTTGGAATTAGACTGAGCACCACAATGGCTGCAATTAAGCCAGGAAGACAGAGACAACAGCATAGAAGTGCAAATGGTAGTCGTCTCCTAGGAGAATGGAAAAGATTTATCTAAGTAACCCATCATAAACCAAGAAATCCTACCGGATTTTGTCTCTTTTTCTCTCTTCAGTATACATACTATAAGATACCGATTAAGTATATATGACTACAAAACTAAATCAAACAAATGCACTGTACTTTCATTTGATAAGCGAATTAATGATGTATCGTATACGTATAATACAACTATAGTTACCTGTGCAATCGTTATCCTGACTGTTTTTATATCGTTCTTTCGCGCACGCCTTAGTTGATCTTCCGAGTGTACCCAACAATCGTCTACCTCAAACAGTGAGAAATTTCCTACTTGCTGAGTATTGACTGTCTCTTTTAGTCAGACATACACTGTATGTTATTGCGCATTTTGCAATATTTATCTGCTTATTGCGATTTTAAATAGTCGTGAGTGATTTTTTTCCGTGTGAATCATCAAAACGTCTCGTATACTATTTTATTGTTTTCTTTCATCGATATTTCGTCGTTTATAATCGATATTTACATACATCATCATCACAGTGCAAGCACCAACAGAAAGAAGAACTAGAAAATTTAATAGTTGATATAAACTAGGTGGAATAAACAAAAGTATCAAAGCTGTTGCATTGTTCAACTGGACGAGAACTGATGCTGAAAGTGATTCCGGCAGTGGAAACGTGATCTCGGCCAACGATTCATAAACTAATGGTAACGCTGAACCCTGGAAAAGTCCAGCGAGTGTCACGGACAGAGCAATGCTTGTCACAGTTGGTTTGAAAATCGGTTCATCATTGAATATTGTGCGAATAGAAAGTTGAAACCATAGAACAGAGAAGAAACAACCAACCAACATTATAAATATAATAGACTTGAAAGAACGACGAAAATAAGGTGTATCAGCGATCGTACTTGTGATCAAACCACCGGTAATCGTTGCCAATGAACAGCTAAAACCAAACCAACCTAAATCGAAAATTGCTAAGAATGAAATTTCATGACATTGTGTTCTACCTGACTGTTGTTCAGTGAACTTTTCCGGCGCTAAAATGTTCGCAAATAGTCCAGTCCAAGCGGCGAACACACCACCAGAGATTCCACCTACAGAGCACAGTAGTTTGAATGATGGTATTGAAAAGCATCGAAAAATATCATTCATATAATTTCGTAGAGAATTATCGTTGTTTTCATTCATCGACGTGTCCATTAAAGACTGAGCAGCAGCAGATGGTGCATGCGGAGGATGTGACGGAAAGTAACCAAGTGTCATCAGTAATGCAACCAAAGCAAGAATAAAATGCAGATAAAGTAATTGTGGAATCTGATCCGATGTTGTCACGATCCAGGGATGAGCAAGAAAACCAAATGTAGAGCCAAAAGCAGCAGCCATAATCGCTAAGGTAGTTGCACGTGTTCGTTCATTCGGCCCAAACCACAAGCATGACAGCTGTGAAACAGGAGCCATGACTAATGGGCCACAAGCGGCATTTAAAATTTGACCGAGATGAACAAAAAGAAGAGATATGGATGTGAACGAAGGATTTGATGGTGAAAGAAAAATAACGGGTAAAACTCGAAGTGAAGCAGCAATAAAACAAATTATTGCAAGTAAGAGAATGATCTTGCGAAGACCATGCGGTTTGTTCAATAAGAGGTAAGCTAATGGTAAGCAAGGAATAAAAATAATTGGTCCCCAATTGAGCAGAAGATTCACTGTACTCTCGCTGATATGATAATACGTTTGAGCACTTTGTGAAACCGGTGAAAACGTTAACCAAAAAAGACATTGATTGAAAGCAAGAAACATAAAAACGAAGAGAACATAAAAACGATGGCGGTATACAGGATAAATCGATACTGCCGAGGATCCATATAGAGAAACAGATACATTTGATGATGTTCGTGTTACCATTACTAGATATCTACACAATTCTATTTGACTATATTAAGTCAGTAAAATAAAACAATTCTATCGTCACTATCGACTTTCCATTGGCAATCTGTACTCACGAAGGAAAACAGAATAGACAAATCGATCTATAGCTGTCGTTAACTGTCGATATGTTTTGAAGATCTTGTGTAAACATTGTGTAAATCTAACTCTAAAGACAAGGACACAACGCCCTTGACTAATAACAAAATAAGATGTGACCACTTGTCGTTATATTGGCAAGTATTTCAGAATGGCAAAGCTAGTTGGAGTCGATGAAATACTGTGCAAATGAAAGTTAAAAAAAAGTAACCGAGTGTCGATTTGCTCATGGATATGCGAATGAATCGCATCCTAATGCTTATGGCTCATGAGGAAAGTGAACGTTGGGTTTTATCCACAAGCGCGGCTCGATCGATACTCATTCTTCATCTCCACTTCTTGTGTTGTTTCGCAATGCACATGGCGCAATTACCTTTTCTTTTCTCTTTCTGCTTCTCCTTTACGTCACAGCCGCACTGTCTGTCGTCATTTTCTGATACTATGTTGTACATGTTGCTCAATACTCGCGTTTCGCACATGCACTTTCGTAAGACTTGCTGAGTCATGATCTGTGTTGGTCTGACAATCAGCGACTTTGTTTTGCATTTGTCGTTGGTATAAAAAGAGAAGGGAGAGTGTGGAATCGATATTCTTGCGCAGTGGTGGTACCTCATCCGATGAGCGTTGTTGTGATAGGAGAGGTGATTGCTAGTTGCAAACTACTACCAATGCCACATCGGTCGTTGTGACTGGTGTAATTTTTCCAGCTTCTTCGGAAGCGTCCAAAACAAGAGTCTTATGTTGGTTTTTTCCGTTGCCAGTCTCGATGACAGACCAACTTAAGAGAGAAAAAATCGCTGTTCTGTTACTTCCTTTTTTACTTTACGAGTCGAAAACAAAGTTTCATAGGTCACATGTTTAGTGAGTGAAACTGTTGCATCTTACTGTGAGTGTTATGGATCCTGTTGAAAATGGTGTCTTCAATAGTCTACAGTCAGTCGATGAAAGTTCGTCAAACTCGTTAACTATTGACGAAAGTTTCATCGTCGTTTGGTTATTAAAAGATTTTCTCTTACCCAACACTGTCAGTTTGGAATCAATCGAATCTCAAATTGAAAACAGTGCTGACCTACTGAAGAAATACTTCAATTCACCAAAAGAATGCCAAGAATATATTACTTCATCATCTCGAAACTATAAAATCTTTCTCATTCTTCCGAAGAAACATGCTCAAAATGTTCTACTCACCGTTCACGATCGACCTACACTACATTCAGTTTATATTTACCAAGACAATTCTAATCAAAAGCAATTCCACGACAGCTATCCTAAAATAGTTGGTGTATACAAAGATCTAAAGCAACTAACCAATGATTTATGTACTGAAATATATGATGGTATTCAAAATGCATGCTTACCAATGACGATTTTCAAACGAAAATACGAAGAAGATCGTTCATTTAATGGCCTGAATAACTTCGCTTATTTCGTTGATTTTTGGCATCCATTATTTGTTGATTTATTATTTGACCTACCCCAACTGGATTACGAACGAGAAAAATCGAAATTTATCGAGCAGTGCCGCATCTACTATCGAGCAAACGAAACTATGTTGACACATATCGATGAATTCGAACGCACGTATGAAGCACAATTTGCTGTTCAATGGTACAAGCGAAACTCATTTATCTACCGTTTACTAAATCGAGTTATGCGTCAGGAAAACCTTCGAGGAATCCTCGCTATTCGTTTCTTTATTCTGGACATATGTAAACAACTGCATGAAATCTATCAAAATTACACCGAAGATGTTTATCTCGATAATTCGTCATTTATTGTGTATCGAGGTATAAAACTGGCTAAGAATGATTTTGTTAACATGAAGAAAGACTTGAGTCCCAGCACGATTCTCTCGATCAATACTTTGTTTTCCACAAGTCAGACGTTAGAAGTTGCATTAGTTTACGCAGGTGCAATAGATTCGAAGAGCAAAACTGAAGTTATTAGTTCGACGATGACATCTATTCTGTTCGAAATCACAATCAACATTAATCATCAGATGTCAATCGAACGAAAACCATATGCGAACATAAGTTTCGAAAGGGATGAAGGGGAATTAAAATACAGAGATGAATGCGAAGTTTTATGCATGATTGGATCGTTTCTACGTGTTGATGAGATACAAGAGGATTATGTGGCAATGAACACGAAGGTCACGTTGGTAAAACTGACGTTAATCAATGAAAATGATTCGACTATTCCGATTATGAAGGATTATCAAATTTTAAAATCAACGGAGACAATCGAAGGAAAAATTATCCGAATCGGAAATTTACTCATCGATCGTTCATTAGCGATGCGTTCTCCACGGTCCAAAGCCGAGTCATTTTACAGAACTTTAACTAACGAATTCAATTCAATGTATCTCTCCTCATGTTTAACAGGTCAGGCTTGGATTGCACTCAAGAGAGAACAGTTCGATCTCGCGATCAAATTTGCATTGGAAGCTCTGTCGAACGGCGATCAATCGAATGCTGAATGGAAAATCACCACACTCAATTGTATAGGCGGTGTTTACTTCAAGCAAAAAAGATATGTCGAAGCATTGAAGTACTATAAACAAGCGTACCATATCTCCAAAGTAACAGACGAAAAGATTGCTAATAACAGCTATCATGGACCTTGCATTCCTATCGATAAATTCGCTATGTATGATAATTATCGGAACATTTCCTCGATAAATATTGCACGCATCTACCAGTGCAAAGGCGAACCTGACCAAGCATGGGAAATGTACAAAGAAATGGTTGATTGCGAAATGCGTGACNTAATAAATAAATTCGACGCATACAAATCGATTTTGAATTCTTACGATGCTTTTCTTGATTTAACTCTAAAATCCATAGGCTCGATAACACCGCAAATGACGATGGTACTCGATCATTATCGACCACATTTTGTTGATATATGCATCAATGCGAATCTTTTACATCTCGGAATTAAAATCTATCAACAGCTGTTCAGTTTACTATTCAAGTATTCAACGGATATGATGAAAATCATCGATTTGTATCACCTTATTGCAGGTGAGTTTGTAAAGAAAAAACTATTCGACGAATCAATCGATGTTTACGAACATTTGTTGGTTTTCTTGAATCAACATCCAACCACAGGTCAGTTCATCGAAGTTGACAAAATTGAGTTTATCTTCTACTTTTGGAAACATCGCATTATTTCCGAATACCTTCTCGAAAAGAAATACGATGCGGCCATCGATTTGTATTATAGAATGATTTACTGCTTGGAAAACTATCGGCTAAATTTTCACATGACTTACTATGAGTATGATTTTGCTTCCAAATTGATGCCAATCTATGACGAAATAAGTTCGATTCAATACTTAAAAAACGATGAGTTCCATCAAATAATGCTCGTTTATCAAGAAAAGGTTAACTTTTTGATTAAAAATCAAGTGGGAAATGTTCAGACACAAATTAATACGATTTTCACACAATGTGAACACTACGCGACAGTTCATCCGGAAAAAAAGAAAGAAATCTATACTGAACTTAGCGATTTTATACAAAAAAACCGCCTTGATTACTTACCGTATCTGTCGAGTCTTGATGATGCACTTACTCAATTAAAATCATCGAATTCATCTCGGCTGATGTATCTACATCAGCAAATCTGTAATTATAGACACAAAGCGAAAACTTATCTCGATGAAAATCGACCTCACAAAGCAGAACAAGTTTATCGCGAAGAGCTGTCACCGTTTCTTTTGGAAAACCATGCACGCGATGATGAACAATTAACGAGATGTTATATGAAAATCGCATCGTCTTGTTCTGTAGATAATCCTCAACAAGCATTGGAATATTATCAACAAGCGATTGATATATACGAGAAGCAAAGGAATAGCTTTTACACGGATGAAACATTTCAATTAGATGTAAATGTTTGTCGACGATATGCGGGGATGCTCTTTATTTGTTATAATTGTTTATCAAAGGTTTATATATCAATGAACGGGGAAAATCTAGCAAAGGAAATAAGACGAAAAGCATTGGATATTTACGCGAAATATCAAGATCAGTTTCAGTTTGTTGTTAACCTTATGACAAATGAAATCAAAATCGAAGTTCTTCCTTTTGTTGAATTAAACTATTAATAAAGGAAAACGTTTAGTCTTCATTTTGTACACCGTATTCAGGTTCATCATCTCCATCTGTCGTTGTCGAAGCGAATGTATCACGTCTCGGATTTAACTCTGGTACATATGATACACCATACTTGATATCCGTGGCTGTAATATATCTATGCCACTCATTGTTATCATGATACCAAACAGTTTGATCAAATTTCACTGCAAATAATTGAGGTCCTTGAAGACTGACGGTTTTATAATATTTCGCACCTGCTAATCCTTCACCTTGTCGACTAAATTCGAGCTTGAGATCTAGCCATGCTCGTTCTATACCTGTAGCGATTTTCGGTTGACAATCTCTTATAGAGATATAGCTGAATGTACAAGTATCTTGTGACATTGCTTAGAAAGTGCAGCAAAGAAATGAATGTTTGTAAATGTTACAACTCTTCTTCAGCCTTCTGATCTCATGCAGGAAAAAACCAAGTTGCTACAAGTTGGAAAAAAGGAAATTGCCAACCATCATATAAGATATTTTGGACATGGATTCCCACACGAGTGTATTCCAATTCTGATCACATTCTTTCCATGTGGAACTCAGTGAGCTCTGTAGATTCCAATCATAAAAAAATTTCACCCACCCTCACCCTTAGGGTGTGAATGGGTGAAATGTTTTTTAATGGTTGGAATCGATAGAACTCATCGAGTCTCGCCTGGAACGAATGTGATCAGGGTTGGAATACACCCTCACCCGAATCTGTTCAAGAAAAGGTCTAATCCGTGTCCAAAATATCTTACATCAACCAACAAAGAGATTAAATGAGTACGAATATATGAAGTAAGAAAGTGTATTCTTATCGATTACTAAAAACAACGAAAAATACGCTCCGTTCTGTTGCAATAAGATGGCATGAAAGTATTTTTTCAACGCCATTAGTTTAAAAGCATGCAGTGGTCTATTGTATTTCAAACTGAATTTTGAGAAAAAAGGAGCTTTAATTCAAACAGAATTCTTGAGCGGTATAGGGATACAAAAAGAGGGAAGACGATATAGAAAATACAGGGGATATTGAGGCTCTGAAGTATTAAAATTGTTAGTAAGATCTTTAAAGTTCTAGCATTTATCATTTTAAGCGTGAGGCGTGGATACCAGTAGAGACCTTTCTCGATGAAGATAAGGGATAGGTGTCGGTAGGGATCTAGTTTGACTGAAAAAGCAGTCGAATACCCTCTAATACCGTCTGTATCCTATATTTGTACTCTGACTCTAACTCATGAGTGGCATTATATCTCATCTCTTTTTGTTCTCTTCGATTTGTGCATGCTTGCTTAATATCTCTAATACTTTGAGTGTAATCATATAACTATAGTAAAAATATAAAGCAAATCCATATGGATTGTTTAGACTGAATAGATTAGAAGGTGGTGATCAGTGATATGAAGTTCTATGTAGACATTTAACGTTGCGAAATCATCGCATTTCAAGCGTTAATTATCTCATACTTATGCGAGGCCTGTTGACTTAAATAAGTGCTAACAAGTTGTCCTCATCGAATGGAAAGCATCATTTTTCCATATTCATAACCTCACTGATTTTTGGATAGAAGAAAGGTAATTTATTTTTTAAAACTCAATTTTAAATATAAAAAACGATAGACTCTTAAAACGTTGGTGTATTTCCGTTGAACAGAGACAAAAGAAATGATAATGACGACTAAAATGAGGGGATAATTAATAAAAGCGGTGATAATGCAATATTTCAGATTTATTTAAAGATAGTTGAAAAGAGCGGGAGAGAAGGAATACTAATTATGTAATAATTATTTCTAATTAGGCGAAAACGAACACAGGAAGAGAACAAAAAAGTGTAGGAATGTTGAAAAATACTAAAAAACACAGTAACGTCTAGATCATTTGAGAATTGCTAGCATGCCAATACCCAAATCAAAAATTAAGATAAAGCCCTTTCTTGTGTTGAATGCATGTTGCTTTCGTTTTCTTTCAGTACGAATTTTCTAATTAATTAGAAGGCTAATAAAAATATAAGAAGGCATTTTGATTGGTTCATTGTTATACAGGTGGATGCGTATCCATCGATTTATGAAAATAATTGTTCGCAGAATTCCGTATGGATGTCAGTGAATGATGTATTGAGCTCTACGATATTTTAGATGCATGCGATCAATGTTGTATGTTTTTGTATTGAGATAAAGAATGACCGGTGCACTGCATTATCTGATCGTTGAAATGGATGGTAAAATCGAGGGCAATTGATGTAAAATCAGTCAGAACCTCTTTTATAGTTTCTCGCGAAAATTCTCGTCATGCCTAAAGATTAGTATGTAAGTGCTGCATATTTTTCTAATAAAATTGGGGTCGTCAAAAAATGATAAAATGCATGCAGTTCAACAGAAATTTTATCGAGTTTCATTTCATCTAAAACTTATCAGAGTAAATTCAAACATAAAAGAATCTCTCCAGAATAGAAATCTACTTTTCGAATTCTAGGAAATATCTTTGAGTTTAAAGACTTCGACCTGATATATCTGAGTCCTAGATGGTGTAATTAGAAATATGTATAATCTGATTAGCCTATATTGCTTATAGCTACGTGTGAATATATTTACCTGATTTTTAGAAACATTTACATTGAGTCAAAATGAAACAATTGTTCCATCACAGAAAATTTACTTGTTCGCACAATAAAATCTGCTGATGAATTTTCATTGGTATTTGCGTTTTTATCGTCAGGTATTTTCTTTATCCTCAGAATTTATTTCGTTTTCTCATTCTATCGTAGCCTTGATAGTGATAAAACGCGTCGTTATTTAAGTGAAGCTATAAAATAAATATCAATCATCTATTTTCCTTTGTGGATTTATAGGCTGTGTGAGTGACGTATATGATGATGGAGGACTAAGTAAGATCTAAATGTCTGATAAACTTATACCTTCGCGTCTTTTTTTGTTCTACTTTTCTTTAAATGTCATGCATATCTTTGCGCAAGAAATTGAAATATTTCGCAAGAATTGGGTATAAGTTCTGGATGTCGATTATTTCTGCTCAGTACGTTTGATTCAAGGCTTTTTTTTAGATAAGACATGCCACTTTTCGAAACTATTTCAATCGATACTGAGCGCGTTCGTCAACTAGCTCGTGACCATTGGGATGTAGAGGTTGGTGAATGCCTCAAATCTGCACAAAATCACACTTTTATCGCCAATAAGAATGATTCCGAACGTTTTATTCTACGTGTTACACCTGATCCAAACAATAAACGATTGGACAGCACCGAATTGGAAGTAGCTCTACTTGATTATTTACATAAAAACCAACTGCCAGTATGTCGAGCCATTCCAAGTTCTATTACGTCGAAAAGCGTCGTTCATTTCGAATCTTTAATTCTTTGTCTTTTCACATATGCAACCGGAGAACCTGTTGTTTATACGGACTGGACATGGATGACAAATAAAGATATAGTTATCGGTCTTGGTCATTGGTTTGCTCGTTTACATAAGCTGACACGTTGTTTCGTTCAAGAACAGCCAGACCTTGCTGCTCGAGCACGTCATTGGACAACACTTCATGATGGAGTCCTTGCCGGTGTAGAAGTAGATGAACGTGACAAAGCAACCGTAACGGATCCGACACATTTTGGAATTATACACGGTGATGTCAATCCAAGTAATTATTTTTGGGATCCTGCTGTCATGATGCCGTGCATGTTCGATTGGGATCAATTACAACAGTCGTGGTTTCTTTATGATTTGTCTGCACCTATCTGGGGCGTCGTTTCATTGGAGCGGGGTGGCTCACCGATTGATCGATCTCCAGTGCCGCAAGCTAACCCACAATTGTACACGGCATGGCTCCTTGAAGGATATGAATCCGAAGAAGGTATCAAACCTGTTGACCGCGATGCTCTGCAACGAATGGTAATGATCCGCCGAGAACTCTATCGACGATTCTGTCGACTAGCACTTTTAGAACTACCAGCTGAACATCCAATGGCAAAATTCTGCAAATCTGTAACGGACTTTTTCGATAAAGAAGAAAAGGAATCATTAGCACAAACTGAGTAGTATGCGACTGTGACGTTCGATAATTAGTTTTGTCATGATTTTTTTTGAAAGAAACTAACACCAGACATGCGTCATAATACGACAAATGCTGTTGTGTTATTTTTAAACGTTGAAGAAAGTCTTTCGATCATCGCCAATCGAATCGTCAAAGATTCTAAGCGATACGTTACAAAGATATGGTAGCTCATTGTCAATATGACTTTTCAACTTGCACGGATTTTATTTATACGGTTTGCTATCAAGAAAACGAATGTTGCATAATATGTACATGTATATAGCCCGTTCGTAATGTAAAAATGCTTGCAAATAGTCTTTCTTGTTCTTATAAACCGCACCCATTAAATAATTAGACATGCCTAGATTCGGATGATCCGATGGTAAGATTTGCTCTTGAGTTTTCACTGCTTCCGGGTAACACCAGAATGCTATTGTATATTCGCGTATGTTATAATATATTGTTTCATTTCTAATGTAGGAATCGCTCGAATCATGATGAGACAATGAACGAGATAGTTGTGCATCGAGTAGATTTATAGTGTTGATCGTTGTATACGCCTCCGTACTTTATTTAATATACGACATTGTATGGCGAAGATATGCCTGGTGTGCTTCATCTATTGTTTGACTTAGGATTACGTAAAAAATTTTCGATAGCTTTGTTAGACTGACCTATTTTAATTAGCAACGAAGTCAGTCAGTCCATCCATTTGAATAATAGCTAACATCTGTAATGGATGCAAATGGCGTTTTTGATACAGAAGGATCGATGTTCAGGATAGAGAGGGTTCTCACTGTGTTCGAGTCTTTATGTCCGTTATTGGCAAATATTAGAGTAGTATAACGATCGCAACTTGTAGATAAAAGGTTATTAAAAGACATAAGACCATCATGCTTTGTTTTTTTAATTGCTTAAATTCGGTTTTAGATAAGCCTTGCCCTCGACAGACGATAAACGATGCGCTGGCGTTCGATTCACAGAACTGTTTTGAATTCAATTATTCAATTTGACGATGAAGATCATTGGTGACAATGCCCATCTCCATAGTAAGTTCGACATTCATCAGTCGCAAATTACGATTGAGAATCCTGTATAGAAAGTATATGCACGTGTATACCATCAGATCGATCTTTCATCTGTATGTACATTAACGAATCATCTAATCGATCGAATTCTTTTCCAGATGCACTGTCAGTTGTAGTCATGATTTCGATAGATATCTCATTTTCTTCCAAATTATTAATAAACCGTTTACTAGACTCTTATGGCAGCCGTACTGCCTCAATGGAAACACCAAGAATTTTAGGGCACTTTTTAACGTTCATTCTCTTGTGATTCTCCTTGTTACCGTAAAAGGTGAAAATTCCATTGACTTCAGACTTCTGATCAATGTTTGGCACAAAACTTTCTTCAAGCGAACCTAATACAATGATAGTTACATTAATACTGCTGCACAGCCAAGCGAATAGTTCATTGTTAACCATTTTCTTTTTCTTATGTTGCTGTATGTGCTCACTCGTCATTCCAACAGCTGATTGTTTAGATTCTTTTGAAACTGGTTCAGATATCTTATTACTCATTACTTGTCGTCTTGCTAATAACGGCAAGAAGTCTAATTAACAGTCATATTCTATTTGAGAAAGACAGTGGACGAGTGAGTCATCAACTGATAAAAAGCAGCTTTCCACGATCCTTCGCTTCACGGTGTTAACTTCTTTTTTATCTGCAAGTATAGTATATAGGTAATACTATTAGCTACTTATGCTTATATATTCAAAGCGAAATATTATGTGTGTAAAAGAAAACAAATTACGATAAAGAAGCATACATATTTGTCGACATAGAAGTTGTTTCTATAAAGACATATAAGCGTCACCAAGCGAGAAAAAGAATCAACATGTTTTTGATTTCTCGATGGCAGTTTCTTCGCATCGAGTCATTTCGCAACAAGCTACTGATCTCTTCGTGCAATGACAAGGTTTATGGATGTGGTCAATGAAGAAATAGGTAGAATGCTTCCACCTATCAGAGGTTATGAAAACCAGCCGTTGGTATCACTCGAAGAAGCAATTCAGCCGGTTGCACAACATTTCACAAATATAGACGCAAATGTGCATGTGGCGAAGAAAAATTGTGCGAAATTAGACGATTCTTTAACCGTGGATGAGTCGGCTGCCATATACTTATATACAATGGCATTCGATGACAAACCAAATCTATACGAAATACTCAATAGTTCTTTACGAAATGCAAATCGTCGACAACTTAAACCCTGGTCATTATTTCTGAAATTATTTCTGACTGCGCTCTACAAACTTCCTTCATCATCTCGTACAGTCTGGCGATGTGTACGTGGCGTAGATTTAACTTCGGTTTATCCAAAAGGCAAAGACATCGTATGGTGGGGAGTGGGTTCGTGCATCGGCGATGTTTCGATGCTTGAAGACGATCGTTTTCTCGGTAAAAACAACGCTGGTACACTTTTTTTCATTGAGTCGCGTAATGCTAAGTCGATAAGACAATATTCGTGTGAAAAAGATACAATCGAAGAAATCATTCTCATGCCTGGTTCCTTCTTTCGTGTTAACGATCACATGCCGGCGAAGAACGATCTTCGTGTTATTCATCTCGTCGAACATGCTCCACCCTTCACCCTGTTGGAAACACCGCTTATCAGCCGTCAAGGTATGTGAGAATACTTTTGAATTAGATGTGCTCATTTTTTCGAGTTCATTAGTCTTATCACAACAACGTACTGTTCAAGAAATGGCTGGCATAACTGAGAGCAAAACGACAATAGTGCGTGCAAGACCATTCGATGAATTTTTGGTACAATCGCCAACTACTGACAAACCGACAGAACCTTCGGACAAACCATGAATAATCATTCTCCGTCACTCGCTTGCCATCGATTGGATTCTTTTTGTGTTTATTTCGAGAGTTATTTGTTTTGTTACTCTTCCCCTCTTGAATACAGCTGTCTTCAGGCTGAAGACAACATATTTTCTTGCATTCTGCCACATGGTGCACCAGCTAAGTTCGCCATCTTTTTTCAATTTCTAACAGAACAAAAAAATTTCCTCGATATTCGGGAGGTTAAAAATAATTGCGAGAGAAAAGAACATTTCTGTTCTGTTATTATTATTTGTAATTACGGGACACCTTCTCGTTTCTTGAGGAATAAGACATTTTCAAATAAATCGCGCGTGTTAGGCATGGCAACTACGGATAACGTTAATCGACGTCTACTTGCAAGTATTCGTGATGAACCAGAGCGAATGCTTCAACCTATATCCGGCTATGAACAGGAGCCACTTGTATCACTCGAGAGAGCCTGCCAACCATTAGAACATCTATTCGACAATAATGAATTAAAGCAAAACATTTTCATTGCAAAAACGAATTCCACGCAGCCAAAGGATGGATTAAGTGCCGATGAATCAGCTTCCATTCATTTATATACAATGGAGTGGAGTGTACATGAAAATAGTCTCTATGCAGTACTGAATCGAACGCTGCGTCTGACCGATCGCAACAAATTACGACCATGGTTCAAGTATTTGAAATTATTCCTCACAGCATTCTTTAAACTTCCGTACGTGATCGAATCGAATATTTCATCAAATAGAAAGTCTTTTGTTTTCCTGATATTTAGACAAACGGGACACATAACTATTTATCGTGGTGTGCCAGATGACTTACGACATCTTTATCAAGAAGGAAAGAGAGTGACTTGGTGGTCGGTTAGCTCGTGTACTACTTCGTTGAAAGTACTCGAATCTCCCTATTATGTGGGAACGTCTGGCGTTCGAACAATGTTCCATATCGAAACTGGAAGTGGAAAAATCATTCGAGCACATTCTTACTATCAGCACGAAGATGAGATTCTCCTACCGCCTGGCCTATATCTCGAAATAGTCAGTAACTTCAGTCCGGCTCCAGGTTTGTATATGATTCAACTTCGGGAGATTCAACCACCTTATAAAATGCTTGCTGTTCCGTTCGACCTTAAACCGAAAATAGAAGACAATCACAAAACATCTAGCCAAGCATCAGTTGTGAAAAGTAAGTTTATAGCTGCTCGTTTCAAAGCATGGAAAGTTCACATTTAGAAGTGTCACAGACGACCACACCGTCTAATAATTCACTATATTCTACTTGGAAATTGGCGTGTCATGGATATGCTTGCGCTACATGCGGCTTTTGCCGCGATTGGTTTTGGCGTTCTCATGGTTCGGTAGGCAAGATTTATAGACGTCACACGAATGCGAAATGTACTCTCCAAAATTACAGTTGTGGACGCGGTTACTACTATTATCACGGCGGTTATCGGTTATGCGAGTGTGCCGATAACATCTGAGAGTACGAATATGTGTTAGTTCGCGGGTATTCACCGCACACCTGCGGGAAAATTACGTTTCGTACCACCTATTCCAAACATCTGGCAGCATGACCGGATGTTCGGAACTTTTTTGGATTGTGTGACGGAAGTTCGAAATTTCTTTTCCACCGAAGATCGTAAAATTAAAAAACAAGGAGATTTCAATACACGGATTAGGTATTTGAAACAAAACATTTAGAGTGTAGCTAGTTTAATCGCGGTGATCATAAAATGCAAGATTGCATTTGACTGAAAATATAAGCTGATCTCGTCATAAAGTTGGTAAAAGAACTTGCCGGTAGATCATTACGAGTATAATGACTTTTTTTTTGTTTTCAATATTTACAAGAATAGCTACAAAAATTGGGTATTACTACGCGTTTTATTTTGTTATGAACACATTTTCATTTCAATACGAATACAGTGTCGCCTTCGTCTCGATTGCTCATTGCTAATCATTACGGACTTCCGGTTGTTCCATTCTAATCTGTAATTAAATTTGTACGGTAGAAATTGTACCGCTCGAACCTTATTGATTGACACTGAGTGTTATAGTTACGATCTACCGGTTATACATCGTTCCGGACATTTAGCATATATACCTCATGTTTTCGATTACGGGCTTCATGATAAAATCGGCAGTGGCTCTTGTATCACGATGTTCGTAATAGGGGTGTTACTTTATCTTTATTCGTTATGAAATAAAGTTAAAGAAAAGTAAAGAAAAAAAAACATACCTAATTTTTCAGCCAAGTGTGAGATTGTATGTTTCGTCAGAAAATGAACCTAATCTTAGGTAAAATGTAACATCCTGTCTCACGAAATAACTCCCTGCTAATTTAATTTGTGAATATCAAAAGATTTGTTGTGTTTTGTCAAAAATTGTAAAAAAATTCTTTATTCTTTATTTTAACTTTATTTGAAAGGTAAAGATTTTCTTTACTTTAAAAATAAAGCAAAAAAAATAAAGATAAAGATTTTGTCTTTACTTTATTTTTTATTTAAAGAAAAATAAAGATAAAGTAACACCCCTAGTTCGTAACGGACATTGATTCCGGGAGTTCGGAAAAATAAAGTGATACGAAGCGTAGTTCACCCCACACCTGCAATCGAAGAAGCTCTCAAAATGTCTTTTATCCTCAATCAAAATACACCTCACAACATTGCTCTTGTTCTAGAATAATTTAATTTCATATAATGGCAACATCGATCATTCATCACGTTGACTTGAAAAGTGATCTGTCGAATTCACGCTACACTGATATAAAAGAAGAGCCTATCGACAAACTCTTGATGCCAATTGACGGTTATCAAGATGAGCCATTGGTGCCGTTAGAAGAGTCAGTTTCTCCAGTGACTCACCTGNACCAACGCCCAAACGGGCGCCCGTCCCGAACGAGTGAATACATGTTGGCACTGGAACGCGTATTTCTACGTACAATCTGCGCCAAGAACGACAAGAAGTGTCCCGGTATCGAACGAATGAACACATGTTGGCACTGGAACGCGTATTTCTACGTACAATCTACGCCAAGAACGACAAGAAGTGTCCCGGTATCGAACGAATGAACACATGTTGTCACTGGAACGCGTATTTCTACGTACAATCTGCGCCAACGACGGCAAGAAGTGTCGCAGTATCGAACGAGTGAATACGTGTTGGCGCTCGAACTCGTGTTAACGGAGAAAATCATTGGAAACTACGCGTAATAGCCAAGTTGTCGACAGAATCTTAATTTAGCGTTGTATTTTATACTCGAAATTACAAAGTAATATTACGTAAAGACGGCGTTTTGATGTTTCTGATATGTAAATACAGTGTTTTTACGAATTTCGAACGCGTTTATACGCGTATTTTGGAAGGTCTTGTCTGTCTGGGTTCCGAAGAAACATGCTCAAAATGTTCTACTCACCGTTCACGATCGACCTATACTACATTCAGTTTATATTTTCGAAGACAATTCTTATCAAGAGCAATTTCACGACAGCTATCCTAAAATAGTCGGTATATACAAAGATCTAAAGCAACTAACCAATGATTTATGTACTGAAATATATGATGGTATTCAAAATGCATGCTTACCAATGACGATTTTCAAACGAAAATACGAAGAAGATCGTTCATTCAATGGCCTGAATAAATTTGCTTATTTCGTTGACTTTTGGCATCCATTATTTGTTGATTTATTATTTGACCTACCCCAACTGGATTACGAACGAGAAAAATCGAAATTTATCGAGCAGTGTCGAATCTACTATCGAGCAAACGAAACTATGTTGCTTCATATCGATGAGTTCGAGCGCACGTATGAAGCACAATTTGCTGTTCAATGGTATAAACGAAATTCATTTATCTACCGGCTACTAAATCGAGTTATGCGTCAGGAAAACCTTCGAGGAATCCTCGCTATTCGTTTCTTTATTCTGGACATATGTAAACAACTGCATGAAATCTATCAAAATTACACTGAAGCTGTTTATCTCGATAATTCATCATTCGTTGTGTATCGAGGTATAAAACTGGCTAAGAATGATTTTGTTAACATGAAGAAAGACTTGAGTCCCAGCACAATTCTCTCGATCAATACTTTGTTTTCCACAAGTCAGACGTTAGAAGTTGCATTAGTTTACGCAGGTGCAATAGATTCGAAGAGCAAAACTGAAATTATCAGTTCGACGACGGCATCTATTCTGTTCGAAATCACAATCAACATTAATCATCAGATGTCAATCGAACGAAAGCCATATGCGAACATAAGTTTCGAAAGGGATGAAGGGGAATTAAAATACAGAGATGAATGCGAAGTTTTATGCATGGTTGGATCATTTCTACGTGTTGATGAGATACAAGAGGATTATGTAGCAATGAACGCGAAGGTCACTTTGATAAAACTGACGTTAATCAATGAAAATGATTCGACTATTCCGATTATGAAGGATTATCAAATTTTAAAATCAACGGAGACGATCGAAGGAAAGATTATCCGAATCGGAAATTTACTCATCGATCGTTCATTAGCGATGTGTTCTCCACGGTCCAAAGCCGAGTCATTTTACAGGACTTTAACTAACGAATTCAATTCAATGTATCTCTCCTCATGTTTAACAGGCCAGGCTTGGATTGCATTCAAGAGAGAACAGTTCGATCTCGCGATCTCGCTTGTATCGGAAGCTCTGTCGAAAGGCGATCAATCGAATGCTGAATGGAAAATCACCACACTCAATTGTATAGGCGGTGTTTACTTCAAGCAAAAAAGATATATCGAAGCATTGAAGTACTATAAACAAGCTTACCATATCTCCGAAGTAACAGACGAAAAGATTGCTAATAACAGCTATCATGGACCTTGCATTCCTATCGATAAATTCGCTATGTATGATAATTATCGGAACATTTCCTCGATAAATATTGCGCGCATCTACCAATGCAAAGGCGAATCTGATCAAGCATGGAAAATGTACAAAGAAATAGTTGATAGTGAAATGCGTGACGCCAGCGATTTTCATTGTCACACTTGTATGACAATTGCCGAGTCGGGAACACATGTGAGTAATCCATCTCGTGAGGAACGTTATCAAATATGGAGAAATTGGAAGAATTTTCTTGATCTTGGTCTAGATGATATGTTGAAGTATCGTACATCGATCATTACAGGATATTTCTCGTTTAATCATCAATATGACTTTCTCTCTACTCGATATGACAACGAGCCTTGTCGAATAATGGCGATTGATTATTTCCAAAAAGTCGAAAAACAATGTTCACCGTATGTGCAAAACAAACAATACTATCTCTATACATTACAGTGTTACGAACGCTTAGCGATTCTCTATCGAAACAACAACAATCGATCATTCGACTATTACGAGAAAATGATTCGATTGTGCTTAAAATACCACCCGGATGATTTAGGGAATCTCACTATCGGCTACGAAGGCTTATTAAAAACTTATCAACAACAAAGAATGGAACCTTCTGAATCTCTCTCAGTATTGTTATGCTCGGATCACGAGGAAACATCAGTAACATCGAATGAAACATCGACGAGTGATGTACTGTTTCAAAATTTCAAGCCTTTACACTTTGCATTTGAATTCTATGAGAAACAACTCGATCCTCGATTGAAAGCTGAACCAAATCTACACAAGAAAATTATTTATTGTCATTTGAAATTAGCTGCTCTCTATTACGATCAGAATAAAATTGACGAGGCAAAACATTCGCTATCACAAGCCATTTCATTCTGCCAACCAACAGATATGAAAATTACTCAAATATGTGATGAAAATCTCTTTTTTATTCAAAGAAAGTTCGACTTGATCATTCAGTCTTATCTGGCTCGATCCTTCAATCCTGTTGACCATTGTATCGATGAAGATAATTATTGCTATATTGCACATTTATACACGAAAGCAAATAAACTACAATCTGCTGAACGAATTTTACAAGAACCTTTAGAAAACTTTGAACAGTATAATTATATTTGCTCGCATACAATCTATTGCTACACCAAATTAGCCGACTTTTATCAGCTTAACTACAAAGATATAGGTTCAACAATTCGCACTTATGAACGAGCAATTCAATTGTTTAAAAAGCATCACCAAAATCCAGTAATATTAATTGTTGAAGAATATCTTATTCCTCATTTCAAACAAACGAATGATTTCGATATCATCATTGATATATTCAAAATTTTATATCAAATCCTTCCAAATGACACAACAGATATTTCCATTCTATACAATCAAACGAAACGAATTTGGAGATTACTAATAAATAAATTCGACGCATACAAATCGATTTTGAATTCTTACGATGCTTTTCTTGATTTAACTCTAAAATCCATAGGCTCGATAACACCGCAAATGACGATGGTACTCGATCATTATCGACCACATTTTGTTAATATATGCATCAATGCGAATCTTTTACATCTCGGAATTAAAATCTATCAGCAACTGTTCAGTTTGCTATTCAAGTATTCAACAGATATGATGAAAATCATCGATTTGTATCACCTTATTGCAGGTGAGTTTGTAAAGAAAAAACTATTCGATGAATCAATCGATGTTTACGAACATTTGTTGGTTTTCTTGAATCAACATCCAACCACAGGTCAGTTCATCGAAGTTGACAAAATTGATTTTGTCTTCTATTTTTGGAAACATCACATTATTTCCGAATACCTTCTCGAAAAGAAATACGATGCGGCCATCGATTTGTATTATAGAATGATTTACAGCTTGGAAAACTATCGGCTAAATTTTCATATGACTTACTATGAGTATGATTTTGCTTCCAAATTGATGCCAATCTATGACGAAATCAGTTCGATTCAATACTTAAAAAACGATGAGTTCCATCAAATAATGCTCGTTTATCAAGAAAAGGTTAACTTTTTGATTAAAAATCAAGTGGAAAATGTTCAGACACAAATTAATACGATTTTCACACAATGTGAACACTACGCGACAGTTCATCCGGAAAAAAAGAAGGAAATCTATACTGAACTTAGCGATTTTATACAAAAAAACCGCCTTGATTACTTACCGTATCTGTCGAGTCTCGATGATGCACTTACTCAATTAAAATCATCGAATTCACCTCGGCTGATGTATCTACATCAGCAAATCTGTAATTATAGACACAAAGCGAAAACTTATCTCGATGAAAATCGACCTCACAAAGCAGAACAAGTTTATCGCGAAGAGCTGTCACCGTTTCTTTTGGAAAACCATGCACGCGACGATGAACAATTAACGAGATGTTATATGAAAATCGCATCGTCTTGTTCTGTAGATAATCCTCAACAAGTATTGAAATATTATCAACAAGCGATTGATATATACGAGAAGCAAAGGAATAGCTTTTACACGGATGAAGCATTTCAATTAGATGTAAATGTTTGTCGACGATATGCGGGGATGCTCTTTATTTGTTATAATTGTTTATCAAAGGCTTATATGTCAATGAACGGGGAAAATCTAGCAAAGGATATAAGACGAAAAGCATTGGATATTTACGCGAAATATCAAGATCAATTTCAGTTCGTTATTAACCTTATGACGAATGAAATCAAAATCGAAGTTCTTCCTTTTGTTGAATTAAACTATTAATAAAGGAAAACGTTTAGTCTTCATTTTGTACACCGTATTCAGGTTCATCATCTTCATCTGTTGTTGTCGAAGCGAATGTATCACGTCTCGGATTTAACTCTGGTGCATACGATACACCATACTTGATATCCGTGGCTGTAATATATCTATGCCACTTATTGTCATCATGATACCAAACAGTTTGATCAAATTTCACCGCAAATAATTGAGGTCCTTGAAGACTGACGGTTTTATAATATTTCGCACCTGATAATCCTTCACCTTGTCGACTAAATTCTCTCTTGAGATCTTGCCATCTTTGTTCTACACCTGTAGCGATTTTCGGTTGACAATCTTTTCTAGCAATATAGCTGAATGTACAAGTATCTTGTGACATTGCTTAGAAAGTGTAGCAAAGAAATGAATATTTGTAAATGTTACAACTCTTTTTCAGCCTTCTGATGTCATGCAGGAAAAAACCAACTTGCTACAAGTTGGAAAAAAGGAAACTGCCAACCATCATGTAGGATATCTTGGACATGGATTCACACACGAGTGTATTCCAACTCTGATCACATTCTTTCCAGGTGGAACTCAGTGAGCTCTATCTATTAAAAAACATACATTCTGTGAAATACCCTTCCTTACCCATAAAATATTTAAAAAAACCTTTAAAAACATGCAAATTTCAAAGAAACACGCACGAATTCGTTTCTTCACTTCCAGCTACCATTACAACACTTAATCCAGATACAACTCGATGAGCTCTATAGATTCCAATCATAAAAAAATTTCATCCACCCTCACCCAACACCCTCACCCACACCCTCACCCTCACCCTCACCCTCACCCACCCTCACCCTAATAATCTAAATCTCTTTCTTAAAAGTATGGTCCCTAGGAGTGTTTTGGGTCGAGGAATTCGAATCTGAAGTTAGTTTCTTATAGTCTTTTAGAGAAAAAAAATCCGGCTACAGTCAAGTGTATCAGTACGATGTATAAACCTTTTTTAATCTTTCGTGACCTAATACTCAGTAATTAGTTGTCACAAGCGAATTTTGAAGTAGCGTCCATGTACCTGACAATAAAACTGAACTTCTTCCTGGTCTTTTACCTTTGGTATCAAACATGCCTGTGCTTCTCACCGATAACATTCCGTGTGAACTAGGACTTTCCAATGGTACTGAAGGAATCTTTTGAGAACTCATATACTGTGATAAGGAAGATCCGAGTGGTTTAAAAATAAAAAGCGAAGTATTTCTCTCAGATACAATCTACATATGAAAACCGTTGTATGCGCTCGTAGGAATTAATGCATCACAACTAGAAACAAACCTCGATGGGCTTCGTCCTAAACTAATCCCTATTCCATTCGTCAGAAAGCAATTTACTGTTTCCGTCAAGCAACTCTTCGGTCAACTGTTCGAACGTATACAAGGTGGGGAAAAGGTCCCACGAGTGAAGATGTAGTTATTCTTCGACCTTTTTATATGAAGATATCACAAGTTCGACCGTCTCTTCCTCAAGATACTGAACTTAAACGTCTAGATGAACTTGATAGAAAGACAAAACGAGAATGCACTTCTTCCACTATTTGAACTGGTATAAATCGATACACTGTTAAGAGTTGAGGGTTATTTCAAATATATAAAACATATTATCATTTTTCAAATTATCTTAAAATAATTATTCGTATATGTCCATTTTCCTTACCACCCTTTACATTTATCTTACTTATTGTAGCAGATATTTCCTATCATGCTTTCTTACTGCTCTTTTTTTATGTAATAGCTCATAATCTTCTCAATTGTGTTGACATTGACTTAGAATATCTAATTCTCTATTTCACATTTAGTATAAATCTCTAGTCTACACTGAAAATAAATTAATATACACAATAATATCTAAAAAATGTAACATCTGAAAGCAATATTTCTACGAGAAAGAGCTGAGCGAGTCGCTGGACGAGCGTTACTTGTGAATTAAGAAAGTGCATTCTTATCGATTACTAAAAACAACCAAAAATGCGCTCCGTTCTGTTGCAACAAGATGGCATGAAAGTATTTTTCGACGCCATTGGTTTAAAAGCATGCAATGATCTATCATATTTAAAACTAAATTTTGAGAAAAAAAAGAACTTTAATTCAAGCAGAAATCTTGAGTGATATAGGAAATACAGGGAATATTGAGACTCTGAAGTATGAAAATTGCTAGTAAGATCTTCAAAATTCTAGCATTTATCATTTTAAGCGTGAGGCGTGAGTACCAGTAGAGATCTTTCTCGATGAAGATAAAGGGGTAGGTGTCGGTAGGAATCTAATTTGAATGAAGAAGCATTCGGATACCCTCTAATGCCGCCTGTACGCTATATTTGTACTCTGACTCTAGCTCATGAGTGGCATTATATCTCATCTCTTTTTGTTCTCTTCGATTTGTGCATGGTTGCTTTATATCTTTAATACTTTCGAGTGTAACCATATAACTATAGTAAAAATATAAAGCAAATCCATATGGATTGTTTAGACTGAATAGATTAGAAGGCGGTGATCAGTGATATGAAGTTCTATTTAGACGAATAACGCTGCGAAATCATAGCATTTCAAGCGTTAACTATCGCATACTTGCGAGGTCTGTTGACGTAAATAAGTGCTAACAAGTTGTCTTCGTCGAATGGAAGACATCATTTTCCTATATTCGTAACCCCACTAATTTTTGGATAAGAGAAAGCTGATTTATTTTCTAAAATTCAATTTGAAATATAAAAACGATAGACTCTTTAAACGTTGGTGTATTTCCGTTGAACAGAGACAAAAGAAATGATAGCGACGAGTAATATGAGCGGATAATCAATAAAAGCGGTCATATGACAATATTTCAGATTTATTTAAAAATAGTTGAAAAGAGCGGGAGAGAAGGAATACTAATTATGTAACAGCTATTTTTAATTAGGCGAAAACGAACACAGGAAGAGAACAAAAAATGTCAGAATGTTGAAAAATACCAAAAGACACAATAACGTCTAGATCATTGGAGAATCATTTGCATGTCAATACCAAACGAAAAATTAAGAAAGAGCCATATTCAAAATTTAGATAAAGCCCTTTCTTGTGTTAGGTTCATGTTGCTGTCATTTTCTTTGAGTACAACTTTCCTAATTAATTAGAAGGCTAATAAAAATATAAGAAGACATTTTGATTGGTTCATTGTTATACAGGTGGATGCGTATCCATCAATTCATGAAAATAGTTGTTCGCAGACTTCCGTATGGATGTCAGTGAATGACGTATTTAGTTCGGCGATACTTCAGATGCATGCGGTCAATGTTCTATGTTTTTGTATTAAAATAAAGAATGCCCGTTGCACTGCATTATTTGACCGTTGACATGGATAGTAAAAATGTGGGGAATTGTTGTAAAACTAGTCAAAACCTCTTTTATAGTTTCTCGCAAAAATTCTCGTCACGCATAAAGATTAGTATATATGTGCTGCATGTTTTTGAATAAAATTGGGGTCGTCAAAAAATGATAAAATGCATGCAGTTCAACAGAAACTTTATCAAGTTTCATTTCATCTAAAACTTATCAGAATAAATTCAGACATAAAAGAATCTCTCCAGAAAACAAATCTACTTTTCGAATTCTAGCAAACATCTTTGCGCTAAAAGATTTCGATCTGACATATCTGAGTCTAGATGGTATAGAAATATGTATAATCTGATTAGTCTATATTGCCTATAGCTACGTGTGAATATATTGAACTGATTTTTAAAAGCATTTACATGGAGTCAAAATGAAACAATTATTCCATCACGGAAAATTTACTTGTCCGCACAATAAAATCTGCTGATGAATTTTCATTCATATTTGTGTTTTAATCGTCAGACACTTTTTGTATCCTAAGAATTTATTCGGTTTTCTCGTTCTATCGTAGCCTTGATAGTGATAAAACGCGTCGTTATTTAAGTGAAGCTATAAAATAAATATCAATCGTCTATTTTCCTTTGTGGATTTATAGGATGTGTGAGTGACGTATATGATGACGGAGGACTAAGTAAGATTTAAATGTCTGATAAGCATATGCCTTCGTATCTTTTTTTGTTCTACTTTTCTTTAAATGTCATGCATACATTTGCGCAAGAAATTGAAATATTTCGCAAGAATTGCGTATAAGTTCTGGATGTCGATTATTTCTGCTCAGTACGTTTGATTCAAGGCTTTTTTTTTAGATAAGACATGCCACTTTTCGAAACTATTTCAATCGATACTGAGCGCGTTCGTCAACTGGCTCGTGACCATTGGGGTGTAGAGATTGGCGAATGCCTGAAATCTGCACAAAATCATACTTTTATCGCCAATAAGAATGATTCCGAACGTTTTATTCTACGTGTTACACCTGATCCAAACAACAAACGATTGGACGGCACCGAATTGGAAGTAGCTCTACTTGATTATTTACACAAAAACCAACTGCCCGTATGTCGAACCATTCCAAGTTCTATTACGTCAAACAGCGTCGTTCGTTTCGAATCTTTAATTCTTTGTCTGTTCACATATGCAACCGGAGAACCAGTTGTCTATACGGACTGGATATGGATGACAAATAAAGATATAGTTGTCGGTCTTGGTCGTTGGTTTGCTCGTTTACATAAGCTGACACGTCGCTTCGTTCAAGAACAGCCAGAGCTTGCTGCTCGAGCACGTCATTGGACAACACTTCATGATGGAGTTCTTGCCAATGTAGAAGTCGATGAACGTGACAAGGCAACCGTAATGGATCCGACACATTTTGGAATTATACACGGTGATGTCAATCCAAGTAATTATTATTGGGACCCTGCTGTCATGATGCCGTGCATGTTCGATTGGGATCAATTACAACAGTCGTGGTTTCTTTATGATTTGTCCGCACCTATCTGGGGCGTTGTTTCATTGGAACGAGGCGGCTCGCCGATTGATCGATCTCCAGTGCCACAAGCCAACTCACAATTGTACACAGCATGGCTTCTTGAAGGATATGAATCCGAAGAAGGAATCAAAGCTGTTGACCGTGATGCACTGCAACGAATGGTAATGATCCGTCGAGAACTCTATCGACGATTCTGCCGACTAGCGCTTTTAGAACTACCTGCTGAACATCCAATGGCAAAATTCTGCAAATCTGTAACAGATTTTTTCGATAAAGAAGAAAAGGAATCATTAGCACAAACTCAATAGTATGTGACTGTGACGTTTGATAATTAGTTTTTTGTCATGATTTTTTTTTCAAAGAAACTAACACCAGACATGCGTCATACTACGATAAATGCTGTTGTTTCATTTTTAAACGTTAAAGAAAGTCTTTCGGTCATCGCCAACCGATCAGTCAAAGGTTCTAAGCGACACGTTACAAAAATGTAGTAGTTCATTGTCGATATGACTTTTCAACTTGCAAAAATTTTATTTATACGATTGGCTATCAAGAAAACGAAGTGAAAAGCAATATAGCTTGGAAGTCAGTGAATGTTGCATAATATTTATATAGCACATTCGTAATGTAAAAATGCTTGCAAATAGCCTTTCTTATTCGCATAAACTGCACCCATTAAATAATTAGACATGCCTAGATTCAGATGATCCAATGGTAATACTTGCGGCTGAATTTTTCAAGCATTCTCAATATGTGAGAGTGCGCTCTCCTAGTTGTCCAGCCCAGTATGTGCTTTTGCAGCGTTGTTCAAGGATCGAGCTAAGGCAGGATGATTCGATGATAAGATTTGTTGTTGAGTTTTGACTGCTTCTGGGTAACACGAGAGTGTTATTGTATATTCGCGCATGTTGTAATATATGATGTTCCATGTGTAATGCAGGAATCGCTCGAATCATGATGAGACAATGAACGAGATAGCTGTCCATCTAGTAGATTTGTAGTGTTGATCGTTGCAGACGCTCCTGTACTTTATTTAATATATGACATTTCATGGCGAAGATGTGCCTGGTGTGCTTCATCTGTTGTTTGACTTAGGATTACGTGAACAATTTCAGCAGCTTTGTTAGACTGATCTATTTTAATTAGCAATGAAATCAGTCAGCCCATCCACTTGAATAATAGCTAGCATCTGTAATGGATGCAAATGGCGTTTTTGATACAGAAGGATCGATGTTCAGGATAGAAAGGGTTCCCGCTGTATTCGAATCTTCATGCCCGTTATTGGAAAATATTTTATTTGTATAACGATCGCGATTTGCAGATAAAATGTTATTAAAAGATATGAGACCGTCCTTTGTTTTTTTTTGATTGTTTGAATTCGGTTTTAGATAAACCTTGTCCTCGACGGACGATAAATGATGCGTTGGCATTCGATTCGCAAAAACGGTTTCGAATGCAGTTATTCAATTTAATGATGAAGATCATTGGTGACGAAGCCTATCTTGATAATAAGTTCAACGTTTATCAGCCGCAAACTACGATTGAGAATCCTGTATAGAAAGTATTCACGCGTATACCATCAGATCGATCTTTTACCTGTATATACATAAGCGAATGATCTAATCGATCGAGTTCTTTCCTAGATGCACCGTCACTTGTAGCCATGGTTTCGATAGATGTCACATTTTCTTCCAGCTCATTAATAAACCGTTTACTAGTCTATGATATTCGTACTACCTCAATGGAAACACCACGAATTGTATAGTACTTTGACGCCCATCTCTTTCTGATTCTCATTGGTACCGTAAACGATGAAAATTCCATTGACTTCAGACTCCGGATCAATTTACGGCACAAAACGTCCTTCGAGCGAATCCAATGCAATGATATTCACATTGTCACTAACGTTTTCAATATATCTGAAGCAATCATCACTGTGAATGAACGTTCCGACATGATCAACGACACCTTGCAATTGAGAGGTAGTATATTGATAGTTGAAACTATTCTTTTGAATACTGCTGCACAGCCAAACGAATAGTTCATTGTTAACCATTTTCTTTTTCATATGTTGCTGTATGTACTCGCTCGTCATCTCAACAGCTGATTGTTTAGTTTCTTTTGAAACTGGTTCAGATATTTTATTACTCATTACTTGTCGTCTTGCTAATAACAGCAAGAAGTCTGATTAACAGTCGTATTTTATTTGAGAAAGACAGTGGACAAATGTGTCATCAGCTGATAAAAAGCATCTTTCCACGATCCTTCGCTTCACGGTGTTAACTTCTTTCTTATCTGCCAGTATAGTGTATGGGTAATATTATTTACTTATGCTTACATATTCGAAACGAAATATTATGTGTGTAAAAGAAAAAAATATCGATAAAGAAGCACATATTTGTTAACATATAAGTTGTTTCTATGAAACTATCTAAGTGTCACTAAGCGAGAAAAAGAATCGAGATGTGTTTGATTTCTCGCTGGCAGTTTCTTCGCATCGAATCATTTCGCAACAAACTACTGATCTCTTCGTGCTATGACAAGGTTTATTGATGTGGTCAATGAAAAAATAGGTAGAATGCTTCCACCTATCAGAGGGTATGAAAACGAGCCGTTGGTATCACTCGAAGAAGCAGTTCAGCCCGTTGCACAACATTTCACAAATATCGACGCAAATGTGCATGTGGCAAAAGAAAATTGTGCGAAATTAGACGAGTCTTTAACCGTGGACGAGTCGGCAGCCATATACTTATATACAATGGTATTCGATGAGGGACCAAATCTATACGAGATACTCAATAGTTGTTTACGAAATGCAAATCGTCGACAAATTAAACCCTGGTCATTATTTCTGAAGTTATTTCTAACTGCACTCTGCAAACTTCCTTCATCATCTCGTACAGTCTGGCGATGTGTGCGTGGCGTAGATTTAACTTCGGTTTATCCAAAAGGCAAAGACATCGTATGGTGGGGAGTGGGTTCGTGCATCGGCGATGTTTCGATGCTTGAAGACGATCGTTTTCTCGGTAAAAACAACGCTGGTACACTTTTTTTCATTGAGTCGCGTAATGCTAAGTCGATAAGACAATATTCGTGTGAAAAAGATACAATCGAAGAAATCATTCTCATGCCTGGTTCCTTCTTTCGTGTTAACGATCACATGCCGGCGAAGAACGATCTTCATGTTATTCATCTGGTCGAAAATGTTTCACCCTTCATCCTGTTGGAAACACCGTTTCTCAGCCGTCAAGGTACGTGATAATACTTTTAAACTATACGTGCTCATTTTTTCGAGTTCATTAGTCTTATCACAACATCATACTGTTCAAGAAATAGCTGGCATAGCTGAGAGCAAAACGTTAGTAGTGCATGCAAGACCATTCGATGAATTTTCAGTAGAATCATCAACTACTGACAAACCAACAGAACCTTCGGGAAAAGCATGAATAATGATTCTCCATCACTGACTTGCCACCGCAGGGATTCTTTTTGTGTTTGTTTCGAGAGTTGTTTGTTTTGCTATTCTTCACGTCTTGAATACTGCTGTCTTCAGGCTGACGACAACATATTTTCTTGCGTTCTGCCACATAGTGCACCAGCAAAATTCGCCATCTTTTTTCAATTTCTAACAGAACAAAAAAAATTTCCTCGTCATTCAGGAGGTTAAAAATAATTGCGAGAGAAAAGAACATTTCTGTTCTGTTATTATTATTTGTAATTACGGGACACCTCGTTTCTTGAGGAATAAGACATTTTCAAATAAATTGCGTGTTAGACATGGCAACGATGGATAACGTTAATCGACGTCTGCTTGCAAGTATTCGTGATGAACCAGAGCGAATGCTTCAACCTATATCCGGCTATGAACAGGAGCCACTTGTATCGCTCGAGAGAGCCTGCCAACCATTAGAACATCTATTCGACAATAACGAATTGAAACAAAACATTTTCATTGCAAAAATGAATTCCACGCAGCCAAAGGATGGATTAAGTGCCGATGAATCAGCTTCCATTCATCTATATACAATGGAGTGGAGTGTACATGAAAATAGCCTCTATGCGATACTGAATCGAACGCTACGTCTGGCCGATCGCAACAAACTACGACCATGGTTCAAGTATTTGAAATTATTCCTCACAGCATTCTTTAAACTTCCGTACGTGATCGAATCGAATATTTCATCCAATAGAAAATCTTTCGTTTTTCTGATATTTAGACAAACGGGACACATAACTATTTATCGTGGTGTGCCAGAAGACTTACGACATCTTTATAAAGAAGGAAAGAAAGTGACTTGGTGGTCGGTTAGCTCGTGTACTACTTCGTTGAAAGTACTCGAATCTCCATATTATGTGGGAACGTCTGGTGTTCGAACAATGTTTCATATCGAAACTAGAAGTGGAAAAATCATTCGAGCACATTCTTACTATCAACACGAAGATGAAATTCTCCTACCGCCTGGTCTATATTTCGAAATAGTCAGTAACTTTAGTCCAGCTCCAGGTTTGTATATGATTCAACTTCGGGAGATTCAACCGCCCTATAAAATGCTTGCTGATCCGTTCGATCTTAAGCCGAGAATAAAAGACGATCACAAAACATCTAGTCAAACATCAGTTGCGAAAAGTAAGTTTATAGCTGTTTGTTTCAAAGCATAGAAAGTTCGCATTTAGAAGTGTCACAAACGACCACACCGTCTAATAGTTCGCTATATTCTACTCGGAAATTGGAGTGCCATGGATACGCTTGCGCTACCTGCGGCCTTTGCCGCGATTGGTTTTGGCGCTCTCATGGTTCGGCAGGCAAGATTTATAAACGTCACACGAATGCGAAATGTACTGTCCAAAATTACAGCTGTGGACGCGGTTACTACTATTATCACGGCGATTATCGGTTATGTGAGTGTGCCGATAACATCTGAGAGTACGAATATGTGTCAGCTCACGGGTATTCACCGCACACCTGCGGAAAAATTGTGTGGCGGGAGTTCGAAATTTCTTTTCTACCGATGATCGTAAAATTAAAAAACAAGGAGATTTCAATACACGGATTAGGTATTTGAAACAAAACACTTAGAGTGTAGCTAGTTTAATCGCGGTGATCATAAAATACAAGATTGCATTTAACTGAAAATGTAAGTTGATCTCGTCATAAAGTTGGTAAAAGAACTTGCCGGTAGACCGTTACGAGCATAATGACTTTTCTTTTGCTTTCAATATTTACAAGAATAACTACAAAAATTGGGCATTACTACACGTTTTATTTTGTTATGAACACATTTTCATTTCAATACGAATACAGTGTCGCCTTCGTCTCGATTGCTCATTGATAATCATTACGGACTTCCGGTTGTTCCATTCCGATCTGTAATTAAATTTGTACGGTACAAATTGTACCGCTCGAACCTTATTGATTGACACTGAGTGTTATAGTTATGATCTACCGGTTATACATCGTTCCGGACATCTAGCATATATACCTCATGTTTTCGATTACGGGCTTCATGATAAAATCGGCAGTGGCTCTTTTGTCAGGATGTTCGTAACGGACATTGATTCCGGGAGTTCGGAAAAATAAAGTGATACGAAGCGTAGTTCACCTCACACCTGCAATCGAAGAAGCTCTCATAATGTCTTTTATCCACAAACAAAATACACCTCACAACATTGCTCTTGTTCTAGAATAATTTAATTTCATATAATGGCAACATCGATCATTCATCACGTTGACTTGAAAAGTGATCTGTCGAATTCACGCTACACTGATAT